AATCTATCAGTTACCTCATACATGATATGCCTACAGCTACCGTACATATCACATATATATATTATTAGCAATATACCCAGTCTGTGTGAAGCAGGTGTAGTCCTAGTGGCCTACATGGCGTGTTCTCTGAGCGTGTGCGATTTTTGTCTACAAGAATTTGACTTTTCGTTTCATTACGGCCATTTTACACTGGTAAAAAAATCTATAGTTTTAATATTATGTGACAATAAATAAGATATGTATAAGCTCTGGAGTGGTCGGCATCTGAATACCGCGTGACCTTGAAAACGCAGCGTAATAGGTGATTGATGTCCCAGACATATCCTAGAACAGAATGACAGAAACATTGTAAAGGTAAAAACGGTCATCACAGACCTTGCGCTCGGCCTCCGTATTGCAGACCGATTATTGATTACAATCCCATTAACCCCATCATTACCAACCTCTTCTGTGTTTTGTTTTTTAAAAAGGATTCAAAACAAGTAATAAAAGGAAGATAAATACAATTTTATAAAGCATGTGTGATAAAATAAATAGATAAAAATGTTAAATATCCCTTGTTTTTGGTATTTTAAAGGATGACTATAGGGTCAGGAACACAAACATGTATTCCTGAACCTGTAGTGTTAACACCACCATCTAGCCCCCCTGGGCCCCTCATGCCTCCATAAATATAGCAACATTTTACTGTATTCAAGCCTGAAGCTGTAGATCTGCATGCTGTTAGACTCTGAAAAACAATCAGTCTGCTGACATCATCAGAAGTGATGGCCTGATCCAATCACAATGCTTCCCCATAGGATTGGCTGAGACTGACAAAGAGGCAGATCAGGGGCAGAGCCAGCATGATTCAAACACAGCCCTGGCCAATCAGCATCTCCTCATAGAGATGAATTGAATCAATGAATCTCTATGAGGAAAGTTCAGTGTCTGCATGCAAGGGGAGGAGATACTGAATCACAGGATGCTACGCACAGTGCTGCCCTGTGCTCTGCTGCCAGCAGATCTGAGTGGATGGAGGCATATTATGCCTCCATCAACTCGGAAGTCCCTCTGGTTCACTGTGAGTGACTGCAACTGGAGGTGTTCCTAGCTTTCAATGTAAACACTGTAATGTAGTGTTTACATGAGAGAGGCTGCAGGGATCTATAGTTCTCACCTGAACAACCTTGTTAAGCTGAAGTTGTTCAGGTGACTATAGTGTCCCTTTAAGGATTGGAAATGCAGAATGTAAGAATAAGTGGACATTATGTAAAAAAGTACAGTTACATTAGCATTGGATCTCCTCCCCCAGTGGAAGGAATCAAACTATTTGCTGGTAGTTTAACAGATTAATTGGGATCTCCCAAACACTGGTCACTTGCTGTCTGACTGAGCTCCCCAGCGGAGCAGGGCTTATCTTACTGGCTGAGAGTGATCAGCCGACGCTCAGAGTTTAGCCCCGGAGAGCTAACGGAAGCTCTGTGTTAGGGTTACTGATTTCCAAAGTTACTGGCGCCCGGCCAAACGTAAACAGTTTGACTACTAAATATTAAGGGGTGTCAGGACACTACTAACACTATAACCACAACCACACTTAGAGTGTTTCTTAAACATTAACAAATATTATGAAACCTCGTTATACAGAGGGTATTCATCATTTTATGTATCATACACGGAGCGGTTTGGTGCATTTTGTGGTCAGTAATTATAGACTTTCTTTTTTTTAACAAGAACTTTCCTAGAGTATTGTGGCGTATAAATGTCAATCAGAGCCAGAGCATTATGATATCAGACGATTAATCACTGTAACTTAAATTAAGGATCATAACCTGGCTGGCAGGTCTCATTAATGACTTATTACCTCTACCCATCCTTTTAATACGAGGCCCACTCCCCTAAAATCATCTAAACTGGGTGTTTTTATTTAATTCCTCCTGAGTCAGCGTTTGGAGGGCGGAATTGATAATTAGTTATGGTTGCTGAGTAAAAGCTTTGTGCCACCAGTTTAGGATGTACTTAACATTTATTGATTGGGAAATACGAGTCTTGTGCTTACAGTTTGCCAGCAATTTGGGACGGACCAGAAAATATGTAAAGTCATGTCAATCATTCGAGAACGAGATGTGTCTGGAGTCGAGTGACGTTGGATGAGGTGAAACAATGTCTGTGAGAATGTCGCTGCCATTAGCAACACAGCGGCGTTACATCAGCGTTAATAATGTGGTGTACAATGACTGCCTCTAGGACAAGGTTAAGACGTTAGCGTTAGGGTGTTTAGAGTTAGTGGAGACATAGTTTGTTTTGGAGACATCGGGTTAAGTTCTTTCTCCCTATCAGATGTGCTGGACTTTAACTCCCATGATGTCAGCCAGGAGCTATGAAGCGTGGAACATAATAGGCTTACTGCGCTGATGGCTACTTAATACTGACATTTTTAAAGTAAATCCCATAGAGTCCCTTCACGTCCAAACACAATAAATGGCAGATTTAATTAATAGCACTTTATTAATGTAGAATTAAACATGTCGGGAAGCAATTAACTCCGATCCGACAGGTTGCTACCAGAATTCATATACTAATCATAGAGATATATTTTGTTTGGCTTTTACATGAAAAAAAAAAAATATATATATAAGCATTGGTCACCTAAAATGTTTAGTTATTATTTACTAAACTGCTAATTTTGGAGAACTGACTAAAGAAATTATAGTCCAAACCATCTGAACTGCAAAAATTCTTCAAAACAGTGATATAGAAAGGGTAGTAGATACCTGGAATAGCCTTCCAGTGGGAGCAGTAACACTGATATAGAAAGGGTAGTAGATACCTGGAATAGCCTTCCAGTGGGAGCAGTAACACTGATATAGAAAGGGTAGTAGATACCTGGAATAACCTTCCAGTGGGAGCAGTAACAGTGATATAGAAAGGGAAGTAGACACCTGGAATAGCCTTCCAAATGGAAGCAATAAAGGCTAACAGTGATATAGAAAGGGTAGTAGATACCTGGAATAGCCTTCCAGTGGGAGCAGTAACAGTGATATAGAAAGGGTAGTAGATACGTGGAATAGCCTTCCAGTGGGAGCAGTAACGGTGATATAGAAAGGGTAGTAGATACCTGGAATAGCCTTACAGTGGGAGCAGTAACAGTGATACAGAAAGGGTAGTAGATACCTGAAATAGCCTTCCAAATGGAAGCAATAAAGGCCAACAGTGATATAGAAAGGGTAGTTGCTACTGCTCCCACTGGAAGGCTATTCCAGGTATCTACTACCCTTTCTATATCACCGTTACTGCTCCCAATAGCCTTCCAGTGGGAGGCAGTAACCTGGAATAGCCTTCCAGAGCAGTATGATATAGAAAGGGTAGTAGATACCTGGAATAGCCTTCCAGTGGGAGCAGTAACAGTGATATAGAAAGGGTAGTAGATACCTGGAATAGCCTTCCAGTGGGAGCAGTAACAGTGATATAGAAAGGGTAGTAGATACCTGGAATAGCCTTCCAGTGGGAGCGGTAACAGTGATATAGAAAGGGTAGTAGATACCTGGAATAGCCTTCCAGTGGGAGCAGTAACAGATATAGAAAGGGTAGTAGATACCTGGAATAGCCTTCCAGTGGGAGCAGTAACAGTAATATAGAAAGGGTAGTAGATACCTGGAATTGCCTTCCAGTGGGAGCAGTAACAGTGATATAGAAAGGGTAGTAGATACCTGGAATAGCCTTCCAGAGGAAGCAGTAACAGTGATATAGAAAGGGTAGTAGATACCTGGAATAGCCTTCCAGTGGGAGCAGTAACAATGATATAGAAAGGGTAGTAGATACCTGGAATAGCCTTCCAGTGGGAGCAGTAACAGTGATATAGAAAGGGTAGTAGATACCTGGACTTGCCTTCCAGTGGGAGCAGTAACAGTGATATAGAAAGGGTAGTAGATACCTGGAATAGCCTTCCAGAGGAAGCAGTAACAGTGATATAGAAAGGGTAGTAGATACCTGGAATAGCCTCCAGTGTGAGCAGTAACAGTGATATAGAAAGGGTAGTAGATACCTGGAATAGCCTTCCAGTGGGAGCAGTAACAGTGATATAGAAAGGGTAGTATATACCTGGAATAGCCTTCCAGTGGGAGCAGTAACAGTGATATAGAAAGGGTAGTAGATACCTGGACTTGCCTTCCAGTGGGAGCAGTAACAGTGATATAGAAAGGGTAGTAGATACCTGGAATAGCCTTCCAGAGGAAGCAGTAACAGTGATATAGAAAGGGTAGTAGATACCTGGACTTGCCTTCCAGTGGGAGCAGTAACAGTGATATAGAAAGGGTAGTAGATACCTGGAATAGCCTTCCAGAGGAAGCAGTAACAGTGATATAGAAAGGGTAGTAGATACCTGGAATAGCCTCCAGTGTGAGCAGTAAAGGCTAAACCGTGTTATTGAAAGGGTAGTAGATACATGGAATAGCCTTCCAGTGGAAGCTGTGAAGGCTAATAGTGATACAGAAAGTAGTAGGTACCTGGACTTTGGGATATACATAGGGAAATAATGAGAATTCAATGTAATTAGTCTGTTTTGTATTTTTGTAACAGTTTTCGCACAATCTAAACATCGCTCCTCACTATTTACTTCTGTCTGGGCCAATAAGATTTGAATTTCATTGAAATGAGCAGCCAGGTTCCTAGTTGGCAGAGTATCGCCGGTTGATGAAGACATCTTGATTCGAAACAATCAATGAGCTTCTGTTTCCAAACAATAACTCTGTCTGTAGTGAAGTGCGCCAACTAAAGTCTCCTTCGGGCCATCCTGCCATCTTGCCTTGTCTTGTTGTCAGCACATGTTCTCAGCTCGGAGCTCAGAACAAATAACAGAGCTGGTACAATATCTTACTGGGTTTGTTTCATGGTGTGCGCCAACACAAAGTGTATTCAGCAATTACCACCAGCCCATCAACGTGAGGACTCTCAGTTCCTGTTTAAGGACGTGATTCGCCAAGTGCAAGTTTTTAGCCCTACCAGCAGGGTTATTCGCTAAACCAGGAATTGCCAGAAATTCACCAAATAATCTCACAGTTCAGTCTAGACCGCAAAATTGGAAAATTGTTCTTAGCCCAATGATCTTTTCGGACCGATTATTTTATTCTAAAATTTACAATTCCCTGATAAATTCCTGCCAATTCACAGTATCGTGAATAACCATGTGTAGCTTAACCCCTTAAGGACCAAACTTCTGGAATAAAAGGGAATCATGACGTCACGTGTCCTTAAGGGGTTAAAACACATAGATAACTTCCTGGGTCGCCTTATCAGTAGGCCGTTAATGTTAAATGGACCTTATAAATACTCTGTAATAAAACTAGCAGTGCTACCGGAGATGCATGTTACACTAGCCCTAAGCTGCCATTTTTCAGTATAGACTTGTCCTCTATACAGCGAATCAGATAATAAAAAGATAATAAAGGAGGGGGTTCCAAAACTATCCGTACAGTTCAGAAGAAGTAATGAGTTGCCTCCATGGACGGAATCCAACACTAATTCAGAGCTCGGTTAAAGGATGTCAAATATCAGTAAAGTCTTTTCAGTTTAATTTCTTTCTTAAAGACGCTGCGCCATTATTCCTATTTCAAGTTTCCAATCTGCCACCTTGTAATGGGATTATTTGGGTGGTTTTTTGCTTTCCATATCTGATCTGGTTTAATGGACAGACACATGTAGGGACAGCAAGCAAATTATGGAGCCCATTTGGTTAGCACTGCATTCAGAGATTAAGGTTTACCCTTCCCTCCTAGTAGAAAGGTTACCATAGAAGCTCTGTTAGTTAAAACATACGTGTAATTGTTTGTGTTTCTCTGACGTTATTTCTAGCCATGCAGACATAGCCCTTTATTTTTTTTAATATTTTTAGCTGTCAGCAATTCAATAAAAAGTGGTTTTAAAATTAACCGATAAACATAAAATGATCACTTAAAATGACAGCCAGTATCTGGTGACATCACGGTTTAAATGTATTGATTTCTGAATACTGTACAATGTTCCTGCGTTCTGTATGTGAAATCATACAGCTTTAAGTAAAATACTATCACACCTCCCAACAGTCCGGAATCTTAATAAACAGTCCTAATTTGGATCTTGTGTGCCACAATCCCAGAAGTGAGAGATCAGGGGAACTAGCTGGAAAGCACATTGACGGACATTGTGAATATTCCCCATTAAAGCTAACACACAAAGTGGTACCGGCTAAGAGGGCATAGATGATGGCTGATGGGCCCCTTTACCGCCATAGCTCTGGCTGTAGGTATATAGGATTGAATACCTCTGATGAGTCTCTTGTATTATCCATTAAACTGAACCATGTGAGATAGAGCTGTAAGATTAACTATTTCTATAAAGGGTGGCTGCTTCGCAGAGTTGCTGTATTCAATCTCCGTCACCAGTGCACACTATAAGAAGGAAGACAAGGAGTCAACGTATTTGATGTCCAAATCCAATTGTGAACTTGGAGTCTTAGAAAATACTGCCCAGTGATACAGAGCCAGCTTCACTGACAAGACATATATTACTATGATACAGAGGACAGGAATATGTTAAAGACACAAAACAGTATGAGAAAGTGTGGTGTTTTGTACCATCAGGGAGGACAGTACAGTTTAAAGGTGCAGTGCCCCATGTATTCACTTTGATATTCGTGAAAGGAAGACTTGTGAATATCATACATAGATCACGTGAAAGGGGGTTTATAAGTAGACATCATAAACCACGAGGAATAAAGGCTGAGACTCCAGAACCCCACTCTGGCCTTATTCTTCTTTACTAAACTCATTGCTCTGCAGCTTTTATATTACATAATATATTTAGGGTTAGTGCTACGGTTCCTTTAACCTCAAGGAAGCATTGGGTTGCCTAAGATCGGTAGGAATTGCAATTCCAGGAATCTGCTGCCAATATGAATTCAATCTCCTCTCCTTTCGGCTTATCTCAGTAGAGGTGTGGGCAGTGAGGAACAATGTAGAAAAATGCAAAGTTGTGAATTTCGGAGTCAAGAATGCACAAGCAGCTTATACCCTAAATGGTAGTGAATTAGGGATAACCACAACCAAGAAGGATTTGGGAATGGTTATAGACAACCAATTATGTGTTGCTATAACCGGCCCTATCTTCTATTCGCATCATGCCCCTTGTCATTTGCCCCCATGCTCATATGTGTTGGGTGTAGCTCCCTATCCTGCCTTCCCTTCCCCTTCTCCCGTGTCGTCCCCCCTTCTGGTCTTGGGGTGGGAGTCCCCGTATCTCTCTGGTGTGCGCTCGCTTACTCTGTCTATCTGGCAACGATTGATCGGGTTATGTGTTAGGTGTGGTGTACCTGACTGTGTGGTTGAGTAGTCCGTGTCTCCCGACTCAGGTTCCCCTCGTCTTTCTGAGTGTCAGAGTGTGTGCAGTGATTTTGAGTGTGTTGTCAGTCGCGTATGGAGATTGAGTCACCGGCGCACTCAGGTTTTCGTTATCGTGGCAGTCTTATGGGGTCGCCCGCTCCGCCCCCCCCCGCGCGCGCCATCTCTCACTGCCCCCCTGGCCATGTACTCCATCCACGGGAACCAGGTTGTAGCGCATTGCTTCGCTCGTCCCTGCAGGGAGGCCGTCATCTGCTCCATGTTATAGATATTTTCCACCCTGTCCACCCATTGTTGAAAGGTGGGCACCGTGCGGCTTTTCCAGTGTGTCGGTATGAGCGTTTTCACTGCTGTAAGCAAATGGATGGAATTTTAACCTTTTTTAGTTTAGAAAAATGTCACCTAAATGGGGATATGATAACATTATACAAATATATCCAGGGCCAATACAAATCATTTTATGGACTTTACATGGGACACGAGGTCATGCGTTTAGACTGGAAGAAAGAAGATTGAGTAAGGCAAAAGAAAATGTGGTGTTTTTTGTTTTTTTCAATAGAAAGTACAATAAGGATGTGGAATTCTCTGCTCGAAGAAGTGGTTTATCAAGTGCACTTAAAAAAAAAAAAAGGGCACCATTTACTTTATCCTTTTCCATTACTTTTGTTCTAATAAAGTTTACATTACATTATTATAACTTCTGTACCTTCCTGATTTCCCTGACAGTAGAATTTCACTTTTCCCTAGTGGGAAACATACCACCCAAGCCTTTAAACTGAGCAAACCTTTGTTTGCGCTTAAAAAAAAGTGAGTACATCTTGTTATTTTATGCCTTTTAACCAGTGTGCACAATATTTTATTTTCTGGTTTTATACCCATGGTGAGGATTTTATCTACCTTCACCCAAGAGAGGGTTCTGCACATATATCAAAGAGTGGGGATCATTCCACTCCAGGCCTTCATATAAAGAGCCATTTGAAGGCTCCAATAAATGTGAGTATGCGCTGATACAGAGTTTATTTTATATTGCGGTCCCGTGACATACTACACTATTTTGGAATTTTTCTTTTTGTTACATATCCATACCATGTTTAGTCAGATCAAGACATCAGCCCTAAATCCATAGACTGGGATCATACAACCCAGGAGCTATATTTGGCACCAAGAGATAGCTCCTTACAGTGTAAGTATATTTCCCTTTTCTCCTTAAATTGATGCTCTGACACATTGCACTATATTTAGATCACTTTGAACTTGAGGACATCTTCGAAGCGCTGCTCCCTTATTTCTTCTCCTCCTCTCCCAAAACACCATTATTGTGATAAGGCTGCTGCACCAGGAGCTTAACTCCCACTAATCTTGGTTAGGTAGGAACATGTATGGAGCATCAGTCAGCAGGTTTCTCATCCCCCACCCCATGACTCCGTTCCTGCACCTGTCAAAAATGACCTACCAAGCACTCAATAAACCCTTCTGTAACAAACTATTTAATTCCCCTACTTTAACCCTTTGTGTCACTATACCCCACTCCCTCTAGCATGTAAGCTCATCGAGCAGGGTCCTCAACCCCCTCTGTTCCTGTACGTCAGTGGTCTGATCTCAATTATGTGTCTGTTAGTCCACCCATTGTACAGCGCTACGGAATTTGTTGGCACTATATAAATAATAAAATAATAGTCAAAGTATGTATTACGCAGCATAATCCATGGGTGTTATCACACTTTTTGTAAAATGTTGAATCTCCTCATTAATTATACAGTTCGATCCACAAATATTTGGATACAGACATGTTTCATAATTTTGGCACTCTTTGCCACTAAAATGAATTTGAAATTTAACAACCAAGATGCAACTGAAGTGCAGACTTTCAGCTTTAAATTCAAGGGGTTGAACAAATCTATCGCATAAAACATTTAGGAATTGCAAAGATTTTTCTACACCGTTCACTTATTTCAGGGACTCAAATGTAATTGGACAAATTAACACAACCCTAAATAAAATGCAAATTTTTAATACTTTGTTAAGAATCCTTTTCTTTCTCAGAATGTACAAAAACTGTTAATTTGACCACTCCTAATGTTTCTGCCATCTCTCCAATTGATTTTTTTTCAGCCCAAAGGAAGGCCTGTTTCACTTGCATTGAGAGCTTCCTTTGAAAGCAAGTTAGTTCACAGCAATAGTTTCCAAATGTGAAGGTCAAACCTAGAATCAACTCCAGACCTTTTACCTGCTTAATTCATGAAGAAATAAAGGAATAACCCTCACCTGTCCATGAAACAGCGTTTGAGTCAATTGTCCAATTCCTTTTGTTTTTTGAAAAAGAGGGCACTACATATTAAAGAGCTCTAATTCCGCAACCCTTCCTACAACTTGTATGTGAATCACTCAGATTAAAGCTGAGACTGCACTTTAATCCCATATTCATTATTTAACTGTAACGTGAGATTATTGTGGTAAACAGCCAAAATAACAAAACTTGAGTCAGAGTCCAAATATTTCCCGACCTAACGCTATATAATAAATGTCTTAATATGAACACATTACATCCCAGTCATGGTTGGCTGGTATAATGCAGATAAACAGGATTATTTACTAAACAGAGAATTCAGAAAGAAATAAAAATAGAAAAGGCAGAGAAGCCGGACTGCCAATGATCAGCCAAGGATGAGTTTAAACACAAAACAAACATGTTTTGCTTTGGGGTAATAACCTGGAAGACTATGGATTATTCAATCACCGGACTGCACTCCTCTGCTACATGTGACCAATAGATGTACATTAAGTGGACTTACAGGGTCAAAAAAATATTATTCTGTACACCCACTCAAGACTGCAAGAAAACTCTTAAACTATACCATAGTAAAATCAATCAAGGCTACTGTCTGACTGCAGGACTGAAATGCAGTTTGTTAAAGCACCTAGAATCAGCGCCATCGAGTCTGACAATTTTCCAAACATTTAATGGCTGCTTTGATGCATAATGGAGGTACATGTAAATGTCCCCCGAACTATTGTTTGTTCCAAATTTGCAGCTAATGCAAGGGAAGCTGCAGATAATCCAATAAATAGAGAAAACCTAGCATGTAAAATGCTGATGAGAAAACAATTGTCCTAAAGATGCAGAAGGAATACGGTCAGTTTGTGGCCTCTTATCCCGGAGTTTCTGGAACACGTGGTACATTTGAGGAGTTTATGTGGTGCTTACTAAGAGTGATAGGACTAACACTCAGTGGAATTACATTTCTATACAAGTATTTGCATTAGCTATAAATATGCAGCTGCTTTATTGGCTGGATAAAATCCAGCTCTCCTTTATAATGGCGGACCCAGGCGTGCTCTATGGGGAGATGGCTAATGAATTGAGGAAATAAGAGACAATCCAGACAGACATAGTGCAGCCCATATGGCATCAATCACTTACAACAAGTAATTCTCAATCCCAGGAAACAGACTGAGAAATGAAAAGCTTTATTATATATCTTCAGGCAGACAGCGGGTGGTTTACAGGTTAAGATGTCGGCCTGGATACAATATTTACCCATTACCGTTGAACAGACAGCACACACATACACACTGACAAGCGGCACACTACACTCCGGGTCACCACACTCAAGCACATGTAGTATTAGGATTTTGTTGAATAGCCACTTGGGCCCAAACCACAAATGATTCCTTCCTAAAAACAGCTCCACGTGATACCAAGATTGTCATAGAAATTAATGTCTAGAAATGATTGGGTTTGTCTGAGACAAGGTAACCATGCAAGTGCCCACAGGAGATTAAAGAGTGCGAAGCTACGAGGCTCAGAAAGGGGAGCAGGTCCCCAGTTTGGTTGCATTGTGGCCATCAGACAGGGCTGTCCTTACAACACAGAGGGAAATGTTTGACAGGATGTGTGCATGCATGTATCTTATCTTTGGTGGGCTGAATAGATCATGCAATTAATGAGGTGAGGATGGCATTCCTCCTGAAACACAAGCTGGCGCTCAAACCTTGGCATTGCAGTTCACTTTGGTTGCAAATTTATTTTCCTTGGAAACGTGCACTCAAAAACACCAAAAAAAATCCACACAGAAGTGCAGCCACTCGAGGAGAAAACTCTCCACTGAAGAGGTGAAAAAGGGATGTGTTTGCAGAACACACTGTAAAAGAGGTTGCCATTAACCACTTTGCTGCTGTTTGTGGCAGACCGTAATCGCCACTGTAATAAAGGTGTTAAAGAGCCTCAACTCACAACAAAATACACAAAAAGGAAAAAAACAAAAACTATACACATTTACTGCAACACCCAGTGGAGGAAAGAAACAGAGAATCCAGAGTCTAAAAGCACATTCCCTGTAGCTGCTGCTCAGGGGACTGAGTTCAAAAGATCTTTGAGGAAGCTGTCAGGGTCGTTGATTTCTGTTAAAAGACCTGGAAAAATAAAAAGTTGAAAGTCAGCGTTTGGCAGAATTGAAAGAAGAAAATAAACACCCCATAGCTTTCTTGTAATTTCTCTGAAAGGTATACAGCCTCATTCATACATTTGCTGTTAATTGGCCAGAGTAGTGCACAGATTAAATGTATTCTTTCCTCAAGTTGAACGCGCCATTAGCACAAAAAGTGAAAGTTATAATTTTTTGTGACTCTGTGATTATTTTCTTAGCCTAAGTGGGTGTAATATTAAATAATTATAATGAAACAAGACAGAAAGGATAGAAATACGTACCAGCCACATCCACAAATTCAGAAAAGGATTCGATGGGCATGAACTCGTCCTGAAACGTTTTTAAGGCTTTGTCTGCGGCCTCGTAAATCGGCATGTCATTCAGTCTGATGTAATCTGCCAGTGAGTAAGACCAGCCTCCCTCTGTGTTACTCGTAGGAACCTTCTGCAATACACAGAAAGCATGCATTCAGCTGTGCAGCTCTAACACAACCAGGGCCGGCTGCATGCACTGAGCAAGCCTCACTATGACCACATTGCCTCCACTACACTTGTTACTTCAGCAGAGGCCTGCTAGCACAGGATCGACAGCGGATTAAATAAACGATGACAAGATTTATGGTGAATTAGTTATTTTCTGTTGTGGTTTGAAGGCAAGGAACATGAAAGTGTAATCTAACCTCAGGGCAGCAACGTTCTGTTGCATAATATCTCAGCTAGTGCAACGCAACAGGCTTTCTCAATGAAGAATATGTATAGAAACAGCTTTTTTCCTTTCACTTATCTCCTCCTGGCCAAACCAGTTGTGGACAGATCCACTTAACTCTTACCGTACCACAGAGGTTTTGATGACATGCTCGCTCCTGGTTCTAACACTGAGCCATTCATTCACAGAATTTGTTATACTAAACTCATGCTTAAGGATTACCTGTGGTCATTCATAAATGTTTACTAGGAAAAGACTTAAAACATTTATTTAGATTTGTAGCCTAAGACACATGGATTTTGCAATGTAAACTTCACCTTATACATATTGTAGATAAGGTCAACAAGGGCCCAGAAGAGCAGACTGGATCGATACACTGAATAATCCTTCACTGCTTTATCAGTCAATCTGGGGACAAAGACAAGAATTTGGGTTATTGACATTAATAAGAGGTATTCTGCCCCAGTAGAGGTTTACTCTTTAAAGGGACACTACATACTCACCAGAACAAATACAATACGCTGTAGTTGTTCAGGTGACTAGTCAGTGTTTGCTGCAAATAAATTGAAGGGACTGTCTTTTCAGAGAAAATGCAGTGTCTAAATTACAGCGTAGGGATCCCTCCACTGGCCACTCCTTAGATGGCTGCTAGAGGTGCTTCCTGGGGCAGTGCTGCACAGTGTGACTGACATTCAGTGACTCCACCCTCTGCATAGAGAAATTCCTCATCGAGATACATTGGTCAGGGCTGTGTTTAACATGTATTGGCTCTGCCCCTGATCTGCCTCCTTGACAGTCTAAGCCAATTCTATGGGGAAGCATTATAATTGTCTCAGACCACTTCTGATGTCAGCCAAACAGGCAGATCAGGGGCAGAGCAAGCAGCTGCAAACTTGAATAGAAGTAAGATTTTACTAAAAAAATATAACTTTTTTACTGAAGAAATTACAGAAAAATAAGTACAAAGTTAAAATGGTTTATCATAGAATAGGTAAAAACACCAGTGGATTCCTGTAAGACAATAAGACCAACCCGAAGGTGAAATTTAATGAGGTTCATGGTGGCTGGGTGGGAAGAGCGAGCTTGTTCTTGCTTGCTGGTTGGTACAAAGAGGATCCCGGTAAAAGATGAAACCAGGTATCATGTGCAGTGTTTGAAAAGGACGCATTGCATGTATTTATTGGGACCATCAACCTGTGAGTGAATACTGGGCAGCATCCAGTAATGCTTAGCATGAGGCCTAAAGTAATGCATTGTAGGAGAAATCATTTGCTCCCAGAGTTAAAGACCCATCTGCAACTTTTACCTCTCTGCTGATGTAACAGAAGGAGAATTAAACTCCTGTACGCTTAAATCAGGAATATTTACAAGTCTACTTAACACTGCCTACAGATCAATTCACATATGAAATTATATTTGCTACATATTAAAGTGTCCAGATATTTAATAGTATCAAGTAAGCAACATGACTATACCTGGGTTGAGGTTCTACAGTCTCTATTTACACATTGATTTAGCACAGCAGTAACCCCAGTACCTGTTTGCTCCGCCAGGTGACACTGCACGCACATGACTGACTACAAGCAATCTCCGGAGGACATCAATTCGAATGACTTTCCACCTTTCAGCTGGTAGGAGATGAAGGGCAAGAACAGTGTAATAGTGAGGTCCATCCACCTCAAAAGCACTCTCCAGCCATTTCTCTTTGGGATGCTCCAAGAAACCTTGAACATTTTTTTCCTCGCGGGATATAGCACGAGTTCTGTAATAGAAAAGGAAACTAACGTGAATTTCTAATAGTGTCAACCAAAGAAAACTGGAGCTTAATTACACTTGTTTATGGGCAATGATATGAAATGGTTACCATGGGAACTCCTCCACTTTTATAACTTGTCCCAGAGTTCCTCTTCATTCATAAACCCAAAGTAAAACGCCTTCTACAGTTTTCCTTCAAATTTTTTTTCTTAAGTTTAAAAGAATTTTTGTAAAAGATCTTCATTAGACTCATTTACAAGGGAGGAGTCGGGCAACTATAGGCCAGTAAGCCTTACTTCAGTAGTGGGGAAAGTGATGGAAACCATGTTAAAGGATTGATGAACATCTAAAAACACATGGATTTCAAGATCAGAAACAACATGGGTTTACTTCAGGGAGATCATGCCAAACTAATCTTATTGATTTTTTTGATTGGGTAACTAAAATTATAGATCAGGGTGGTGCAGTAGACATTGCTTACCTAGATTTCAGTAAGGCTTTTGACACTGTTGCACATAGAAGGCTTTTCAATAAACTGCAATCTTTAAGTTTGGATTCCAATATTGTTGAATGGGTAAGGCAGTGGCTGAGTGACAGGCAACAGAGGGTTGTAGTTAATGGAATATATTCGAAGCTTGGACTTGTCACCAATGGGGTACCTCAGGTATCTGTACTTGGACCCATTCTCTTTAATATTTTTATTAGTGATATTGCAGAAGGTCTTGATGGTAAGGTATGTCTTTTTGCTGGTGATACTAAGATATGTAACAGGGTTGATGTTCCAGGAGGGATAAGCCAAATGATGATTTAGGTAAACTAGAAAAATGGTCAGAATTGTGGCAACTGACATTTAATGTGGATAAGTGCAAGATAATGCATCTTGGACGTAAAAACCCAAGGGCAGAGTACAGAATATTTGATAGAGTCCTAACCTCAACATATGAGGAAAGGGATTTAGGGGTGATTGTTTCTGATGACTTAAAGGTAGGCAGACAATGTAATAGAGCAGCAGGAAATGCTAGCAGAATGCTTGGTTGTATAGGGAGAAGTATTAGCAGTAGAAAGAGGGAAGTGCTCATGCCATTGTACAGAACACTGGTGAGACCTCACTTGCAGTATTGTACGCAGTACTGGAGACCGTATCTTCTGAAGGATATTGATACCTTAGAGAGGGTTCAGAGAAGGGCTACTAAACTGGTTCATGGATTGCGGGATAAAACTTACCAGGAAAGGTTAAAGGATCTTAACATGTATAGCTTGGAGGAAAGACGAGACAGGGGGGATATGATAGAAACATTTAAATATATAAAGGGAATCAACACAGTAAAGGAGGAGACTATATTTAAAAGAAGAAAAACTACAACAACAAGAGGACATAGTCTTAAATTAGAGGGACAAAGGTTTAAAAATAATATCAGGAAGTATTACTTTACTGAGAGGGTAGTGGATGCATGGAATAGCCTTCCAGCTGAAGTGGTAGAGGTTAACACAGTAAAGGAGTTTAAGCATGCGTGGGATAGGCATAAGGCTATCCTAACTATAAGATAAGACTAGGGACTAATGAAAGTATTTAGAAAATTGGGCAGACTAGATGGGCCGAATGGTTCTTATCTGCTGTCACATTCTATGTTTCTATGTTTCTTCCTAGTATTATATATTGGGGGTCTCATTGCACTGTTACAACACACTGTCAGCAGAGAATGTGTTAACTTGGACAAAGAGCTATCGTTATGAACACAGAATTGGTTAACTTGCAGCATGGAACTTGTACGAGGTATTTTATTCCAGAACACCCTGTGAACAGAAAATGGGTTCTCAGCCAGCGCAAGATCCGGTACTAGATACTTTACTCTAGTCTAGAACATGAACTCTTTACTCTGAACATGAATAGAGAATGGGTTTGTACAAGGTGCGTTAATACACTGACAATGAGCGCAAACAATGACTTCATTTGCTGCCTAGAACTTCTATGAGGTGTGTCTTTCATCTAGAACACGATGTGACCACTGAAGGGTTAACTCTCAGCCTGGATGAGGTTCTTTAATCTAGACTAAGTTGTCAATATGAGCAGAGACCGTGTAAACTTGCTGCCGGGAGCTTGTACAAGGTGCTTTAATCTAGAACATACTGTCGGAACTTGCTTGCGTGGGGCCAGGAATTTGTTTACATACGTTCCCTTTCTCACACAGATTTCTTTCATCTCATAAACATCAATCTCCTGTCTTTCCCACCCTGGACAGTTTCATTAAATCCTTTTTTTGCTTAAGGAGAACAAATAAGACACAACAATCTGATAATCGTCAGACAGCGAACAAATCACAGGGAGTGGAAAAAAGCCTTGCTTTGCTCAGCACAGCCCTAAATAAACTAAAAAGAATTTCAGCGGATACGGAGACACTGCTTGCCAGTACTCGCTTTTTTCATTGTAGTGGGAGGAGACATAAAAAGTTTTAGTTGGCCACTGACAACATACGTTCTTCAATCACTAGGACTAAAAACTTGTCTCCTTGCTTCAGGGGACAAAAGCTTCTATTTTTTTTTTTTTGGCGTCTCCCCGCTGCATTAATCAGAATATACTGGTAAAATGAGAGCTGTTAGGAAGTCCCCACGGAATCACAGATTCAATGCAAAATGGCTGACCTGGAGACAGAGCTGATATTTTCAATTCTGTTCTTTTGGTTTAAATTTGCAATTCTCAGGTAAATTATTTTCAATATATAAAACAAAGCGAAGTGATCACCGATGTGAAGAAGGGTTAAACAAATGTATGGGCTGGGTCCTTCCTAATAAATAGTCACAAACAGTACATGAAGTGTTGGGTGTAAATGGTGATCCAGAAGGTTTTGGTCAGCAGCACTAGTGCCGATACGTGTCATGTGAGAGCCCTGTGAGAAACTTACGTGTTGATGACATAAAGCACGGTGTGAATCATGTAGGGAATGAGGTGAATGTTGCTCTCCCGTCCTCCCCCACCACTGTCCGCACTAAAAGATTGCTCCATAGCGAATCGCAAGAAGAGCAACTTCAGGTCATGGATGTTAAGTTGGTAGGTGGGCTCCCTCTGGCCAGTACATTCTTGCAGGTAGGTATTATGCCTGGAAAGAAACCATGTGAGAAGCTTAATGAGACAGGGGACCAGATTCATGGTTTGCCATATACCTGTGGCTTCCAAGCTTTATGGGAAATTATAACTAAGCAGTTACACACAAAAAAAAAATCACTATTTTAATACTGCTGGTGCAGTTCATAGAATGGTGCTAAATATAAGAAAGGTGCAAAGAGCCACAGTAATTCATTATTTATCCTGACATTATCAGAGACATCCCAGACTTGGAGTGCAGGAGAATGGTTCATTGCTGTATTTCAAATTACCGAGCCAAGCAGGTTGCGAATGCAGATTCAGGCACATGGGGTCCCCAGACCGGAAGCAATCCGTTACACCTTGTGTTGGCATTTTGAAGGGCAGCGCTCTCCCACTCTTCCCGCCCCCGGGCAAGCCTGGAAAACAAAAACAAAAAGTCTAAAACAGGAATTTACAAGCAACTAACTAAACTTGAAGACAGAGGTTTTACCCTGCACTCAGCTATAGCAAAGAGACCGTGTATAACCAAGGCCTGTGGCAGTTACACACAGTATGTAAGTTGATTATAGGACCTATTTCTTGGTTAACTTTTAAAGAGTAATCGAAAATGTGGTTAATACCTGACAGCTGCCAGATGGCAATCATAGTGTACGATGTTAAAGTGAGATACGGTGCTGTACCCATGCTGCTTTCGAGGCTTGTTTTCAGACTCCTCCAGGGGCACACGTTTGGTGTAAGTGTAAATACCGAGCACTTTAGTGGGCTATAAAACAAGCGTTAGAACTTGCAAAATCTATTGACCAAGGACGTACAAACACAAAACATAAACTAACAGGTACAATAAACAGCTACAAAATTACAAGGGGAAGAGAGACCTAGTCAATTCAGCTTGAAAGTCCAGTAACACCAACATTTTGCAGAGAAATAACAAAAGTCTCTACAATCGAAGAAGAAATAGATCCAACAAGGACGTACCTGAAACTTGTACCCCTCTCTACAGATGCAGCAGGTGAGGCCAGGTTCCTCGATGAGCTCCTCCATCTGCTTTAGAAGGGCCGTCTTTGTCACCACCTGTCCCTTTTCGTTGGTCTGGGGATAAATCAAAATGTAAAACGCTGTTTATAAAAAATGGCAAGATTCTGCTTTCACCAGTTAACGACATGCAAGGCAGTGATACCGTAATAAATACCATTCACATAAGTCATGATATATTTGTGCCCTAAATATATGAATCAAGAATTTCTATTCCTGGAAAATAAAGGGCTGACCATGAACAACGTTCTAGAAATGAATGCGTGATGTGTTAGTTTGGAGGTTTTATTTTGTCCTTGATTTTTAAAGCTCAGTTACTGTGAACTGATAATAAATGGTTTCCATAAATAACTACATTTACTATGATATCAGTATGGTTTCAGCTCTGTTTGAAACAGACTTGTCACCTTGGCACTAGCATGTATAATTTACAGTTGCAAACAGGGGGCCATACTGTGTTTTCATGTAGTTGCGCCAAGGGTGGTCAGTGCTTTAACACACTACTTTTGTGCTTTAACTTACAGTCATGCCCAGAGTGCCCAGCGCTTTCTGCCTCATTGCCATGGCCATACGTTTCTTTTCCGCCCGAGTTTCTTTCCTTGCTGCGTCTATCTTTTTATTAACATCAGGATGTTCTCTCAAAGCCTCCAGAAGATTCTCTGCCAAGGTCCCGATGCCCTCGTCGCTTGACACCTGCTCAAGCTTGTGCAAGTTTGTTATGGAGTCTGTACCAATCAAGGCCTGAAAATCAAACAAAAGATGTTAACTTCCTCTTCAAATGAACCCATCTAACCACAAATCCTAAGGATGACCACAGTGTTAAGAAATAAATCTCATTAGTCAAAGCATGGCATGCGGCTGAATGACACACAAAGGAGGCATCCACTCCTAGCGATAAAATAACGTTTGTAGATACAATAGTAAATAAAATGTAAAAAAAAATAAAAAATAGATAATCTTTGTGATTTTAAATAAGGGATACAATATAGTAATGTCAATTAGTAATTTATTTAGCCTGAACAACAAGTGCTGCCCAGCAGATAACAGATCTGATAAGCAGACAGTTTAAACTAGTCACAGCTCTTCCTTGGGATCTCTTCCCTCCCTCCGATAGCATGAGGAGAATGCATATTATAGGTCATTGTTACTCCTGTATTTCCCTACAGCACATGGAACTTATGGCAGGAAAGCTCTAGCACAATCCAGATTACACTATTCTCGTGGTTTTGGAAACAGAGGCTTTCTATGGGTAGAGGACTGGTCCCTCATAAATCCTTTTATTTAAAATACAAGAGCGAACTGAGCTGTATGTATAGAGTCACTCACCTGCGTGGGAGGGTGCTGTGTGGCCAACCCTCGTAGCAGCCTCAGTATGAAGGGTAAAGCAGGTCTGGACAGAAACTTCTTCCAAATGTCAGCATCGAGGCTTCAAGGGAAAGGAACATATTAAGAGACATGATGTGCTGCCTTCCACTTGGCAAACACGTGGCCTACACAATGCCCTTCCCTGCACCTAATCAGGCACCTTGCTGTACCCAGAGAATCAATAGCCCAGACACATTGCCAGCTGCTCCCAGAGATAAAGTACAAGTGTCCTGCTGGAAAAGGAACTTTAAACATCAATGAGAGCTAAATGGAAATATAAATGCTTTCCGTGTTCTTACACTTTGCTTGAACATAGCACTTTAGACTTACAGAGTCAGGGACAAGCAATTCTCTCAGCTCAGCAAGGGTGAATTTACTTTGGCTGAGACTGACTACATGCACACAGCATGATTCAAAAGCTACAGAGACATCTCTGACAGTGAGAGTTCCTTACTCCCACAGCCCAGTGACCACTATTGAAGCTCTTACTGTGGTGAGGAGTGCAGAGGCAAGTATAAAACATCTATCTCCACTTTTTGGTCTTGTTCTATGTTTTTGGGCTGATGTATATTGCAGGCATTGCGGCAGCCAAGAGTAGTGGGAGTTTGGGATCTTGTGTGCTTGCATTTAACTCCATAGCAAATCCCTTACCAGGACAATGTCATCACCCCGAGTGCGCTGCCGCATGTATCCAATTCCAATATACTGTAAGAACACATATTGGTTTCAGCTAATGACTTGGGGCAATGATATCTAACTTGCGGGACATGAAGCTTCCATGATCTTCGGCCAGCCTTTAGGCATTTCAGGTACACACAATCATTTGTATTAAGTGAAACAATTCTGGATGATTACAGAATTAATTCACTATCCTGAATGCAGTTACTGAAAACAGAAAAGGTTAAAGGCTTTATTCTAAGACCATTCCCAACAGGTCTAGCAGCTCCGTCGACACGCCAGTTTCTGCATGACTGAGAAACGCTGTGAGCAGGTTATGGTAAACAAGAGGCATCAGCAGTTATGTTGATAAAAAGCCCAGCTATGTCCCTAAACATTAAAATGCTAAACCTTCCAGCAGCTGCCAAGCAAAGATTTGGAAATGACAAGGTAAAACAAGTACCGAAAGCTCCTGTTGACAGAATCTTACTTTTTGGCGCATGGGATGTGTTTTTTCATGTAATCCAGGGCATTCTGGGTAATCCCTTTCTGAAGGATGAGATCCTTAAGCTGATGCCCATTGCTGTTATTCTTGATGCCAGCAGCAATTTTACAGAAACAATCCAGGAACACTTTGTCATCCGCACTGTGCTCGTCGTCATACCTGTAGGAACAAAAATCATGCTCACTTCAATATGGCAGTTTATTTGTTCTAACGTCTTGCCAATGCCTGTTTAGTTAGGAATTACAAAGGTCTATGTAGAACAGCTTGATCACGCTGCAACAAAAAAGGAGGACATGAATTTAGTACAATTAAGAGAACACTAAGTACTATAGCCACAACTGGACATTGCACTTGTTCTGACGCCAGGAGTGACCTCTTGTGTCGCCCCACCCCAACCCCCTCTCCCGGTCAAACAATTTGTTAACAGTTTAACAACTTACCTGGGGTATGCTGGGTGTTGGTCACCAGCTCCATTGTAAACTGAAAGCACTCTGCTCTAAGCTAGCACCTTGGCTGAGAGAAATCAGTTGAAACTCTCAGCCAGTGAGGGTTTAGCTCAGGAAAGCTAATGGAAGCTCTGTGGTTGAAATTCTGGCTCTTAATGAAGGAGGCCACTGTTGCACCTCATGCATGTAAGTTGTCAAAAAATTAGCAAACCGTTTGACTACGTACCAGGAGGGGGGCATTCCAGGGTGCATCTGGTACCATTAAGCCTACAGTGTGCTGTATTGGTTTTTGTGCTTGGAGTGTTTCTGTAAACAAGAATGGAACTTACTTATCGAACGTGCAGTATGGTTTAAAGCGTTCCACAAGGATTTGCATCTTTTCCATCTCACCAAACGATAGATATGGGATAATGCGCAGAAGGCCCTGTAGAACACTTGAATTGGAACGGACGAATGTGCTGTTAATTTGATCGAGTAGCATTACCAGCTGGTCTTTGTCCCCTGTGAGTAACAGATTACCCTGAGGGTATAAACAAAGATTAATGTGAGGATGTGTAAAGTTGGATTAGCTACAGTTCACAAGCTTAATGCATCTAGCGGTTACATTTACTACATCCTCCCTCTACGGCACAAGAGCTCACAATTTCTGACCGCATACACCTGTTTTACTTCAATGAGGCTATTCAATGCAGGACTAAACTAGGTCACTGAGTCAAAGCTCAAATCAGAAAAATGTGAGAATATACACACGTTTTAAGGTGTAAGGACAACTGAACACTCCATTTCATTTGACAGGATTTAGAAAAACTACTCACAAGTCTAGAAGCAGTTGGCCCCGTACAGAACTGCAACTCAGATTATGTGATCTCTCTTAGTTAACTACAACTCCCAGCCTTGTTCACTCCACTCACAACATTTATGATGAGACTCACCTTGTCTTCACTCAGTGGCTCTGCATTTGACTCGTCTAGAATAATCTCCATGATGCTCAAAACTTGCTCAGCAACAGCAGCACCACCGCTGTCTTTACTTTCCTGCTCCGCCACCAAGGCCTGCAGAGGAAAACAAAGCATTAGCCTGTGCCAGAGGGGTGTTCACAATACCAGCAGCCGGCAGAAAATGTCTCACCAAGTTTAACGTCCCCAGCATGACATTCAGAGTATTCATTTCTGGTTTCACCAACTGCTGCCGATTCACCTTCACTTTCACACAGTAACTGAACAGTTTAAGGAGGACCTGAAATAAAAGGGAACGCTGTAAACAAAAACTGGAGGAACCTCTGGTTCTTATCAAACATACTGACAGCTGTCAAATCATGCAAAAATAAGGCGCTTACTATGAACATTTCAGGTCACTGAGTGTTAATATAAATCTTGGCTTAATAGAGGTCTTTGCATAAGTTATGTTTTTAAAATATCCTCTTGGAAGACCAGGACAACAATTTCAGCCCAATACAAGATGGAAGCCAAACGTAATTGTTAATTAAGCAACAACTAACATTTCTCCACACAACGGATCTAGGTTTACTTCAAATCTTCAGCAAATGACAAAACGTGAAGTCTGCTGTATTTTGTCAGTGCACTGTACAGATTACTTATACACCAAAACAAATATATAGATTAGAAGATATTCTTAATCTAAATGCAAGATGAGAAAAGAAAAATACACATTAAGGGAACCCCACCAGTTTTTTGGAGGAGACAGACATGAATGCCATATTTTTAGTCTTTACCACATAGTGCTAAAAGCATTCAAAATATATACTTATTGAAAAATATATTTAAGAATATCTTTCCAGCTATGATTTTGCTAGGTTATGTACAGATTACAATGCCGTGCCCTACGTAGTGGTTTTATTTTTCAGTGAAACTTACCGTGAGAAGGTGGCGGCCCTGTTTGAAATCCTTAATGCCTGTCAGACGATTCAACATACACTCCAGACCCCCGCACTGCGCCATTACCCCTGCCATCCTGTACACTTCCTCTTGATCTTCTTCTTCATCTACCAGAGAATACAAGTAAATACAAAATAAATCATTTAGAGGAGAAAAAATAAATGCTATTTTCTACTAATTTTCTTTGACAGCAACTGAAAAACTTGGAAAATGAAAATCTTGTAATGAAAAGGTGTCTGTAGTTGGGGTCCATTTTGTTACCTGTGGTTGAATCCAGAGACTCGATGAATTCCTCTGTGGCGTCACCAAGAAGTCCGCGCATTCGGTAAATAATTCTCATGGGTTCTCCCTGATATACACATTAAAACATGTGAGTTAAACCTCACAAGATTAGTACTCATTAAGATAATATTAATTTGCGTTCTAGTTATGGATAACATTCCACGTGCCACAAATTGATAAGCATGCACAAACTTACCACAGTAATTAAAACAGATCATTGGAAAAAAATAGTCACATGGACATATGCAACACACACAAGGATCAATTCAGTAAATATCAATTTAATCTGAATAGTAAATCTCTAGCGATAGCAGAGTTTGCGAATTTCTGAAAAATCAGCTATTTTAGTTTAAATTTGGGGTTTTCTAAATAGATCCCAGAAAAGTTTAAAATACAAATTTACGTTAAGCATTGTGCTGAGGTCTTAACATTTCAGTTTGTTCTCTGTACTAGATCAAGTTAGAAACCAACGTGAGTGATCGACCAGTGTAAAAATATGTTTCAGACAGATTCAAATTCCTTTTAAACCACACCTGAACGAATAGATTCGGACAGAATTCACCTGTGGAATCTTCATTGAATAGGACTCCACGTGTAAATCCCGGACAAATCGATTTGTTCTGGTGTGGGTTAAAAAGAATTTGATCCTCTAGCATGTAAGCACATTAAGCAGGGCCCTTAGCCACTCTGTTTCTGTGCGTCCAATTGTCTGGTTACAATTACATGTCTGTTAGTCCGTCCATTGTACAGCGCTACATTAATAATAATTCAGACAAACCGGCTGAAAACATTTTTTTTTTTTTCACAAGACTAGCACGCAGCTCAGTGCAATGTCCTGCTGCCCTCTAGTGTTCAAACAAGGGAGAAACAGTCACCCCACAGGCGTGCTTGTAATTTGATGTGGGGGCATCCTGCCACCGCTAACAATAGTAAAAAACAAAACAAAAAAAAACCAACAACAACAACAACTTGCTATTCTTAATATGGCAGAATCAAGTCATATGAATATTTATTATGGCAAGTTAGCAATAATAACCAATTAGGAATCAGAGCTCCACCGCTATGTAAATATACTTATTGCTCCAAGTATGTAACAACTGTTAATTTGCGACAATGATGTAACACTGCATTTTGTGAATAGTTAGGGTTTGTTTTAATATTAGGTATTGTATTTAATCTAGGCACCGTGTTCCACAGAGCACACATTCAGCATCCATCATTAGGAGAGTGATAACTAAAAAGGTGGGCAGACATGAGGAGGCAGGGATGTTACCAATATCCTCCTACAACAATTGTAGAGATCCAGGGCTACAGCGCCCCAAACCCTCCCAGCAACATCTCAGTCATGGAAATGTGGACTCTTCTTTGCCCTTCTGACTCCACTGCATGATGCATTGCTCTGTGTGCACTGGGTCTGATTGTGACATGCATCTGAGTTGAAGAATCTTAAGCCTTATGTCTGCACAAGGAAGGCAGACATATTAAATCAAAGAGGAAAATCATACCTCGTTGGTTGGACACCACACCTTCTTGTAGACTTCAGCCACAGGTAAGTCCAAGTGGATAATCTTATTGTTCACCAAGAGCTGCGAGAATAAGGATAGCAGGAAATGTATTAATTTAAATGTGCAGCATTGGATAATAAAACAGTAATTACGTTGCAGCACAGTGCTCAACTAGCAGAGAGAAGAAAAACAAACAAAAAACATTTCGGCTGCCAATCTGATGGTAAACATGATGAGCACACCGTGTGCCCTTCTTAAGAACCCTAATAAAAAAATAAAATCTTTAAATAATGATCAAAGAAAAACAAATCCAAGTGAATTAAGCTTGTGTTATTGCACTCACCTCCATCCCACTATCATCCTCTAACAAGGCTACCAGGTCGCAATCCTGGCAGATCTTATTCTTTATATCCCGCATTAATGGGCCAATCCCAGGCTCGTTGCTGCTGTATGGATTTCCTGGCATTCGTCCTTGTAGAAAGTCTTCCTGTTGTGGGTCTTTCTCGAGAGTAACAAAGAACTCAGTGACTTCATTTTCCTCCTGGAAAGAGTGTGAGATGGCGAGCGATACAGGGTGAGTTCTAAACATGTGTTAAGCTGGCAACAAAGGCTAATGCAGGCATTAAAATAGGCAAGGAGATAACTGGAGAATTAATAGAATGCAGGAATCAACGTTACAATAAACAAATGATGATAATGAAAAATAAAAAAGTTTGAATGTTTCGTTGGGGTCTACTCACACTGTAGTAAATAGCATTGAAACATTTTCTGGAGCAAGGAAAGGAGGGAGAAACCGCATCCCTTGACATCACACACAGGTCATCAAGTCAGATTAAAGGGTAAATGAAAGTGTGTAAAGATCTAAATAAAAACCCTGTAACGTGGATTTTTCTCACTCACCGGGTATATAATGCTGCAGAGTCTCTCAAAAATGAATACAGGTGTCCTGTAATCATCCAGGCTGTAACGCTTGGCTGTCTCTATACAAACTGCCATGAAGGCCTTGGTTTCGGATTCTGTGCCTGCAGACAGAGAACAGGCACGTCAGGAACAGACACAGCACAGGAGAAACAAGCACAAAACATTAAACTCAACGCCCAAGTTCTGTCTCTGCGCCAGCCTGGGGAAACATTTTACTGCTCCCACATCTCTCTTGGCACTTTGAAAACACCCCACACATTTGGGAGAACCGTCTCTGGAACAAAGAAAGGTGTTTGCATGTTCATACAGCAGAGCTATCAGTAATCTGCCCAGGTTTAGATTGGCTGCTAGAACTCTGTGCAGCTATTTTTCCTAATCATTAGCAGTCATTGCCATTTAGAGGTACAGCAAAATTCCTTGTCACGAAGGGAAACTATTTGTGTAAGTCCTACACGGTTAGGCCTCCTAGTGAAAGACTGTCATATCACCCCGTTTAAGAAGCATAAATAATTATAAATGATTTTATTTAAATAATAATACAGTAGGGTTTATACAGTAAGCCGTGGATTTAGTTCCCTCCATAAATCAGCTATTTTGACCTAAATGTTGCCCCTCTGTTTTCAATTCATTGTTTAGTGAATAAACCCATTTGTGTTCCTTAGTCATTTGTCCAACATCCCCTCTGCCCATCCTAACATGTACACCCCTGTCAGTATTCCACAGCTCACTGACAGACTCTGTTAATGCATGGTAACTGTGATAATAAGTGACTAAAGGATTCTGTGCTCACCGGGCATAATTCCAAAATTATGAACAGAGCTCTCTGTAAGCTGATGGCCTGAACATCAATTCCGACCATCTTAAGAGCCTGCCAACATTTCTCATAAACCACTGCTGTGGAGGGGTCTATGGGATACGCTCAGACATCACTGAACGGAATAAAGGCCTCTGGATTTGTGGAGCCATATTCTGGTTCACTGAAAACTCACTGCAGATGCTGTAATCTATAGGCAGTCGCTGACAGTAAGCAACAATGAGTACTTTTATCAATTGTTTTTAAGACATTACCTACACAATAACTAGAGCAATGCTGTGAATTGTTGGGAAAACTTAATTAATTTGGCAGAGCCAGCCTATAAAGTAAAAGGAATATTACTCTGCAATCTCGGGAAAGTGAATGAAGACAGGGATACGGTTTTGTGTGCTGTCCTGCTGATATGTTACCTGTAGTCATGTCCTCCAACATCTCCAGTAACATGTCCTGGGTCTCGTCTATCAGTTTTGTTCTCTGCACCACCAGCTTGCGCAGGCAGAGGTAGCCATTTAGTACAGTGCCAACCAGCCGGCTCTTGAAGTGACGTTTGATTGATTCAACCTCCACAAACGAGGACAGGAGACCTGAGGAACAGGAGATGTGAGTGAGATCGAGACCAGGTCTCAGTTACTCTACCAACTCCTAGTACAGCAGCAAAGCTAGTCTCACCTGTCAGACTTTTCAAGGCATATCCTTGCTGCAAGTCAGTACTGAGGGTGGCCTCCTCCAGAGCCAGCAAACGGGCAATTTCCTAAAATCAGATTTAGTGCATCAGTAGGAATCACATTTCTGTAAATCTAGCCACACTCAGGTTTCCAATGACACTTCACAGCCTTCAACAAAAAGTGCATTTGTCATGGGACATAACTTGTGCTCTTTTTAAAAACATGAATATCGTGCTAGCAAGAAGTGCATTTTAAGCTGATACTTCATGAAGCAAAAATTGACCTAATGAGGTATGACTGCTTAAAGTAAGTCCCTCACGACATTCACTTTCAAATACTGAACAAAAAACGTTTGGTGCCATCTATAAAACCGTTCTTTTGTAAAGATAATTTGATTTCCAATTTTATATCAGATCTAAACACTCACAATGACATGTGAAGAGGCCGTGGAACTGGCATCAGGTTATATTACCTTAGTAATGAGATTGCCAACATACGGCAGAACGCCCCTTGCAGCAAGGTAAACCTTCCAATGTGCTGCTTTGATAAGTTTCTGATATAGAGCAAGATATTCGGCTGCACATTCCCCAGCAACACTCAGTTCATCCAAGTAACTGTAAGAGAAGAGTCAAGGACTAGATAAAGAAACTGTACCGAACATGTGTTCACTACAGGATTATAAATTCTGGTTCACAGTAAATGTGCAACTCACAGCAAGTAACGCACCTGGTGAGAAGGTCCAGGACCTGCTGTCTGCGGCTTGGAATTGTGGCCAAAGCCTCAACAATAGTGCATGCAGCCTGCCGTGCCGCTTGGGTGGCCGGAGTGAACAACACCTGGAAAGAGAGAAATAAGACATTTGTTCCAGAATTTCAGAAAGCTGAAATGAAGACACAAAGAAGGAATTTCTTACCTGTCTAAGCCAGTTATTGTGCCCTAATTTTAGATCGAGGGGACACGTTCTCTTCCCCTTTCTGCTCATAAACTGTTTCCACTTCCAAACATATTTCTCCTGCAAGAACATCTGCCTCAGTTCTGCTTTGCTGGGGGTCTTCCCGCTGCCATCTATGGCTGACATTGGAAAGCAAGAGGAGACATGTGAAGACTAAACCTTTTCTGGATCACACCTATAAAATGTACATTACAGAGTTTTCCCTAAAGTTCACCATAACAAACATTTTATTCTAAGAAAAACTTGGTAAACGTGAAGTTTTGGAATGGGACTAACCATTCCATTTGTTAACCATTTCTTTCCACCCAAGTACCCCTAATACAATCTCATACGTTAACAAGTAACTGGTCTCGGTCCTATTACTAAGTTATAGAAATAAATGGATGTTTAAGAAGCCCATTGGCCCCCTCAGAAATTTCTTCCTTCATACAGATTTCCTGTAGCAATCACATGAATATTGTCATACTGACTTTCATTTACAAAAGGTACTGGAGCTCACCACGGGCAGGGAGGCACTTCTTCCAGGCTTCATAGGAGGCCTTGGGATCTCTCTTGAGCCAAAGTTGGGCCTGGGCATGAATCTCATTACTGTACGGTTTAACTGTAGTGAGGGCTTCATTTGGCACTTCCTGAACAAACCAAAACAGATTGTGGTGTTACTTGTAGTAAATTGTATCAATCAGATGGTTGTGTTATCCAATAAGAATTTGCCAAGGACAAGCTGCACAGTGTATGATGGGAGGTCATGCTACGCATTGAGAAGCCAGGATATTACCTTGTTTTTTTTGCTGGTCGGGGAAGGTGGCTTGATTAGCTTTTGTAGAATTCGCAAACACATGAGAGTGATGTTTTCCACGACGACAGGGGTTTTAATGTTCACGGCCATCAGGAAAAGACTAAGAGCTGAAAACACAGGAAACCACCATAACTGGTACAATAAAATCAGGACCTGGGAGTAACTCGGCAAAAAGATTATGTTCTACAAACATGGGTGACCACATGCAGCTAGTCAACAAATAAAGCAGACCCTTTCACTGCTTAAACTTCTATGGGACCCATACTGGGAGAAAGTGGAGGTGGAAATGGGAAAAGAAAGGTGAAATGATAGAGATTTTGTAGGGGAATACAGAGTTTCTGTATGAATTTGCATTAAAAATTCAGGCCTCTCATTACATAAGTGCTGCTGGTAAATATGTTGTGAGCTGGACATAAATATGCTGCGCTCAGACGGCATAATCTCAATTCTAGCATGGATGCCATAAAATATTAGTTGCTTGTAGAAAACATATTGCATAAAATACTTGTTATTTTTAAGGTTTAATTGCTAAACCAGCAGTGTCTAGAATAAACTTTAGAATTCTGGAAGTAATTACTAAACGTACCACATCTCAGACGCAGTTCCCAGCAGATATCTTCTTTGGCGATGGAATCTGTGAGCAGCAACATCTCATACTGGAGGCTGCTGGCCTGCAAGACAAGAGAAACAAAGACTTAGGTGAGCATTACAAAGCTGGAAACGGTTCACATCCCATGGACAGGAGGCTACATTCTTACCAAATCAGGGTTTGCCCAGTGACCTTTTAGAGCAGTTGACACCTTTCCTATAATCAATTCATTCATTTGCAACGTGGCTTCAGGATTGTCCCTGATAAAAACAAAGTAACAAAAAATGTTATAAAAACAAACCGCTTTAATTGCCCCCTTTCCAAGATATTAATAGGAAGTTTTCCACACCTGGTAAGAAGGCACATGACCTGCCTCACTTCATCACGCATGGCTGCAGGCCCTCTTCGCAGATTATAATCAAATAGTTCGCGAATTAGCCCTTGTGATACCAGAATGTGTCTGATCGTACTATTGGTAGCCAGTGCACGCAGCAGTGTAATGCAGTGCTCGGTCACAGCGGACGCACACCCATAGCACTTGGTGGAGGAGGTGTGACCACATCCGAGAACGGACAAGGCACGGTACTGGCTGGCGGTGAAGGTGGGCTGAATGGTGGTACGAGAGGATTTGGTTGCTGCTTCCCTTTGTTGGAGATCATATTCCAGGAGCTCCTTACGAGAGGCAAAGACTTTCTGAGATTTAAAAAGACAGATAATGTGACGGGAGAACAAACACCACAAATTCATACAGAAGGTCTTCTTTCCATGCTCTATAAATGCAAAATTATTATTAAAATTCACCTAAATACAGTATAAGAAACTAGCAGAGGATTCATTTACTGTATGAACCAAACGAGAGTTAGTCAGATATGAATGCACTTGACTCTGCAACAGAATAAATGTAAGATCAGAACATGTAAAACAGAGCCACTAAAAGATCCCATGTATTCCTATTGCTATAGTGTCCTAGTCCATATTTAGATTTTCACTTTTAGATTCAGCTCCTTTTTAAAGTGCTGCTACAAAACAAAATAAACTCCCCCCTAAAAACTCACTCACTGCAGGGTCAAAACTACAGGAACTACATCGAGATGAAGTGATCTGGGTAACTAGTGGTCATTACCTACTCAACATGCCTGCAAACTGACTGATTTCTATAAAAAGTCAGTGAATATCAACATATTTCAGCACCAAGAAGTCTTGTGACCAGAATCATGGGTTCTGTGCAAGATTACCTGTATGATCTTGGAGAGCTCATCAAACGAGTTCTTGCAGTCCCCACAGTATTCCTGTGCTAGCTGCAGGATATACCGGTTGACGCTGGCCGACGTGGAGCTGATTCCTCCCGCATTGGCAGACTCATCCTGCAATGTAAAGCACAGCTAGATGAAAAATTAATACTGCCGGTAAACGTATAACAACCTGAAAAAACTAAATAGTTTAGGGGCTAGTTACCTGGGGCTTCTCGGGGGCAGCCTCATTCACTTTGCAAAGCAGGCTCTCCAGCTGCGGCCGGTGGCCCATCAGCTGGTGATATACACGATCCGCTTTGTCCAGTAAGGTGTTAATGTTGCTGACGGCCTGCAGACAGGAGAATTGTTTAAGTTTGTTTTAAGTTCGAGTGACATAGTTATAGTATTAAAATTCCTGTCCAGAGAGAATAAACTCACTTTCTTGCGATCCTCTTCATTCTCAATGGGATCCACTGCGCAGCAAGGTCTTGCGTACAACATGAAATCGAAGCGGGCGTACTTACAGAACCCACAAGCATTACACAGGAAAGGATCCTTCTCATCATAGTTAATGGATCTAAAAAAAATGAAAACAGAACATGATTTTACACATAGTATGGAAATGTCCCAAATATTATTGGAACCAGGTGTTTAATAAATGTACATTTGGTTCCTGAGCCTAGGCTCTACAAAGGGGGGGAAAGGGGGAGAGAGCTGAGGGTACAAGTTTTAAGCAGCCATGGTTGTATGGTAACAATGCCATTGGTTGATCAGTGCAGTGCTTGGGCCTACAGAAAAACTATAACATCACATGGACTCTTGGTTGGGCCCATGTGAAAGCATGTTTCACAAAGAGCAGATAGACACAACAAACAGCTTAGCACTAGACCTCACAAGCCCACATCACCAGCCAGACAAGTGACTTATTTAGCAGAGGTTTGAGGCCCATGGGATATACGGACCGGCATTTGTGACACTGGTACACATTTTCCCCACAGTTTCCACACACTCCAGGGTTGGCAGGTACAGAGGCGCTGCATCGCGGGCATTGTAACGTCTCAGAGGAAGCCTGGTAGTTCTCATAGAAATCTGCAAACTCAATCATTAAGTTTGAAGCGATGATGGGAAGTGGAAGGTCGATCTTCACCTCAGTTTGTCCAGGTGTTAGCTGAACCTTCTTGGCTTTGTGCCAGCGAGCTGGTCTGAAGGGGAGAAAAGGTTTGTGAAAAAATGATCTCCAACAAGGTTTCCTTTGAGTTCAGCTAACATTGCAGTGTACTTACTTGTTTTTGAGCTCTACGATGGCTTGCACTGTGCGATTGTTGTAATACAGATTGATGGTGCGCACCATCTTTGTGCGTTTCAAGTCACCAATTTTCACTGTCACTTTGCTGATTGTGTGGCTGCCAATTAGTTTCACTACCTGCTGTGTGGTTGTGTAACGAGTATCCACCTTAATTGATGACAGCTTGATGTTCTGCAAAAAGAAATATTTTTGTCACAGCAGCGTAGACCTAAATGCATGTTACAGGTGTCACAGCTTGTGACCAGGTTCCCTGTTAGAGCCACCAGAGATCCTGTAAGGAAAGCTTCGTTTTCAGCACTTTTCTTGATTTATAAATGCTGAAGAAGTAATACACGGCAATCGAATATATCTTTATACTTGATGAAAAGATGGTTCTACATACAAAATATTTTATAAATAAATAATATCCCCCTGCTTTTGAGAATGGAATGTGCTGTTGACATGGTGTCTTAAAGCATTAAAAATGTATTGAAAGAAAAAAAATTCTACAAAATAAAAAAATAATCTGCCAACGATACTTACACACAGGGGGACCTCGGGGTTGTTACACACAAGGCAAGGATCACTTTCCAAATAATAGCCATCAAACTCCACCAAGCCAGACAGGGTGCTGGAGAGAGAAGAGGGGATCAAGGCACAGAGTGAGGACCGCTATATGGTAAAAATAGATTCAGAAAAGCAAGGAGCAGGGGATGTGTGTCTGCAGGTGGCATGTGCGGATAAAAACCATGAAGGATTGTAGGAGCCTTGTAGGCACAGAGAGAAGGGACTAGCACAGTGGTATTAAAGCCAGCATAGAGCAAGCACTGTGACACTGCAGTACACAAGCAGGCATTATGTGGGTACAAATAGGAGGAAAAGAGGATGGCAGGAACCCAATGAGAGCTATTTAACTCACTTATAGATGTTGGAGTTGGGGTGATTAGTCAGGATGTGGTTTTGCGTTCGCAGGATTTCAACGGCCTTTTGAGAATATTCTTTAAACTGACAAGATAGATAACAATTGTATGTTACAACACTAGCCATTTCATAGGTTACTAGACACTTTTTTCATAGATAAGGATAATGTTCTGTGAATCCGTACCTTCTTCTCAGTCTGTGGAGTTTTCAGTGAAAAGTATCCCAGAAGATCTACAAACTGAGCTGCTTTGCGTCCGTACGCCGGAAGCTCAGGCCAAATGGACCACATGAGATCCAAAAGCAACTCCTGCTGGGACTTGTTTGAATTTCTAAAATCATTAAATGAAAAACAAGGATTAAAAAACAAACAAAAAAGAACCACCAAACCAGACAAAGTTCAATAATCTGATAATAGGGAAAATGTTAAATACCTAAAATGTAAACTTTAGTTTATATTAGATGTGTTAAAATGTATTTGTAGAGAATAAAATTTCCGTTAATTGATACCAGAACTCCGCAAGATAAATCACAGGGAAAATGATCTGGCATCAATTAGTTTATGATTAGTAGGAATTTTATGCAGAAGAATCGCTTTAAACAAAAATGTTTTACTATTACGGAGAAATTGTAAATGTTTAAAAACTATGACATAGGGAGCTCAGTGGTGCGAAAGGGCCTTACACAAAGCAGCAAATAAAATGAAAAAAGTGGTTCAGGCGATCAAAGTCACATCCAGTAGGAACACAGAGCAATGTTTGCATTATTCTATCAGAGAACGTACTGTCATCTATAGGATTTGTGCTCGGGTTCCATTAAATCTATTCGCAGTGCAACTGGCTGCATTCTCGAAGCATGTATTAAACCCAACAAGTTTAACATTAGTTAGCACTAGACCTAAACATTTAATCTCCCACGCAAAATAAAACGGTAAATACACATATAGCTTATTACAATCTGTCACTGGGAAAATAAGAATATTTTAATTGTACTGCATTTCAGTGCAACCATCCATTTTAATAATGTTTTATTACTGAACAAAATAAAAGAAAAGAAACAAGGGTGCATTGTTCTAATACATATTAGATATTAAAGATCTTTAACATGTTCTCATAAAATTAAAATGACACATCCGAAGCATAGGAACAAATTTGCCAACTTGCCATCTCAATTCAATTTATTCATTAAACTAGGAATTGCATCTTTATGGAAAAATTCTACAATGAAGCTTGGACAATTCTGGTTTAAAATTCTTTTTCATTAATAAAACCCAATGTTTGCTGCTCAGGGCCACTGGGTTCTACTATCCTACCTGTGCCGAAAGGAGATTTTAGAATTGCAGTCTAAACTTTTACTGAAATGAAGTTCCTGCTTTCTGTTGCCACTCGACATTTAACTGCAATCAGAGCGCTGCTCGCCATTTAACCACAGAGTGCCGCTCACCTGTAGATATGCAGAGCTAAACAATGTGCCTGCCAGCGCACCGAAGAGGCGTTTGACTCCAAGAGGAAACAGCGTAAAAATTGAATCAAGGTTTCTTTGTCTGCAAACTTATTGAGCTGATTCACCAGAGCCGTACAGAGCTGCTCTTCCTGGCTGTTGGAACTTTCACCTGCAAAACATGCCATTTAGATCTGTTGGAATTCTGCCTTTACATGGACTAACAAAGAAACCAGCTCTACAGGGAAATCTATTCTTATAACCAGCTTCTTACCGTCCTTCTCTTTTTCCTTCTCTTCCTTTTTACTCTTTTTAGTGGAAGACTTGGACTGTGAGCCGGATTGCCCAGAGCTGGAGGCAGACTGACTGCTGGAAGTGCCGGAGGATGAAGACGCAGAGAGCACTTTACTGCCGCACAGTGCACAGGAAAGGAGCTGCAGCAGCACAGGGGACACACCTTCATCAACCAGGAAACTGACTTGCAGCAGGAAATACAGGACAGCTGCAGAACCGAATAAGACAGAATCAGAGTGATGGTGACTATATCAGTATCTAACACAGAGACAAGTTACCCTGTAGATTCCTAATTTTGTAACACTATTTTACTTTTAACTTATACTTTTTTCATTCACCGCAACCTGAAGAAATACGAATGTTGCGTCCTGTAAGAGGTTGTGATCGTGGAATAAGGAGATACCTTTCTAATTGCCATAAATGTCTGACAGTACAGATAGGTGTGATCCCAGCCACTCTAAGATAGCTAAAGACCAACCTCCCAGAGCCCCTAAATTCTACCTTGCTCATGTTGTAATCTAGATATTGCTATAAAATGCATTCCAGCAAGCTATAGCCATGGTTCGTATGTGTTCTATTAATAGAAAAAAAGCCCCAGGCACTAATCACTGTGGTATATATGCATGGTGGCAGTGAAGGAGTTAATCTGTTTATATGTACGGTGGCAGTGAAGGAGTTAATCTGTTTATATGTACGGTGGCAGTGAAGGAGTTAATCTGTTTATATGTACGGTGGCAGTGAAGGAGTTAATCTGTTTATATGTACGGTGGCAGTGAAGGAGTTAATCCGTTTAGTCTGGGATTTGAATGTGAGAAATTTTACATCTTGTGGTAGATGGTCAGTCAGACCGGTATTTGGGCAGAATTGATGACACAGCTGTTTCTGGGGACTGGAGCTGGCCTGGGATTGGTTGAAGGTCACAAGCAGAAAGAGTGAAACTGGGACAGTATAAAAAGCAGCAGCACAAGTTTAATCCTGTCAGAGTGGACTGAAGCAGGAACGGTGCGGACAGACCCCACCCCCCTCACTTTACTTTTATTTAACTGTATTGTCATGGTGTTATGAACATAGATAACGCAGTCACAGCCATCCTCTCAGCCGGGGTAGGGGCATGGCTATGTAATGGTGGTTAATAAAGTTAAAAGGTTTGAAAGTGTGAACCATATGTTATATGGTTATGGTTACAAAGTTATGGTTGAATGCCCCTTGAGCTTTGAACAAATCACCACAGCCAAGCCAAACGAAAAGTAATTAAACGTTGTCTGTGGTTATTGTGTAGTCTCGTTTTATTTATATGAATATTGCCTACCATACATATATTCAAACAGGTGCTTACATTTACATGAGGAATTTTGGCTAAACCATTTGAGTAAAAAAAAAAAAAAAGAAAAGAAAGAAAAATGGACGGCTTACAATCATCCTTGATGCAAAACTTCTGCCAGTTAACAGTGCGTTGAGAAGCGATTTCTGCGCATGCCTTGAGGTGTTCCATCTGAAAAACAAAATTTCCTTTAGGTAATAGAAATACATACAAAGCAATAGGCGGAGCTGTATAAAATCTTGAATAATCTGTAAAACAAAACTGAATATACACAAAATAGCGTATTTTATTTATTGCAATTTACTTTTAACCAGTTGATTCTGGTATATGGAATATATTTTTTATTGAAATAAAATCGTTTTTTAAAGGACCATCAGAATATCTGACATTCCTTGGGAAGACCTATCAAAGAAACACAAGGGAGAACATTAAGAATCCAGCAACAAAAGGGTCTGGACAACCCCCAAATGATCCAAAGAAGCATACCTTTAGAGTCATATGATGGTGTACATATTCTTTTATTTCCCTTTAGGTAATAGGCCCAAATCTGTTGATTGAATATTCCCACCAACCTAATTAATTACTCCTTACCAGATTGATGAGTGTATCATACTGCAGTGCCGAGCCAGAGCTAGCTGTCACCACACTAGCGCGAAGGAAGATCCCGTGCTCCTCCAGTAGTTTCTTAATGCCTCGCACGTGAGAGTCAAGGGTGTGCAGGTCTCGGAGCTGCCGGTATTTCTCTTTTGAGCCACAGATGAAAAGAAGCAATTTGCGGACTTGGCGACGAACAAATGGTGTCTGTTGAATCATCAGATACTATAGAGAGAGTGTATGAGATACATATAATCATAAAGGCTTTCAGTGGGTTAAATAACCTGAAAGGTACAGTTCATCATCAGCGTTTGAAAAGTGGAGCAATTAACGTGAATATTGCATTAGTTTCCATAGTGATTGTTCCACTTAAAAGAACACTGCAGTCACAACTGCTCTTAAATGTCCAGGTGCTCCTGAGCTAAAAGCCAAAGCTTTAATTAGGGATTCTCTTTAGAAACAAAAAACTGTTCAGATATAGTACATGCCAGTAAGGGACCTAATGTCTACTCTCGGATTTTCATTATACTCAGCAGGATGTAACTTTGTGACAGATCCTGTATAATACACATTGCTCGTTATTTCAAAGGGAATACTTAAAGGACCACTCTAGGCACCCAGACCACTTCAGCTTAATGAAGTGTTCTGGGTGCCTGGTCCAGCTAGGGTTAACCCATTTTTTAATAAACATAGCAGTTTCAGAGAAACTGCTATGTTTATGAATGGGTTAAGCCTTCCCCCTATTCCCTCTAGTGGCTGTCTCATTGACAGCCACTAGAGGCGCTTGCGTGCTTCTCACTTTGATTTTCACAGTGAGAGCACGCCAGCGTCCATAGGAAAGCATTGTAAATGCTTTCCTATGAGACCGGCTGAATGCGCGCGCAGCTGTTGCCGCACGTGTGCATTCAGCCGGCGGGGCGTAACGGAGGAGGAGAGGCGGCAGAGAGCTCTCCGCCCAGCGCTGGAAAAAGGTAAGTTTTTACCCCTTTCCAGAGCCGGGCGGGAGGGGGTCCCCGAGGGTGGGGGCACCCTCAGGGCACTATAGTGCCAGGAAAACAAGTATTTTTTCCTGGCACTATAGTGGTCCTTTAAGTCAAAACTGACAGAAATTTAACCGCCTTGATAGCTACCAATCTAAACAGAATATAATTATTTTATTAAAGTGGTAGATATGTTCACCTTTTGTCACAGTGGAAATATTTTAGTTTTGTCAGACTGTCAGGAAACCCCAGGAATGCAAATGCTATCATGAAAACATGGTCTTTTATAAAGCCTTCAATGGTACAATTCAATGGCTTAGTCTGTGGAATATTAACCACTGTTATCAAAGAGTCAAATAAACAAGATTTACTCACAGCTTTCAACCAAAACAATATTAAAGCGACACTCCAGACCCCTAAAGCACTTTAGCTTGCTGAAATGGTTTATGTGTGAAGTGTGTGTTCTCTGGAAATAGTGCAGATTTCAATAGAAATTTAAACACTTAATTATACTTTTCAAGCAGGGAACCGGTCCTGTTACTTCCTGGTTTGTTTAGCTCAGTGGAGATAAACTCAAGAGGCAGCAATTGCCTTGAAAAGAGAACCTGCCTTGAAAAGACTTCTCATTGAGCTGCATTGGTTTGTCTGTGATTGGACAGCCACAGAAAGTCTGGGCGGGGTTAAAAGTGGAGGGCTTGCAAAGGCTACAGACAAGAGATCTGCAGCTTTAGCAAGCTGTTTATAGACCATTAAATGCTTGCAAGTTTTTATTTGGGGTATATTTACTAAACAGTGTTTTCGCTCTTTTGGGGGGGGGGTGGGGGAGGGGCGGCGGCAGTGCAGTGTCCCTTTAATGTACAATGTGACACCCTGAAATAGATATGATAGTCAATTCTACCTCTGAGATTTAGTAACATCATTTCTGTAAGAGGTTTAATCTGCCGTTTTTAAATATCCCCAGAGACTTAACACATGCCATTCAACATACCTCGGAAAGGAAGTAGAACCACGAATGGTCAAACACTGGAGGTGGAATTCGAGAATTGGTGTCTGCGATTTTCTTAATCTGGTAGGGTAACCGTAGCACCATCTCTGTGAGCAACTGTGTATATGCCTGAAAAACATCTGCGGCATGGCCCTAAAAACAGAAAACAGGTCAAGCACTCTCCTCTTCCCATGACATTGTGTGGTAATGGCGACTAATTATGGCACTGAGGGCATTAAGCAGAATGAGCAACATGGGAAATATCACACAAAGAGATGAAATTCAATCTATAAATTTCTGTTAAGAAAATCTCAGACAAATGTATAGATTTGACACATCAATCCTGGATAAATATGGGAAGCACAGGCATATCCCACAGTACTGACACAAACCAATGGTTAAACACCATGTTTAGACAGAGCAGAAGTTATGGTCTAAAGTCAATTTGCTACAAACTATTTGATCAAAAAATTTTTTGTAAAATGTTTAAAAAAAATGTTTAACAACACAAAGGTTAAACATGTCAGGGAAATAAAGTATCATTGAAAATCCAATAATCTAGCCAATCGAACGGTTACATGTGCAGAGAAGTATATGATACCGACAGCAGCCTGCCCAATAAAGAGCTCACATTATCACTCACCTTGACGTACTGTCGGAGAAAGAATGGGCTCATGTCAGGAGGGGAAGAGGAAGTATGTGGTTTGAGTAGCTGGCTGGCAGCCACAGGTTCTTCGTCACTCTGCTGGCTCTTCCAATAGTCAAGAAGAGATTTAAGGACATGAAGACAGTAATCCACAGCTCCCGAGCTCAACAAGGCAGTTGCAGTGGCGCTTGAGATCAGTGAGGAGGACTGTGAGGAGAAACACCAAAACTGGAATAACGGAATGTTTAGTATACATTTTAAAATACACACATTTATAACTTTGGTGTTAATTAACAAATAAAAACAAACTTACACAGCACATTTAATCTGTGCTTTTCAACATTTCAAGTGTATGTCCAGCAAAACTGAAGTTCTTAAAAATAAAATTAAATAAAAACTAGCTAGACTGACAACTTAAAGCAGGTTACAAACACGCTAGTTATACAGAATGTCATGTGCTTGTTTCAGTGTAAAAAAATAAATAAAAAAAAATATCCTCCAATTATGTTGATATGTTTTTATTTTTTGTCTTCAGTTATCAAACTATCTATATGTAAATGTAGGACTTATTTAATATCACTGGCCTTGGTGCCTATTTGCAGGTATCACTATTAAATTGCCTTCTCTGCTGTGGAACTTGACTGATTGCAGACATATGTTTATAGTAAGCCAGCAGTTGCATGTAATGAACTTTGGGTAACTTGAGAAATAGGGTTCCTTATATTAATTCCACCCACTAACCCCCTCTCCCCCAATAGAAAAGTTTTTTTTTTGGGGTGGGGAAGTTTGCACTATAGTTTTCCCCCTGAAAGAAAAAAAGGTGCAAGAGAAGGGGAGGGTGAATCAACATGCTAGTAAATGAGAATCAGGCAAACATTAGAATAACATTTTAAAATCCATCATCTAGGGTTGATGTATCTTTTGAGCAAAACGAGGCTAAAAAGCATTTCAGACGTGGACTGCAATTCGAGTGGCATCAGTGTAGTTTGTCTGAGATTTGAATTTTCATCCTCTTTATTGCCCTGTCTACTCTGGTTCTTTTTAAAAGTAACTTGCATAACTGGCAAAAACAATTAACAGTACAAAGATAGCCTCTCACCTCACAAATAGATGACTTTGAGCCAGACTTGGTGCGGGACATGAAGACACTGAGCAGTCGCATGACAACAAGGTGCACCTCATTCAGGGGCGTGCGCTCGTTTTTCTTGGAGACATCCTTAGTGACAGGAAAAACGCAAAGTCCACAATCAAATAAATGCAGGTGGGATAGGTTTTATTAAAGATCTTGATTATATATATACAGCAATATAAAAGTGTAAAATGTACCTTTTTATCCAAACAAAGTTCTGCGATCAATTGGGACAAAAGACTATCCAGCGCTCCCTTATCCTTCTCATCATCACCATCCAGATCTGCTGTAAGCATCAGCACTACCTGGGGAAGAGACGGTTGTTCTAGTGTAAGCCACAGCTCTGTATCCAGTCAGATGTTAAATAGCTCACAATTAAACTATAAACAGGCCTCGTCTAAACTGTACCAACAGCTAGCAAAAACTGTTCATCAGATTTAAACACAAAGACAGTGAAAGCACGAGAACATGTGTTGCTAGCAGCCAATAAGAAATTGTTTGTCCAGAGAAAATCAGCCACATGTAACCCTCCTTTACCTGCATGTATGGAATGGCACGGACACCCCCCACTCCCCGTAGATTATTCATGGACTGAAGCAGACGTTCTAAGAGCATCAGACGCAGCATGTGAAGTCTGGGAAATATAAAAATATATTAATAAAAAAAGAGAATTCCTTTCTATGATTGTTAATAAATAAAGTCAGCAGAAATACAGACCTGTTGCTTGCATGTGCATCGCCTTCTGTTTCACCTTCCCCCTCAGAGCCATCGCCCTCGTGATGTCCAGTGGCAGTGCTGATTGCTCCAGTGCTGGAACTGATGCTGCCAGGGCCAGTGGGGTGTCCCTCAGCTGTTGTGTCACCATAAGCACTGCTTCTCCCTGAAACTGAGAGAAGACGGAACTCTCATGTAGCTAATGTACAGAAATAGAGGGGTTTTTATCTACAGGTTGCAGTTACTGGACAGAACATATCTCTAAATACACACCACACAGAGCCAACACACATGTCCATGCAAACTAAAATGTGAGTCTCTTAAACACACAAAACAGACAGTTATCTTGGGGTGGGGAGACTAGAGGGTATAGAATTACACAGAATAGTAAAAATATTTCTTATACGGACAGTAATATAGGTCACAACATAGATAAAATAATTAGGTAGTATTCCATTTAGATTGTATATAAATTGTATGTCAACTATTTGAAATATAATTATACAAACTAAAACACTGTTCTGAACATTCAGTAGGAAACAAACATTTACAAATGTGAGGTAGGCTGAACTTGATGGACGCAAGTCTCTTTTCAGCTATGTAACTATGTAACTAATGCAAAACTCTTCCTTTCACAAAATTATGTGCCATTTCTTATACCTATCCTTCCTCTCCAGGACTATAAGGCTGCCAGGACGTGTGTTTTCACCAGATGTGTTAAATCAAAAATCAAATTAAGATAGATTACTCCAACTAAGTGAGCATTGAGATGGCTGGGAGTTACATATTTTCAGTTATTTCTGAAAATACAATTTCTCCATTTGAATCTGTGCCTGTCACAGCATCTTGAATGGCAGACTGCCATACACATGGCTATACTACGCTATCCTTGTTACTAGGTAGAATTGGGAGAGTTGTTGGGTCTGTTCCCTCTGCCCATTACTGATATTTTACAAATGTTTAGGTTTTATAAATAACCAACTGACTGATTTCTTACACCACAAAAACAAAGACACCACCAACGTACCACTATGCTCACCAGCTACCGAGTCCACGGCACTGCCTCCACTTTCTGAGCCTACGCTGCCCCCATGATCTGCAGGTGAGGTGCGCAGTGTAGATCCATCGGTTGCTGCAGTGCTTCCTTCGTCATCCGATGCTGGAGCTATAAGCATGAGGAGAGCTGTTACAGGTAAAAACACAATCACTAACTACCAAAGCAGCACAAATGGAGCCCCACAGATAGTACACTGCACTACAAATCTGAACGGATGTACAGTCCGCATCCTTGTTCGCATGTCACATACAGCTAAAGACAATATCATGCTATTGTAATTGATGGCAGAAGATTCTCAATACTTCAGCCACTAGTGGGAGCTCTAGCACCTTGGTGACGTGTGCACACTGACATCTTGCAATGTAGCTCATTATATGGAGAGCATAACCATAACATGCATAGTGGAGATAGAGCGCTTTGAAACTACCATTATTTAATACTGGGTGGCATGGCTGCCCTTAAAGTTGTAGACTGCTCTCCATTCCTCCACCCAGCACATTAGCTGCATGACATGCACGGGGACTATGAGTTACAACATAAGAAAATTATTTTAAGGGAACAGTATGATTAGACCTTCCAATCACAGCACTGAGCATAGTAACCTGCTCAGGAACAGTATGATTAGACCTTACAAATCACAGCACTGAGCATAGTAACCTGCTCAGGAACAGTATAATTAGACCTTCTAATCGCAGCACTGAGCATAGTAACCTGCTCAGGAACAGTATAATTAGACCTTCTAATCGCAGCACTGAGCACAGTAACCTGCTCAGGAACAGTATGATTAGACCTTCTAATCACAGCACTGAGCACAGTAACCTGCTCAGGAACAGTATGATTAGACCTTACAAATCACAGCACTGAGCACAGTAACCTGCTCAAAAACAGTAAAACTTTTCCAAAACTGAGCATAGTAACCTGCTCAGGAACCATATTTGAGTATCAGCTTGTATGGTCTGTCAGTACTGTACTTGGGGCTCACTAGTTACCTGATGCAGTGGTGTCAGACAGTGTTCCTGCATCCAGAGAGGAGGAGCTGGGAGCCTGCCCAGAGAGCCCCAAACTCTGTAAGCCAAGGGCACTGCTGCTGCTGCCTGCAGAGAAAGTGAGAGATTAATAAAGGAGATTGATCACAGAACGGTAGTCTAAATGGAAATCAAATTAGAAATGTTAAGCCAACATAGCAGAGCTTGAACAATATTGTAACTCTGATATAGACTTCACCATAATTCACCATTTAGCAACTTCAAAAGTAACCATGTTATTTGTGTGAGATACTATGTAGTCAATAGATCCAAGTTATTCCACCATTAATCTCAAAGTCTGGCTTTATCAGCAGCACGTTAATAGGTCCACAAATGAAAAGTGCCCCCAATTCTGGATAGGAATAATTCCAGTTCATTCACAACTGTATATATCTGGCTTTTTAAAATTAATTTTTAATAACATTTAGGTAGTACTAATATATACAATAAAAGTAGCCTTATTCATCGCTAAACAGAGAAGATATGTAAATAAACGTGGAGACAGAACACATCCATCCAAAGGTTCATTTTAAAGTCTCCCTGTTAAGAAGCCCCTTTATGTTAAGGACAGAAACCTACCTTGCTGGTCCTGCTGGAGGCTGAGTGCAATGGCCAACTCCACCATGGTCTCATCATCGGCATCTGGTGGTATATCCAGCATGGGAGGAAATCCTTCGGCACCAGCCAGCAGAGCCTCCAGGGGTGATGGATTGCCATTATTCACGCTATCTGCGCTCTCCAGCACCATAGACTCAGACTGAAAGAAATGGGACAAAAAGCAATTATGTCAACCTAAAAACTTATTTTTATTCTCCCTCAATGCAAGGTAAATAATGTCACTCCTGCCAGGCAAGTAACACAAGAGCCCCAAACGCCACACATCGTACATGAAGGGTCCCACTATAGCATTATACCCTCAAATACCACCCACCAATGTAAAGAACAAGAATATCTATTTAAAAAAAAAAAAAAAAAAAACCCAAGCCCTAAATAGTCAGATTCTCACCACCATTTCAAAGTCGCCATGATCCACCTCATTGTGTTCCTGGCTCTGCTGCCGCACATGTTCGCCATTTGGCATACCGGAGCTTTGCATCTTCTCTTCAGCCTCATCGTCGTCGTCATCGTCCTTGTCTCCTGGGCCAAAAATACTGATCACAACCCATTCAAGAGCCCATAAGCAGATTTCTACATCACTAAAATCTGTACCACAGCACTGGAATCATCACCACAATAATGAAGGCAATTTACAGCAAGGGGGCAAAGGAAATGAAACTCGGGAGACCCGAGTGCTCACGGTTAAAGAGGTCCTTGTATGGCGATGGCATCCTAACTACAGTCACACCTGAGGGATACCAAGCTCTCCAACCTAGACAGAATTAGAACATATACATGGGCATGGATGGAGATTGCTGGCTTAGAGAGAAATTTCCTCCACACCAGGGGCTGGATACCACTGGCTTTGTAACTGTGACACCCATTACTGAATTGTAATAACACCCAGAAGTGTGCCTGAGCCCAGGTCGCAGTATTTATAATTCCAGCTGTTCTTTGAAAAAACAACTAGTACATTTACCAATAAATTAAACATTAACAGCAGCATAAGGGGTCTTGGCACTACACAAAATTGCAAACTCCAATTCCCACAAAGCTCAGTAAGTCTTTAGACTGGCTGATCATCACAAAAATAATAATTTACAAACAGCTGGGCAATCAATGGTTGTCATGATTTCCGTTTAAAGAAGAAATGGAGATTACTGGCTTAAAGGGAAGCAGGAGATACGTAATAAATCAACTTGTCTATGTATAGTGAAATGTGAAGTGATTCTACCTACAAGTATATTAACCGTCTCTCCCCTTCTGGAGAATGACACATCCACAAACATTTTGCTCCTCTCTTTCCATAAACTCCTAGCACTATTTCAGTACACTGAGAGCACTGCATTGCTAAGAATTGACACACTATGCGGCATGGAAGGTACACGCTAGTCACCACCCTATAGGTGAGACAAACCGTTTGCCTCCCAAAAGCCTCTGCAATGTACTCTTAAAGAGCTCACACAGAAATTTACAACATAGGCAGGTGCTTGAAGTCTCAAATTTTATGCAATCATTTCTCTTGCCACAGGCATAAAAACCCAACAGAATAGAAATCCCCTGAATTGAACAGGAAAAAAACAGTGGGAGTAACAGAAAGGGCCTTACAATAAGAAAAACTAATCAGAATGATTTTATTTATTAAAAAGAAGCAAAACTATTAGCCATCACATTCTGACAAAACCACCCATGACAAGTTCCTTATATATAAAATATTAGCCATCACGCTGTGCCAGAAGCAAACATGTCCCCCCAGCTCCTCTTTTAAATACTATGCTTGCAGTGGAGGTAATGAGTGTCTCCCATCTCCAATACAAACATTCAGGGCTTCAGCTGCCTCCAAGTTATTCTTTACTAGAGAGCTGTGGTGAAGTAGTTTGGATGGGGAGGAACACATTTTGTTTGGTGCTGTTCTGCCTCTGATGGAGGGAAGGCTCCCATATTTGTTAATATTTATAGATATATTTATAACGCTGGCTGTTTGCCATCACAGAGGATACAAACACTAACGAGCCTGCTATTTTTTTTCTTCCTGTTCAGCTATTTTAGGCTAAAATTTCAAATTCACTTTAAATCCTTGAAAATTCAAATGGTAATGAATATCTCTGGAAGCTTTTACATAAACAGATTGGCAGCTCTCACTGTGGTTCTGTAGGCAGAAGTGCTTTTTTCCCCTTTTACAGTATATACAAAGTATTTATTAGGGCTAATCACACAAGGCATGACAGTTTCGATTGTCATGGGGACTTTCAAACATCTTGGGTATGTGTATATTTAATGGCACCAATTTCTCCATTAGGCAGATGGCTGCGTAATTACAGGCCGCAGAAACCTGATACATTGCGGAGTGAAAACAAAAACTCAGGAGATTGGTGGTAGATTTCACCCCCAATCTACCTACTTCATTGTGTTTTAATATAGGTGGATAATGAGAGATTTTCACACTAGTGTGGCAGCTGTTTTAAGATTTACATTTCCTTTATTGGTTTAAGCGTCAAGTATAGACACACAGCACTTTTTACGTACAAACTCTGATAAGCCTTTGATAATTCCTTTTCCCAGACCCTTGCTCTGCTTTGTAAATGGACTCTGACGCACGCTAATATCAGGTGCTGGGCACGCTAATATCAGGTGCTGGGCACGCTAATATCAGGTGCTGGGCACGCTAATATCAGGTGCTGGGCAAATACAGAAAGCAGCACTTACCCATTGGTGTATTGCTGCGTGGAGAGGAAGGCAGAGTCACATGCCGGCGTTTATTGCGTGGGCGCAGAACACGGATTAATGCTTGTTTGCAGGAAAAACTCACAGAAGGGTCCTGGTAAACAATGAATCAACATAAAATAAAAAGAAAGGAATGGTCTAAGCTACAAGAAAAACACACAACACCCTCAATCTGTATTATAGTAGTAAATGTACAGTCTAACAAAGGCTAAGCATCGCAAGGCCCCACACCAAGGTTAAAACATTCTAAATACACTGCACTTTATTATAAATAAGCTTTTTATCTGTTATCAGTTTACTGTACAATTGCCACTGAATTTTATTATTTATTTATTAAATAAAAAGTATATATTGACTCTACAAGCATGCTATTTCACCTGCACAATAAATTAAATAATTCACTTTAAAAAGACAGTGTTTCGGTCACAGTAAACCTGTCCAGCCCCCCTCCTAAAAACGTTAAATAAAAAAAAGAAAATCCCTAAATCTAAACTGTAATTGCACGCCAATTTCTTCCTCCGGCCTCCTCCACGGACATCACTCCCCTCACTGGAGGCAGTGGGGTGTTGGAGAGGAACATGTGTGGCATGGAAGGTGGAGCCGTGCCAACATTGGTTGTCTGGCAACAGACACCAAATTTGCAGGGAATTCATGTTAGCCAGCCTGACTCTTGTTCCAGGCTAGAAAAGGAAACCCAAATAGACACCTCCAGCAGCGGAGGGGTTTAATTCTGCATTTGATAGCAAAACGCTGCACATACAGACTCCAACCACCATGACTACAAACACTGACGTGGTCATGGTGTTTGAAGTAACACTTTAAATTCTGTTACTTAGATGAAAGAAAAACATGTTTTTGATTAAGCAAATCAGACATAATACAGTCTATGTATTTTAGTAAATGAAAGTATCTTTTCAGTGCATTTCCTGGATTACCCCTACTGCGTGGGAAGCTATTTTTAGGGCCTCTGATGAGAAGCACCATATATCTGACACTGGCTCAGCACAGATTTTTTTAGATTTCCACCCCAGCACATGGCATCATAAATGCTCTCAAAACCTTTGTTTCCTACATGGTCTTTGGTTGTAGAAGCTGTGCTTTAAACCAAATAGGATTTCAAGATGGCTGCCCCCACAAAACAAGCTGGGAGACGCAGTGAAATAACATTTCTTTATATGTATGCATTATAAAATAATACAGAGTCCATAATGCATGCAAGCTAATAATTTAAATATTAATAAAACCCAGCTTTGCTTTAAGCAGATTATGTCACATAATAAAATTAGCCCTCCATTACCATGTACAGTCACTCACCGGACACAGCAACATCTGCATGTAGATCTTGGATGCCAGGTTAATACAGTCCAGCTGACAGGTGCAGTACCCATGGATAATATCCACCAAAGCATTAACTGTGGCCTCTATGTGTGCAAGCCCTAGCAGAAACACAACTTGTTTAGTTTGCATACCCATAATACCTTGCTACATACATAAGAACTTGCACACCAGGCTATCGTTGAATGTACCTGGTAGACAAGCAGGGGCTAGGAACGCATTTTTAGGTTTTGATGCATGAAGTTTCCAAAACTGGTTAACCAGTTGTGTGATAAACCCATATCCATCGTCTCCATCTAAGGTTTTCACAGCGTCTTTCGGATCGTCCAAACTCTCTGGAAGTTATAAAAAAAGTGTATAGAAATAAACACAGAGAGTTTACCTCTGGCACGCAATGACAAATTTAAGTAAACAAGTGGTCTACAGTCAAAAACCTGAGTCGCACACTTCCCAAAGGCTGCAATGTTTGCAGGTGGACAGCAGTTAGAATACTCCAGACAATAAAACCCACTTTCCTTACAGCACACTATTCTCACCCATGTCTCCAGGAAGCCTGCCCTCTGTGTAATGGACCAGGTTACTGGGTCGCATGATGGCAATGGAACGAGCAGTGATTACAAGCCTCTGAAATACTTCAGGATCCAGATCCTTCCCCTCCTTGCCACAGGAGTTCAAGCACTGCACAGCGTTACTTAGCAAGGCCTGATCCTAAAAGGACAGTTTAATGAAAAGGATGAACCCCTGCATTTCCTCTCAATCAGGAGAAACTCATACATTCCTTCAGATACAGGGAGCTTGCGCAGCGCCCAATGACCACCTACCTTGTGGTTGTGGTATGCAGAGCGATTGTTGTGCAGACTTGCTAGAAGACTTTTTGTCTGGAGCTGGACACTAGCTGGTGTTGGCATTGAAAGCAGGACTGTGGCAAGTTCCAAAGCAGAGGCCTTAGTCTTCTCCTGAGAGGAAAACAAAAACCAATCAGATAGAGAAACTAATACAGAACAATAAATATAACCCCCCCGGCCCTCAACAAATGGAAACACTACTGTTTCTTATCTCCCCCTTAACTGTGTATGGAATGGAATATGGACCATGGTTATTTCTCTCTGACACTGCAGCACGAGTTAAGGGTGGAATGTGCCAGTTATCGTAAACAATCACAATGATGGGGGGAAAAACACAAATGTAAAGTACTAAAATTCAGTTTCTATTGTTCACATTTTAGCTTTAACATATTTGTTAAAATTTTAAAAATGAAATGGACTTTGCATATGTTGTGCTAGTCCTCTTTATAATGTACACGATTCAAACTCATTGTTACCTAGCTGTTTGACAATACACATTAAAATACGCCGGAGTGCAACGCTGCTTATGGCGATGTTTTTAATGTCTACTCTATAATAAGTAACATTACAAACTTCTATGAAATACAATATTTTAAAACTAAATCGTTCACAATTGACTTTACGAATGGAAATTAATTCAGAAATCAGTGACATACCTTCTCTGGGATGGGGCCAAAACCAAAACAGCTTTCAAGGGCTTCGAGGGAGCTTCCCACAAGTCTAGAAAGCAGAAATACTCTGTGAATTTTACAAGATCCCAAAGCAATGCATTTCTGATTGACAGGACTGCAGGTATAATACAGCCTACTTGTGAATTATACAAAATGAATTAATGCTATTCTGGTGTATTGAACATTTGTTTAATGACAAAAGTGAAGGGTTATTTGCAAAAACAGTGTATGTGTGCAAGGCAAGCCACGGGAAGCCACAAGGGTATATCTGGATGCATGTTGTCAGGACTGGCTTACTAAAAGAGGAAGTTATTTACCAAGAGCCCAACTTGTTTTTGAATAATTCTGGCCTGTAAATTACAGATAATTATACTGTGCTCTGTGATTCAGAAGTAGCGATGCAGGTTGTGCATAACAAGTACCAAAATATTAATCAACTGGCAAGAGCCACATGCCTAACGAATATCACTGTAAGAGCTTGGACTTAAAGAGGCCAAGCAAGTCATATGTTCAATGTAAAATTTAAACCAGAGACTGCCATGCAAAAAGGGTCACAGACTCAAAGCGCATTAGGCACACTGGCTGAGCTCTGTGCGCACACTTTCTCGTGCAGAATAAAGAAAACTTACTAACCGGTCCAAGATCGTTAGGGGTTCAGGGTCAGAACTTTGGGGGAGCAAGGAACAAAAAAACAAACAAAACAAAAAAAAACAACATGTGAAGCTAAGAGAACTGATTGGACTCAGGTTAGGGCGAACCCCATGGGGAGGAGAGGATGTGGACAAACAATTTAGATATGACCACCTTTATCACTTACCTCTCAATAACTGTGCCATTACTGGAGGGTGGAGCAGCAGTCTCCCCATCTGGTGAACCGTTCCCTTGGTTTAGATTGGGGGGGCACACACTGCTGACAGAGGCAGATGAGAATTCCTCAGGGGGCTCATCTGGCCAGCCAAATTGTTCCTTTGTCTTTCCGTAGATTTTAATGGCATCTATCATGGTAACACCAGCAGGGTCCACCGACGCACCAACTGGAATATATCAGGGGAGAAATTAAAAACTGGAGCTGAGACAATTCAAATGGTTTAACAAACCTCAATTGGCTCCAAAATACAATACTTGCATTAAGAGTTAAATTGTTTAATCTTAAGAGTGGTTCAGAAATATAATATGGGGTCTTTACAGAAGGAGAAAGTAGTTTTCTTCCATTTTCGGTGGGGTGTTTTAAGGCACTTTGGTGTTTGCCATCTTCAATGTACCATATATTTAATTTAATTTAATAAACAGCATCTACTACCATGTCTAATATGACGTAGGAGCAGTCCTTGAGAAGTAGTAGAGACTGTTTATAACTAGAATGAAATAAGAAAACAGACTATTTCTAATTTCTAGCTTTATTAAGTTGAGCTAGCTACTTGAATACATTATTTTAAATAATTGCCACAATTATCTTACTGCTGTTGGGGATGTTTTTAGTGGAGTCATAGGATATGTCCTCGTGGAGTGAGACCAAAGCTATTCTAACTGCAAAGAGAGCAGATTTACCATCAGAGGGGCAAGCTGGCTCCCGCTCTGGAACCAGATAAAAGTCTTTCTTAGAAACCTATAGTATATTTACTAAAAGTGTCAGACTTAGAATCTAACTAAATGTGACACAATCCTGCTCTGGCACCGCCAGGCATTTAATGGATTTCCATGATTCCAGAGCGGCAATGAGTGAAAGACACCTTGTAAAAACATGTCCTGTTTGCATGAAATAAATGAAGATGTCAACCCCATCTGCTTTCTTTTGTTGCATCCACATACTGTGTCGGTGTAATTTATTTCCTTCCAGAGCTCTGAAGTTAGCCTGTTTTCCACTCTGCCTTGCCTCAAACTCTAGGTTTAGCCAGCTAGCAGCAAATCAGGGGACCACTGTCTCAGGAGAGCCTTACATATCCAGTAAATGCCACAAACCAGAAAGTATATATAAAAACAAACAACCCTGGAAACTCCATACTCTGTGGACAAAGTGTTATTAAATTCAACATGTGAGCGTTGAAGTGCACAGGTTACACTGAATCTACCGAGTGATCTGAACACTTCCAGATTTACCTTCATTTTCAATTACTTTGTGGGTTTTACCGGAGGCCATTATGCTACAACACCAAAAACGTAAATGAGTGCGCCTCTTAGTTTTACAGTTATCACAAACACAAAAGTAACATTACATTTACTTTTTAAGAAGAAATCTCTAATTTAAATAAAATGATCACTTACAGAATATAGTAAGTTTTTTGTCAGCTTGTAAGGCTTCTTCTCGAGTAAACGGGAAGTCAAACCAACGCGCACGGCTCAGATTCAGCTGCATGGTACGGCCAAACATTTCTATGTACGACGGGGCTCTCTCAATGGCTTGTGTGCCAATCTGGAGACGCATTCCGGTCATGACCATTGTGCTATTGTTATTGGAGACTTCAACTGTAAATCCTCCAGGCTGAAAGTAAGGGCAAGTGAATGAGAAGGGAGGCTTCTAAGAGGTTAAAACAGTAGGTTGTAAAAAAGCCCTCATACCTTGGTGTTTGCCACATACATCCCAGTGGAATTTAGCCGGTGTTTTATCTGTTGAGCATTGTACAACTGCAGGAGATCATTCCCACCAAACTCCACGTCTGTCAGCTGCTGGTTATGTTCGAAGAAGTCTATGGGGAAGGTCACTTGGCTGGATGCTCTGGTCACTGGAAGAAGGAAGTTATTAAGAGGAATTCTCTGCGGATTACCAGGGAGACAAAGTTTCAAAAAGTGCTATAGTACTTACTGACTGCGGCCGGTTTGCGTTTACGCATTGGTTTCATGACACTGATACTGCTGCTGGGTTGCAGAGAGGGTTGCAGCCAATAAGACGTGTTCTCCACACTGGCCATATATATCCGCAGGCTTCCGTCCTCACACAGAAGGATCATGGTGGTTCTCTGCTGGTCGTTGCTAGCCGTGTGTCGAATGGCTACCATATCCTGGATCTGGGGGGGAGGGGGGGATAAATGGTGCGTAAGTGCTGCAACAAGCTAACAATGGAGTTCTCTAAATGCACTTGTGTGTACTCACTTTGGCTTTAGCAGGCAAGGTCTTGATTTCTTGAATCATAAAACTGTCTGGCTTCACCATGACTACGAGAGGAATACCTGTGGTTTGCTGGACACAGCACACCAAGCCAGGGTGGTTCATTACTTCGGACCACTGACAAAGTGCCGGTGAAGTCTTACTTCCTCCATTTGAACTGTGAAGGGAATAAGAGAGAACTTAGAATCGGTTATGAGAGTTATTCATGAAAGTAAACTGCGGGGAATTCAAAGTGAATTTCAAATTTCAGGACAAAATAAACGACTAAACATGGATGAAGGATTATTTCCAATTTAGCCATTTAGGCTAAAATTTGCAGGGAATTGCCAATGGTTGAAACTATAGCGAATAATGCTGTGAGTTTTTTTTATAAGCTGCCCAAACTCACCCTTTAATGTTGATGGGGAAGAGCCGCACAATCTCCAGAGACAAGCGGTTTGTAGTGGCAGCAAATGATTTTCCTTGACAATAGCTGAAGAAGAGCATCTGCAAGACGTGAGAGTAATAGACCGAGACTCCTCCTCCAGCCACTTGTCCATTACTGTCCTGCATTAAGGAAACCAAGCAAGAATCAGCCATAAAAAAAGACAAGAATACACCAGTGCCATTTTATGTAGTATTATTCTTCATTGGATTGGGGGGGGACACTTAATGGAAAAATAGAGGAACTAATAGTTAACACGGCAGCAGCACAATAGAGTAATGAATAAAATATCTATCTATATCTCTCTCTCTCACAGAGCCTGTGACACTCAATAGCTAAACCTTCCACAAACAGTTTAATATCGTAGCTGCAGAAAGATTAACATTGAATATATTGCCCTATTCTAACCTTCAGGTCTTCATGATTAACTTCCAATACATTGGTGACGTAAAAAGGCCCATGCTGAGCGCTGCTGGACTCCTCCATGAGCTGGGTGTAAACATAACCCGCTGAAGACATAATGACGATGATATTCTTTCCCTCTTCGTTAAAAAGGAATGTGACGTCTCGGATTTTAGAGCTCGGAAGCAGGAAGTAAAACGTGGGGCTCAAAGCATCGACGGACAGGTCATACACCTGGAAAAAAAAAACATTTACATAAAACACTTACTTGAAGGTTTTCACCATCACTCCCAGAAGCAATGAGAAACTCTAAAGCTGTAAGTCACTGGCTTCTGGGCCACTTACCTTCACAAAGTCTGCAGTAACAATGGCCAGCTCAGTTTGTGAGCCTGGAAGCCAAACCGCTTTAATGATGAAATTTCCAGTTGCCAGCTGCAGGTGAAGCACCAAATGGTCGGATACAGAACCGGAGCTGCTGAAAGTTAGAACGTGGCAATCCTGGGGGACAGAGAAGCAAGAGGGAATTAGAAAGTGCATTCTATAACAAGGTATAATAGAGAAAAACAAAAAAAAGGTGCACCTTTAAGCCACACACAGCCAGATAGTCCTCTTTGCAGGGGTTGCCAGTCAAACTGAGAACTGTAAAAGGTACTGGAGCAGAAGCTAAACGCGTTAGGGTCAGTTTCCTCTTACTGGAATCGGCTTGCTTCAACAGAGCAGAGAGCTGTAAAACTGTGATCTAGACCGCATAAAAGGGAAAGAGAAAAGTAATAGGCATTAATCAGTTTTATGCTACAGAATGGAAAGGATAATCATTGAAGAGAATACCTAACTGAACGTTTAGCCCAAAATGTATAAGCTGGAAACAGAGCAGACTTGAAGAATGTACTCAATTCTACTTTTTCATTCCCTAAAATCAAAGGTTTTGTTTATAACCCTGAAGGTTATGGAGTTCAAATCCTTCAGTGACATGTAAGAGTTGACCAAAGAGATGGGTAGTATCAGGATGTAAGGAGCAAGGCATTTATACTTCCCTTCAGGCTGTTGCCATTGTTAACTTTATCTTTAAACTCTATATACTGAATATCATAGGTTTGGTTTTGCATGACGGGTACATATGTTTGACCCAGATCTGCGTATTTACCTTTCCTTTCTCATGGCTGACTGCAAGATGTTGCCTGCGGCCATGTGGGGAGGACAGCACACACATTGCGACTCTGCGCAGAACGTGAGCACTGATCAGTTGGCGGATTGTCTGACCCTGGTCGCCGCTGTAATTCATTCTTACATTTTCAAAAGCTCCTTCTTGGGAACCCAAAGTGGGAACCTACAGAAACAAAAACATTCACACATGGATGTGCCATGATTAAATACAAACCACGAGGGTAAACTCCAAATTGCTATGTGGCTTATCCAAAGATTTGCAGAGCATACCATGAGCTGGTCTGTCATCTCAACATTCTTGACCAGAGAGTGTAGCTGACTCAGGGCCTGCTGAGCTCGGCTACTACTTCCTACAGCAGATGCCTGCTGGAAGTTGTTCCTTATGGCACTCATCAGGAAATTCAGCATGTCCAGAACTATAGGTGCAAATGAGACATTGGCCTGGAAGGAAAGATGGATCTGTTAGTGGATCACAAGTGCCTACATAAGGAGTAGGTAAAACATTACATGTAAAAATGTAACAGTGGCAGCGATAGGAAGCAGCTGGAGGTTTTTTACAACCTTGCCCAAGAACTGCTTTATTTGCGGATTAGATTTTTCACTCACCTGACACAGGAGCTCCTCTCTGCAGCCCTCAATGTTACGGCATAGGCTGCTCCTTTTTGGCTTTTCATCGTCCCCTTTGCCGTCGCTGATGGTGACTTTCCCTTTGTCGGTAAGGGCCGTGCCTGGAAGCCGGATGGCACTCTCTGGAAGGCGAGGCTCGCTCTGGAAGGCAGATTCCTTCATGGTGGAGCTCATACCACTGCTGGGGGCTCTCTTAACCAGGGCCTAAGGGAGAAGTGTGTTTTCCTTTCATGGTTTAAAGGAATTGTTTTGTTGCAGATGATTGAGAGTCTGAACTCTCCGACAGAATAGCTACAGCCCCACTCCATGGCCAGATAGTGTCAGGCATTGGAATCAAAACACCGGAGTAAAATAATAAATCATTGTGATATCTCAGACACAGTTTCTGTGTGCTCAGCCCCCCCTGTAGCCCCCACTTTTTGTTTAGGGTCTTAAAAGGTTTGGGGACAACTCAAAGAAAGCAATTACATTGGAGGGAATAGTGCTTGAGAGATGCTGCACAGACGGGGGCTTACACACCCACTAACTCCTTGTTAACCCATTACTTCATGTACCACATTGCGGATTAGATAATCAGTTAGGTATTTAGCAGAGAAATGCTATTAATAAATCAATATTACTGCACCCTTGTGCCAAATAAAAGAGGTTGTTTTACAAATATGCAATTGCAGATTGCAATAATGTGGACCACAGACAATGGACGAATATACAGGGAACACTTTTGTATTATTAGAGAATTCCTTTTTAGGGGACATATTATTTCCATAACCATGCTCTTACCATACAGCTGCCATCCTCTTTTGCTCCACAATCGCAAAAGAAAGATCCGTACTTTGCGTAGGAAATCTCATGGTCCTTGTGACAGACTTTAGCACATACCGTACACACGCCAACGCCATCTACCATCTTGCAAGTGTGGCAGTGGTACCTAATTACAGAGGAAGGAGAAATCAGGGGGCTGTAGTCTAGGAGAATCAAAAGTAAAGAAAAGGCAGGGAGTCTACCTCACTAGAAAATATCTGACAAACAAAAACTGCTGATGCCTTATAAGTCACAGACAATGCACAGGAGGGTAAGAAATCTTACACATGCCGCACCGGATGGTAAGGAACCTTACCACAGCCACACATGCCACATGGTAGGGTAGGAAACCTTACCAGAGCTACTGCTTTATTTGCGGCACGGGAGGCTAAGAAACATTACCACACATGTCACATTGTAGGGTAGGAAACCTTACCAAAACCAAACATGCCACATGGTAGGGTAGGAAACCTTACCAGAGCCACACATGCCACACGGGAGGGTAAGGACCATTACCAGAGCCACACATGCCACATGGGAGGTTAGAGAACCTTACCAGAGCCACACATGCCACATGGGAGGTTAGAGAACCTTACCAGAGCCACACATGCCACATGGTAGGGTAGGAAACCTTACCAGAGCTACTGCTTTATTTGCGGCACGGGAGGCTAAGAAACATTACCACACATGTCACATTGTAGGGTAGGAAACCTTACCAAAACCAAACATGCCACATGGTAGGGTAGGAAACCTTACCAGAGCCACACATGCCACACGGGAGGGTAAGGACCATTACCAGAGCCACACATGCCACATGGGAGGTTAGAGAACCTTACCAGAGCCACACATGCCACATGGGAGGTTAGAGAACCTTACCAGAGCCACACATGCCACATGGGAGGGTAGAGAACCTTACCAGAGCCACACATGCCACCTGGGAGGGTAGGGAACCTTACCAGAGCCACACATGCCACATGGGAGGGTAGGGAACCTTACCAGAGCCACACATGCCACATGGGAGGGTAGGGAACCTTACCAGAGCCACACATGCCACATGGGAGGGTAGGGAACCTTACCAGAGCCACACATGCCACATGGGAGGGTAGGGAACCTTACCAGAGCCACACATGCCACATGGGAGGGTAGGGAACCTTACCAGAGCTACACATGCCACATGGGAGGGTAGGGAACCTTTCCAGAGCCACACATGCCACATGGGAGGGTAGGTAACCTTTCCAGAGCCACACATGCCACATGGGAGGGTAGGGAACCAATAAAATCACAAATGCCGTAAAGAAAGGTAGGGAACAAATACAAGAGCCACCAATGCTATATGGAAAAGTAAAGTTTCAGAAACAGGTCTTACCAATGCTGATTCATGAACTCTTTCTGTGTGATTGTAAACGTACACAGTTTGTTACACAGTGAATCTTCATCCTGTAAGTAAAATTAAGGGCATCCAGTAAGAATGGGCATGTGTTCATGTACTGTACAGATGAAGTGTCCACTCCACTAAATTTTAAAAGCTAAAGCTTCATAGACTTGCTGAAGTACTCAATTAATGACCATCCATTAGACGGATCAGTTTCAGTGCTCTGTCTATTAAACACTGCTCTGACAACTTCAGGGTCTTTACATCAAGACGATCTGAGTAGCAAAGGAAATTATACTTAACTAAAGCGGTCTCTGGCTTCACCATCAGACAGAGCAAGCATAACGGCTATACTCTCGCTCAAAACCATGGATTCTACAAAGACCAAATCTTGCAATGTCCACCTCACACAGATGGTTGCAGTAATTGACAACATTTCAATGTAGAAGCTCCACAGTTTGTCAAATCGTGTCAAGTTAAGGCTTAACCATAAAACAAAGTAGTTTATTGTCTTTATGTTTTGATTTCAATGAAATTCCAACGCAGTCAATGTATTTCACAAAGATCTTACACGATATTGCAAAAACCGCCAATTTGAAGCAGAAGACTAGAAATAAATGAGCAGAGAACAACTTACTGAGTCTTCAGCCTGAGAATCATCTTCTTCAACCGCCAGCTCCTCCACCCAGTCTGAATCCACCTCAATTGCCCTTTCCTCACCATCCACAGGTGGGTGAGGGTGCCCTTGCCCTGTATTATGACTTAATGCATTGGTGACGTCTGCAAGGTAAGTGACGATGTGACACGTACACTCCAAGATTGTCACGTGCTAACAGGAAGCAAAGGAATATGCATTTTTTTTTAATAAACTGAAGCAGGACATAGCATTCAATACAAACAACAACAACAACAAAAAACAATTTACATTTCAGGAGTTAACAAAGATGAATAAGTTTATTAGGATAACGGACACTGCCCACCATTTATTTAGGCATCAGGGCTTAATCCAAGCAAATAGTCAATCATTTCACATACAGGGCTACAAAGATGAAATTAGTGCATTCTCACCTTCCCCTGCATGACATTGCTGTTCATCTTCTCAACAACGTTTTTCTGGGAGAGATACTTCTTACTGGAATGGAAAGCTATTATTAAAGATTATTTGAGCTCAAGTTCTGGAACTCTGTATTCACTCCAAGCTTCACTTACCATCTCAATAACCAGTCCATGGCCGCTCGGTGTAGCTGGAGGTGACCAGCACCTTGTCCAGCACTGGCGAGCGTGGCCATCACCACCATGAGTTCTGGAAAACCAGTCCCATCTCCATTGGAAAGAAGGTCAGTGGCCATTGGAATGAGAGTGCTGAGCAGCACAGTGCATACACCTTCGCCAACTTGGCTGCAAGAGACATTTGCAAAGTAAGGAGAAGTATGAGACAAGGAATCCTACCACACAGCTGCACCTGGAGGGCAACTACTTGTTCAATGCAGCTCCATCAACAGACATCCAATAATAGCCAATATTAATGTTACAATACCTGTTCTCTCTAACAATATAAGCTGTGAGCAGCTGTAATAACTGCCGGTTCTCCTGGACGATCTCAGACTGGTCAGAATCTTTGGGTGGAGAAGTCGTCATGCGTATTAGCCAGGACTGTAACTGCGGGGGATCCACACAGGCGAGCTGAGCAAGGGTCCCACAAAGACGCAGCAGGCTCGGGTTTGGACTCTTTTCAGCTGCAAATGTCAGAGCAGTTTATAAGGGAGGCGTAACATGCTAATCAATGACTAAAGTCAGTCCTCACAAAACAAGCAGCTACCAGATGATTAGTCTGAGAGAAAAATGCGAAGAAATTTAAAAAAAATCCAAGTATCGAACAGAGGTATTATGCTATTATATATATTATTATTTATATAGGTCCAGCAAATTCCATAGAACTGTACAATGGGTGGACTAACAGACACGTAATTGTAACCAAACAAATGGATGCACAGGAACAGAGGGGTTGATGGCCCTGCTTAATGAGTTTACATGCTAGAGGGAGTGGAGTATAGTGACACAAAGGGTATAAGTAGTAGTAATGAAATAGGTTGCAAGAAAAGTATTCACCAATATATAATTTTACTTAATAGAAATTTCCCTGCTAGCATGTAGGAGAACATAGAGAATTATGCTAGAACAGAAATGTTACACAGGTAAATAAAGAAAGGGAATTAACCAGAAAAAACAAATTCTATTCAGCTGAATGGTGAGTGACTGTGGAAGGTTTGCTGGACATGTCAGAGAAAGGAGAGCACGGTTTAGTAAAATACACAAAACAGTCTGACCTCAACACTAGTGTAGCTGCTCTCTTTAACAAGGATACATAATAAGAGGGAGAGGTGCATATACACAGTGATGGGAGGGAAGGGGTTTAAACTTGTTATAGAAGCACATTTAATGCAATATATAGGGCAGCAGCTCTGATTGCATTAGCTTAGCAATCGTTCTTCGGTTTTAAAATTACCTCACTAACCAATTCTTCAGCTATTAGGCAATATTTAAAAAATAATTAGACTCGTCCCAGTCAGAGGAGACACTGGGAAAATCTCAAACAAACTGTAAAAACAAAATCTTAATTTACAACAAATCCTACATTACTAGCTCTGTGCATTATTCTCATTACTGTAAGCGGTTTATCGCAGCTCTCCAATATTTTGACATTACTTACTGAGCTGGAAGAGTTTGGTGAAGAACTTCAAAACCTTGTTACAGAATTTAGCTGAAAGAGCCTCGTTTGCAGTGGACATCATTATTTGCACCAATTCACCTCTACGTTGCAAAAAAGAAATGCTCGTCAGACAAAATGATGATCTCACCTTCCATCACACACAGTGTCAATGCATATATACACAACAGGGACCTTTTGTAACACACACACACTGCCTCAATAGTTTTATATACAAAAGGAACCCTCAATAACACACACACACACACACACTGCCTCAATAGTTTTATATACAAAAGGAACCCTCAATAGCACATACATATTGTACTCACTTTTGTTGCCAATGGTTTAGACATTAATGGCTGTGTGTTGTGTTATTTTGAGGGGACAGCACATTTACACTGTAATAAAGGCTGAACACGTACTACTTTACATTGTAGCAGAGTGTAATTTCTTCAGTGTTGTCACATTAAAGATATAGTAAAATATTTCACTTGTGAGATACTGAGTGTGTGTGTATATATAGATATGTGTGTGTGTGTGTGTGTATGTATACATACACACACACACACACACACACACACTTGAGTTGCCAGGTTGCCATGGCTGTTTTACCTCTCTGTGAAGAACTCCTCCATCGCCTTGCGGGTCTGGCTGCTCTCCAACTGCTTTTCCAGGTACTGCAGACATTCCTCCAGGATGGACTCATCCAACCCACTAAATAAAGACACAGGACAATGGTGGACATGGGAAAAGGACAAATCATTTAGCACCGGCTTCAAAAGTCTACCAACCATTTCTTACCTGCTGGGGTCGGAATGGTTGGCCAAGATATTGTAACAGCCTGTGATCAGTTTCTCATACACCCGTGATAAAAACTCATCTGATTCTGCGGGTCCAAGGACTCTCTCCAGGGATGTGCTGCAGAGCTCGGCCACACTCTCTGTGCAGCTTTCCAGGAGCAGAGGCAGAAGGGACTGTATTAGCTGGCGTGAGTCCAGCTCCTCGGGACACCATCTACGGTTACAGGACAGTTTGTTGTGAACAAGTTATGGCAGCCCTTTAACAAGGAAAACTATTCCACTGATAATGAATACAGGAACGTATTTTGTATTGCTAAACTACTACTGCATCTTAAAGAATTTTTGCATGTTATTAAGTAGAATTTAAATATGTCCCTTCCAACTGAAACAAGAATATTTCCACAATATGCCTAAAATTGGTGACTAACATTTATTCCACAAACAGGAAAGGACCCCCAGACTTCTCACATGCACTAAACTTTTATAAGGCAAAAATAAAATTTAAAAAATCATCAACTACTTAAAGGGGCACTGTATCTGCTTCATCTAATTGAAGTGGTTATAGTATCTGGAGTCCAAAAAAGCAATCCTTCACTTCAGCATTGAAACTTTTTAAAATGTTTTAAAGCTAAACAAGAGTCCCCAGCAGATGTGCCCCTCTGTGGAGCTTGGGTTAACGAGGAAGCATTAACTCAAGCAGCAACAGGCAGCTGTGATTGGCAGAGTGTAACAGCACCCACTGCTTGTACGAATCAGTATGGCTAGAAGGAAGTTTGTAATCTCTGCCTGTGCCACATTTCCAGTAGAGCTTAGGCTTTGAGTGGCCAGGGACACTTTTTTTTATCCTTTATTTTTGGAGGTGCAGAGTGAAATACATGTGTTAGCAGTGACACACAGCATGAGAGAAAATAAGCTTTATATATGAGCGATCATGATATGCTGCACTTTTTTTCACGTACCATAAAAAAAGTAATCTTAAGGTAGAGGAAACAATAAGCGTTAGTAAACTGAGTTGTGTGTTCAAAGACAGGCTCCAAATTAAATAGAGGTGACATATGCTGAACATTCATCTAGAGCAGGCTTACCCAAACTCCGTCCCTCCAGATGTTGCGGAACTACAATTCCCATGATTCTATGAATGAAATAGATAGGGTGAGACTCATGGGAGTTGTAGTTCAGCAACATCTGGAGGGCCGCAGTTTGAGGAAGCCTGATCTAGAGGGTAAACAGTGGTTTAACTAGGAATGAATTATGCTAGACATACGTAAACAGATTATAGGGTTCCCTACAGCAGTCCTAGACATACAGGAAACAGCAGGGCAAAATTGCAATGCGGCTAACAGATAAAAGAAATAAGGCAGATAAAACATAACTAAACAAAAAAGAAAGAACATGAGGCTATAGAGCATTGGGAAAGGGAGCATCGTTAAACCAACAAAGGAAAACCAACGTTAGCAGTTACACCCTCAGACCATCAATGTGAGTGGGAGAGAGAGCAGTGTAAGTCTTCAGATCAGTAACCTGAAACCAGCCAATGTCCAATTTGAGGAATCTATTCCCCGACCTGTGATGTTCATTTACTTCGCTGCACTATGGCACTCGCAGTCCTCTGTCCATGCAGTATGGATAAATGCTTGTCTGTAGGTTCCTTCAGCCCAGCTCTGTGAGCATCTGTTTGGCAGGAGGTCTCCATTTAACATATGAAGAGTTTCTCCTCCTCCTCCTCCTGCCGTTCCTCCAAACAGGCCCAGGCATACAGCTTCTTGGGGGGTTTTATCAACACTGTGCAGGATGAGGTGTGTAACAGCTGCTTGAAAGTTACAGCGCCCACAGTGTGCCTTTAATTAAATGATTACTTAATGTTGAAGATTCAAACATAATTCCTGGCGATTGGTAAACGGGTCAGTGTGATGTATTTGTTGTTGCCACATGGTTACTGATTTAATAAAATAATTCTCGATTCCTCATTTGAAAACGTAATTTTTTTTTTTTAGTAGCTTGTGAAGATTATACCTAAATAATTACACCAAGCTGGGCGTGAGACCCATTTGCTTTGTGAATAACATGCAGACAAACTCAAGTGTTAAATTGTATTTCTCTTGTAGAAAAAGTTAATGTATCCCATAAGATCAGAAGGGGGAAATGTTTGCAGATTGAGCAGTTTGTAGCTTGAGACGGTCTCCCAGCCAGTGCTGTTGGAGACACAGAGGTTGTAGAAGTGTGTGTGAGATCTGTCAGTAAATGACTCTCTCTCAATCTTACAAGCAGAAAACAATGTTTATACGGACCATGCTGTGAACTGCTCTATTGAGATTTTCTTATTAGGAGGCGACTGTCAGCAGCTGAAAAGTACATTTTTTTAGACATGAAATCTAAGTGCATCATCTTTTATACTTTTTTTTTTTTTTAAATAAAAGGTGAGAATAGGTTAGAGTCACGTTAAGCAGCTACTATGTGAGAATCAGACCATGACCGTGTACTGCAGTACTTACACAATGAGATCCCCAGTGAGCCGGACCAGTGAGAGGAGGACATGTTTCAGTGATGCAGCCAGAGAAAGGCTGGCACTGCACAAGGTTCCCAGATGAGCTGCTTGCACGGCTCCAATGTAGCTTTCAGAGGGGATTGTGTCATTGGCAAATGCATTGCGCTGAAATTTACAAAGAAAGCATTTTATACAGAAATACTCTCAGAGAAAGGTCTGGGATTCAGCCATTTGCTTTTTGGTCTATATTCAGCAGATAAAGATAGAGAGGTTCCCCTTATACATTAATATGCTAACGATATGGGTGCCTAATGTACAAATTGCATTTTATTTTGTATTACGTTTTACTACGTCCCATTTAAACTTTTCTGTTTTTTATTTCTTACTTCTACTGCCTCTAATTTGCATTAAATGCGAGTTACACCATGAATATTTAGCAGTTGGTATACAATAAATTCCTGCAATATAGAAGAGGATCATGGGATAACTATGATACAATGTAGAAGCAGAACATTCTGATAACATTTTAGCCATTTCCTGGTCACTGCAGAGGCCTTAAAGGATCACTATAGGGTCAGGAACACAAACATGCATTCCTGACCCTATAGTGTTAAAACCACCATCTAGCCCCCTGGGCCCCTCATGCCTCTAAAATCTTACTTTTATTCAAGCCTGAAGCTGTAGCTCTGCATGCTGTTTGACTCAGAATAGTCAAAACCTGCCTTCTGACATCATCAGAAGTGGTGGACTGATCCAACCACAATGCTTCCCCATAGGATTGGCTGAGACTGACAAAGAGGCAGATCAGGGGCAAAGCCAGCATGATTCAAACACAGCCCTGGCCAATCAGCATCTCCTCATAGAGATAAATTGAATCAATGAATCTCTATGAGGAAAGTTCAGGGTATGCATGCAGAGGGAGGATATACTGAATGTTTGGATGCATTTTAGGCAGCCATGACCCAGGAAGGATCTCTAACAGCCATCTGAGGAGTGGCCAGTGAAGTTATCACTAGGCTGTAATGTAAACACTGCATTTTCTCTGAAAAGACAGAGTTTACAGCAAAAAGCCTGAAGGTAATGATTCTACTCACCAGAACAAAGTCAATAAGCTGTAGTTGTTCTGGTGACTATAGTGTCCCTTTAAGGTATTTTGTAATTTTGAATTTACGTGAATTTTTTTTATGCATTATTGCTATATTGTGGTAAAAAACGTTTTGTTTTTTAAACATGTTTAAAAACATCTAAAGGTAAAACCTCTTTTCAGATATTAATCTAATGATATGTTATTCTGTCCAAACATAATTTTTAGAACATACCCCAGCGATGTGAAACCTCATGACATTTTTACAGAACAAAGTGCATCCACCTACTCCAGTCCACATTATGTACAGCCCAACAATGGTTTCATGCAAATTCACTGCCACAATGAACGAGACACATGCAGACTCACCCATGAACCAATGCTGGGGAATTCATTGGTGTGGATGTTGTTCCAGGACTCACACAAAGCCTGCACAGGTGTGGGGAGGTTCTGAATCAGGACTGGGCCTGTGAAAGAGGATTGACATGCATTTAGTACATTCAGGTTTGGGGCAGTGGCCTATGTCTTAGCCCATTACCCTACTCACCCAGTGTGTTTGCTTTGCAGCGAGCAGAACCAATCACCAAGATGGCTGCGTATCCCTGCAGTTTCTTCTCGTCTGGCCCAGCTTCATCGGGCAGGCTCTGCAGCAGGTAGCAGCGGGTGAGGGAGGCATACATATCTAGGAGCTGCAGGGCAGCGGGCAGGAGATTTTTAGCCACCTGAGAGGGCTTGTGTGGATCTGTCTCAGCTGATAACTTGGAAAAGTGCTCATCCAGAGACACCTGAACCTTGCAGATCATTGCATCCAGAGTGTAGATGCACTGCAGATTGGGTCCCTGTCGAAGCTGCTCAAATGTGTAGCCATCAGTGCTGCAGTAAGTGGAAATCTGAAAAGAAGAGCAAACCAGGGGCTGTTAATCAAAGAGAATGACTACAGAACAAGTCAAGTTTAATGCAAAATCAAAAGCAAACTTAGGAATATAGATACTAAAAAAATGTTTACCCACGTCGGTCTACTGAATAAATAGAAAATTCACGAATTAAATCTAATAGGTATCAAGTGAGTGACTACTGGCCCTGAAAACCGAAAACACCAATTTAAATGCTGTATTGCTAAGCGTGGATCATCATCTAAATGATGTTCCTGCTCTGACAATGGCACAAGACAGAAAATACACAAACCTATCAAGAAAGTTGTGTCATGTATTTGCACATCTGATGGAAAGTTCTAAAAAGAAATAGTTGTAGAAAATGTGTATCTAATGGTTTAAACTACCTTATGGGAAAAAGACCTGAACATAAAAATTACAGCAGAGGAATGGTGTTCCCCCTTGAGACTATTAAAAAAAAAATACATACATTGCCTTAATATTATAGAAAAATTTTTTAAAGTAGTACACAGATGGTACTTGGTTCCAACTAAACTGGTTTCAAATATCTCCGGCTAACTCTCCTCTTTGTTGGAGATGCCTAGCCCATGATTCAATGCTTCATATTTGGTGGAACTGTCCAAGAATCTCTACATTTTGGGATTTAATTTACTCCAGTATGACAGTTTTTAAAATAAATTTAAGGAAATCCCCAGAAACGGGCCTTATTCACCTCAATTGGAGCAAACTATAAAAAAAAAAAAACAAGAAATATTGATCCTTCATTGCCTTATGTCCGCAAAAATAATCATTGTGAGAAGCTGGAAACATAACGCCCGACTTTCAACTTGAAATGGAAAGGGGACTTTCCTACGCAAATAATAACTTTAAACATATTCAAAACTGTATTGTGATGTCTATTTATGCTGTTTGTTTTATTAGGGGAGTACGTTTAACACAAAAATAATAAAATGATTAAATATTAAACTACCTTATGGTGGTTGAAATGGGGGTCAGGCTAGTATTTCCCTAAACAAAAATTAAAAAAAATAAATAAAACAAATAAAGCACCATAGAAATCAGGTGTAAAAACCAATCCCATAATTATGACTTTTATAGCGCCAACATGCTCAGCAGAGCTTTATAATAATACACTAGTTATATAAAACAAGGCCTGCTCAAACAAGTTCACAAACGCCATCATGGCTGCTCTAACCTGTCTGGCAATGTACTCCTCGGCCACGTCCACGTCATACTTCAGAGAGTTACATTTGGATGAGGTTTGCTCAGTTAGAGAGGCGGCCTGCTCAGGCTTCATTCCTTGCTTTACAAGGTGATCCTACAACAAACAGAATGAGAGTAAGTTGATGTAGAAGGAACAGACATTACAGGTAAAGTATGAACACCATAGGAGTAATAAATAATAAAATCTGAGTGGGAGGATTAGATGGATGATACTCACTAGGTTGCAGATAGATATTTAACTTGTTGCTGCACCAGTTTCTGGCAGAAGGCCATTTCTCCATCGCCAGAAACACTGTGCAGCTAAGAGAGATTCTTCCCATTTATACGGCTATTGCTAATAAATTTAATAAATTTGTGCTCAGTGACTCGAGACGCGTGACTGAAACCTAGCTTTACTAAACTGAGCATCTGGAATTAAAAGTGAAAGCATTGCTGGCTGATCATTTTTCCAGTTCGGCTACTTCGGCCTTAAATCTGAAATTCACTTTGAATCCTCGACAATTATCCCTTTAGTAAATAACACTGACAGTTACTGCTATACTAACAGTGAATGAATTCTAAATACACACACTATACATTATATTTCCACATTTGTTGCAGAACGGAGGGCATTAAAGGCACACTGCAGGCACCCAGACCCCTTTAGCTAAATGAAGAGGTCTGAGTACAGTGTCCCTACTGTACTTAGTGCTGCAATGTAAAACGGAGTTCCATAGAAATTGCAATGTTTACATTGCAGCTCTAAGTCTGCCCTCAGTGGCGGTCTACTAGACAGTCACTGGAGACGCTTCCAATTTTAAAACAGACCTTTGGTCCAATACCAAACGCTCCGCACGAGGACATCCAGTGTCAGATTTTTCCCCACAGGAAAGCATTAATTAAATGCTTTCCTATGAGGATGTCTAATGCGCGCACGGCATTTGCAGCACATGCGCATTAGTCCACATTTGTCGCGGAACAGAGGAGGCGGAGCCAGGACCCAGCACCAAGGCACATTAGCTCTGGGATCAGGTAAGTAAATAAATGGTAGTGCCAGGAATACCGCTTTGTAAATGTATGAATAAATAAAGCCAGTTACTAAAACTCTCATTTCTCTCAGCTGCAAGCATGAAGGACAAACCCATTAGTTAAACTATCATTACAATTAATTAGGAAACTGAAAATTAAGTAAAGTATTTTATAAACATTTAGGGACAATAAAGGTGCACTATTGGCACTCCTGGGATAGTGCTGCATTCACAAAACATATGATCTGATGCCATTTTATAGGGAATATCATCTGTAAACATTATCGTGAAATGCCTAGTAAGCATTAATCCTACACTAATTGGTTTATTATATTTTAAGTATATTGGCCAAATAACAATGCTGGTCACAAGCAAGGCACTTGGCATTCCCCTGGGCAGCTGTACAGAGTATTAAGGAACACACTGCACATCACTGGAGGGTGGGCGGGTGCATGCACAATTTCTGTATACATTACTGCAACTATCACTGAACTGGAGGAGGCAATAAAGTAAGAATACTTTTAATCTTTTTTTTTTTTCCTGGCAATCTCTACTTATCTTAAAATATAAATTTCTCATTTCAAAATGACGAGAGATTAAAAATCTTTTTTTTTTTAAAGATTAAATTTACTGCCAGGCCCTAAAGTGAGAGGCTGGAAGCCATTATCTACCTTGATCCATTGCTGGTAAGATGGTACCCTGAGACGTGATGCCCAGCGCAGGGTGTGCAGAATTTCACATTCCCCAGAGGCTGACCCATTCCCAGACAGCTGTTTCATGTAGACCTTGGAAGGAGGCAAAATTCCTAGAATCCGCCACAGAACAAGGAAGTGATACTGTAGAGCACAGGCCTCCTAGAAATAGGTTTTTAAAGACAAATACTTCACGTTATACGTATAATACAGAATTTATTTCTTAGAATGTGATAATATGCACATGTCAAAAAATTTGAAAATTCATATACAAGGCAAAAACAAGTTCAATATAAAATAAGGTAGTGAATAAATATTAATATAGAGTAATATCAGTTGCTATTTGGCACACTTTATCAACCTTGGGTTTTACCATAACAGCAGTCCCTACTTTGTCATATCTTTTGACGGAGTTGGAATTTCAATGAAATTGCAACACCGTTAATGCGAGTATTTAACATAGATTCTATTTTTATATGTGGTCAGTCGATTTAAATAAAACAGCAGGCAAAAGTACAAAAGTTACAGAAATAGTATCCTTACATCGCCAGATTACACAGAGGATATGGATGGAACGTAAGTTTTGTGGAGATGGAACGGGCCATAATCAGTTAATCTTCCATTCAAAAATGTTACAAAATGAATTTAAATTTATTTCAGCTATGATAATCCACTAAACAGTTTTGTAAATTGGATCCCTGCAAACATGTAAGACTACATTAGCAGTATTGTTTGTTCCCCCTTGCGGTTTATCTGCAACTCATACCATAGGTGTTAAATTTTTGTTCTCGTTTCTTCGAACAGTATCAAACTGGGATCCTGCGGCCAGTAAGGAAATAAGTGCCGTGTATAAATCATCATACTTCATAGTTCGAGAGAACAGGACTTCGCACACCTATAAAGATAAAATCATAGGTAAACTGTGTCTCAGTAGAACCAGGCAGTGAAGACAATAGTTTAAGGGCAACGGAAGAAGACTTACTGAGCTATCTAGACGGTGAAGGTCATCCTCTGAAGCTTCTTGGGACAAGACACTGTAAAAACGAGGTGGTGGGGCAGCATCTGGAATACAGAAGTTTAAAATATCCTGAAAATTGACGCAGAAGATAACATTTCACTGGACATCAAGCCTATTTCGTCCAGATTTACCAACTGCAAACATACTGAAATGTAAAGTACAGAATAAATGTGAAGTGTTCCAAAAACACAAAGCCCAGCCATATATCTTTCAAAACAGATAAAAATGTTATCTGAAAGACGAAATTGCAAGCAATACAAACTGTCTCTAAAGATCTATTGTAATAACGATAGCCGTTTCCGGTCCCATGCATATCTCACCTGACGAGCAATGCTTGGTCCAATTTTCTTCCACTTCTTTAAAACCGTAATACAAAGCAGAAGGGCGACTAGTACCATCTGCTGATGTCCCAGAAGCAATAGGTGGGCTGAGAAGATTGTACTGCACCTATATGGAAGAATCAGTTACAGAGAGAAATCTTGTTCCTGCTGACCACCTCTTGTAATGATAAGGTTCTTCCATTAAGATAAGCTAAAGGGAATGGATTTTTTAAATTCTCAAACAACTAGGGTTTGCTGATAAATAGGAGGAGTTTTGTTCTCCAGGCCCACGCAGAAATCATAGAAGAAAGTTACTGGCCTTCAATACAGCATGAAGAAAAGTGCCTGGGTTATACTATGAATATGGCATTACCAGAAAAAAAGTGAACATGTGTGATTATAATTATAAACAGAGGATAGATAGTAAAGATAATTTAAAAAAAAAAAGGGTAAAAAAAATATATATAAATGTTAAAGCGAGAAAAGAAAAAAAAAAAAGTAGGAGCTTTCTATTAAAAAGAGCAGTGATTTTCAAACAGAAATTGCATTGGATGTTAATGCATTCAAATAAGCACCAAGTCTGTCTAATCTGGACCTTGAAAACGATAATTAGAGGTACTTTGATATGAATGAGATCCCTACAGGCTTTGCCAGCTAGGTGAGTTTATCAGGATCATGTTTCTATAGAGCGGTGACTAAAATAATACTTCTAAAAAAAGGAGCCCAACTAGCAATCTAAAAGATAAAAGTGAGGTATAGCAATTACAAATTACATAGGGGGAATAAAAAATTTACAAAAACATATGGAAGACAAAGTTTAAGGGTTTTGTCTTACCTGCTCAAACAGATAGAGAGGAGGTTTGGAGTACTGGTGCAGCAGATAGTCCAACACAAGCAGCAGCCTTGCCAGGAGAAGTGGGACAGTAGGAAGCTGAGATTCCAAGCTGCCAGCCAGATCCTGAAGGGTCTGGACACACAGCAGTAGGATATTTCGGCGGCCTCGTTCAGACAAATTGTGGAAGAGGAGAAGAAGCAGCTGCAGGTGATCCACGTTCACATCCTCTGTGTCTCCCGGGACAACACCTTGGAGGGCATTTTGTTTCAAAGTCACAACAAATCTGTCAAGCAGATAAAGTGCTCAGATTACAAAATAAACTCTGTGAGGATCACGGCATGGTAACTGCCACCCGAAAACTGAGAGGAGACCAAGAGTACATCAGAACTTTAACATTTCTTACAACACAAGTAAACAAACAAGAAAAAGGGAATTAATCTAATTTTTTGCATGACACATGGACGACTTTATGTCAATACAAATCCTAGAAGTGTGATTTGTACAGCAGGCATTGCAAGTGTCACACATTTCATGCATAACAAAAAAAAACAAAACATGAATCGAGCGGATTGTTCAAGTAAACTGAGTCTTTCGGCAGGTTGCATTAATTTGCCAAAAATCTGGCAACAGGGTTCACCCTAGCTGCTGTAAAGACTTCAGCTGAAAGCTGTACACACTTCACACCAGGGGTTAATGTATGAAAAAAGCACATCCACAGAGATCAATATGAGAACCAGCTTTGCTGATGGATCTTATCCATTAAACAGACAATGCAGATGGGAATTTATTAAAAACAAAAAGTTATGGATCAATGTTATTGCTTGCAAATATTACCAGGATATAAACCCTAACACACTTAAAGGACCGCTATATGCCTACCTCTCCCAGACCCGCAGACATTCAGGCACATCCGGCTCTCCCTGTGAGTTCGCCTTGTGTTGCCAGAGAAGTAAGAGTCGTGAAAGAACAGAAAGACTCTGAGGGTGGATATACAGAGGCCACGGACCCTCACTTAAAGGAGCCACTCCCAAGTGTTGAAGAAGAGCACTCTGCAATAAAAAGAAGGGCACACTTAATACCAGTAAGGATAATTAGTTTCAGACTCCAAAAACCCAGTGAGAATTTATCATGAATAGAGCAGTTTACCCCTTCTAATAATACAATCCAGTAATATTACAGGTGGTTGTGGAATAAGTACATTTTACAAACAATCGTAAATGCATGAAGATAAAGCTTTACTTTCAAAACGGTCAGCATCTCAAAAGCCTGAATAAATGCTCAGAGAAAACAAATGATAAACAGGACGCCCATAAGAATACATCATATTCCATCGATTCCCGCAGTCACTAGCTTGCTATCACACTGTGGGTAATAAACATATCGAATCATATTCCAGATCAGCACTTGGAGAGAAAAAGCAGAGAGCAATGCTGCCCTGGGGTACAGTTCTTCTTAGTCCCACTGAAAACACTAGAACCCTGGACCTCATCATGCTAAGAGGTTAGAAATCAGGATTGGTTCTAGAAAGAAATTGGAACAGAGAGGATACAACAACTGTACAAAGCAAACCTGCAGTGTAGGAGACTGAAGATCGGATGTCACAAGGCAGTGGTTAAACTGATAGAGCGCAACAGCAAAGTCTTCATCAGCAGAGCCTGGAATAGAAAATCACCAGTAATCATTCACCTTCCTCAAACGCTTGACAAAGAACCATTCTAATGAATCATGAAGGCTCACCTCTCAGGCCGTCCTTGTCCACATCCTTTATGATGCTCGCCAGCGTGGCCATGTGTTGCTCCGTGAGAGAGACACTCAGGTAGTTGCGGATGAAGTTGCTGCGAGAGTTCAGCATGCAGCTACTGATAAAATGCAGCGTACTGGAGGCAAGACTGAGGAACTGAAACCAGGAAGGGCAGCAATAATTAGAATCCGCCAGCTTAGCTTTACTCTATAACCAAGTTGAAGGACACTATCCTTCCTCTAGAGATACAATATATTTATTTAAAGGAGCACTATAGTGCCAGGAAAACAAACTTGTTTTCCAGGCACTATGCAGTCCTTAGGTCCCCCCCACGGGCCCCCTCCCGCTGGGTTAAAGGGGTTGAGACCTTTCCAGCCACTTGCATTTCTTACGCACCGGGCTCCCTCAGCGCCGGGGAACTCTTCTCCTCCGGCCAACGTCAGCGCCAGCCGCACGTGCATTCAAACTGCCCATAGGAAAGCATTACTCAATGCTTTCCTATGGATGTCAGCGTCTTCTCACTGTGATTTTCACAGTGAGAATCGCGGAAGCGGCCTCTAGTGGCTGTCAGTGAGATAGCCACAAGAGGCTGAATTAGCAATCAGTATCAACATAGCAGTTTCTTTGAAACTGCTATGTTTTTAGCTGCAGGGTTGAAACTAGAGAGATTTGACACCCAGATAACCTCATTGAGCTGAAGTGGTCTGGGTGCCTATAGTGGTCCTTTAACACATTATATGCATTTTACATGGACTGAAATAGTTCCATAATTCTAGCATCTTCCAGGACCTACAGTGTCCCAGTTATCGTTACATACCAGTTCGGGGTCTTTGCGACTGGCAAGGATGTTTCCATTCTCCACGCCATTCTGCTTGCTGGGGCTTTTTGCTCTTGGTGAGCTCTCAAGAGGAGGTGGCGGCGGCGGAGGAGGTGGAACAGCCTTCTCTTTACTCGGGGAGATTGTCTCCTCAAACCACTGCCCCAGGATGGGTTCACTGTCATCATCTGCTGAGAGGGTCGTCAGATATTAAATATATATTACAAAAGCTTTGCACGAGATAAATGCACACACACACAGGAGATGCAACTCACTATAAAGCCGATTGCTAAAGAGCCACTGTAACATATACACAAAAATCATTTCAGTGATCCTAGTTGTAATGGACCACCTGGCACCCCAACTGGGTGCCTCCGCCAATCACTGCTTCCTAGTAATTGCGAGCAGCATAAGCACCGCGCTAGAACACCATAACCACCGTAAACCCCACAGCCACAGGTGTCTTGCTGTCTTTCACCCCCCTGGACCCAAGTCAGGGATCCAGCTTCCAGTGGGTAGACCTCTCCTACTCTGCAAGACCTAGTGATTATAATCCAAGGGAGTATAGTGATATAGCAATCCCCAGAATGAATATAGCTGTCCCTTCCACACATGAGACGAGGCTCTATATTGAGGGTGAAGAGGAACCGTTTAAGGGCAGCAACAAATGGCCTTATATGCAAGGGTTTTTCCATGACCTATTCCAGGGGCATTCCCCACTGGACCTGAGAGGGGACTATGACATACTGTAATTACATTGGCTCTCAGGTCCAGGACACTCCCACACAAAACAAGATAATCCCTCCCCTGTACCGGAGAGATAATGGAGTCAGGAACTGTACTAAACTCAATTATCTCCAGGCACAGAAAAACATACAATATTAGAAAACCCCCAAAATACCTTTAAAACACATAAAAACCCCACACCACAAAAGTTACATCCCCTGATAGCCCAATGTGGTTGACCAACATATCCAAAAATCCCCCAGATCGGTTCAGGGGTTCGGAATTTTCATGGAAGTCATAATTTTGACCGACCGTGCACATGGTCCTATACCCAAAACAGTTCCATGAAATCAGTGATAAGGGTCAGTAAAGTTCAGTAATCTTTTACAGGTTTCCCTGTAGGGCCAATAGTCTGTCAAGCAGGCTCCTCCAGGAGCTCGTGGCAAACGAACTTTGTCACACTAGCAATTATGTTTTCCCAAGCAGAATGTTTGTAATGTTTCCCAGCCCAAACATAAATTGTTTTTATGTAATGTTTAGTAATGAGTTAGGAGTATCCTCTCCTGTAGGGAGTAATAGATTAAAATTCCTTGTTAGGAAAGTAACACATAGAGGAAGCCATACCTTTATTAATCCTAAGGGGAAACAAAAAAAATAGTAACAAAATGGGGAAGGGAGAGACAAGGGAAATATATGCACGCATGCACATAGACACGTATACACAGAAGAAAATCTGTGAATAATAAGCTAAGGTACACAAAGCTTACATGGGGTAGATATATCTAGTGGTCTATGAAGCACTGCCACCCACTATTTAGGGTAATAATCCAAACCCCCCTGTATTGCAGGAATAACTGGATGAATACCTTGATTACACTATTAAACAGGCAGTTGTTTTCAGGGGCTGTGTATAACATCCAGTCTTTATCTAGCAGACAGTGGCCTAGACTTACCCTGACTGCTGTCCTCCTCTGTGCTGCTGAAGTCATCCTCATAGTAAGTATTTGAGTCTGTGGAGGCGCTGGCATCGCTGCTCATAGAGCCCTTCCTCTGGCGTTGCAAGACGCAGGCCTACAAGAGAACAACCATTCACATTCTAGCTTAATAAACTGTTTGGGAAGTTATAATTTTACACAAGAAGATTTTCCATCAGGCCATTCATAATGCATTTAAAATATCGTGAGAGAACTACAGTGTCAAGATTCAAGGTCAAAGGAAAAAATGACTTTTGTGACAGACAAAAAAAAAAATAAAAAAATAATAAAATAAATAAGTAAAAAAACAACACGTACAGAAATCAAAGCTCAGCAAGGTTATTTGTGTAAAAAGATATATCACATGCCACGGCCCAGAAAGGAAGTGCCTCACCTTGCGGTATGATGTTGATAAGATTGTGAAGAGTAGATTAGTCAGTGGAATGGAGTCAATGAGCCTCTGGATTCTCTGAATAGATGTACTCTGTGCTGTTACACTCAGCTCAGCGAGGGGCCCATCAGCATCCCAGGCCTGCTGCAGGAGGGAGAGCAGAAACAGAACACTTACCTCCTGCAAGAAAGTCAAAGGTGCACAGGGGTAATGGGCAAAAAACTGCAAACTTACCTTATGAAGCGTCTCGACCTGGAGATCTTGGAATAAAGAGGTCAGCAGCTTGATAGCATGGTTAGCCAACAACACAGATAAGACGCCAAAGCCCTGATGTCTAAAGAAATAAAATGTTAAAAAATAAACATGGTATGAGCATTTAACAATCGACTTACAACAGATATGTCTATAATATACATACAGTGAGGAAAAAGGTATTTGATCCCATGCTCACTGAAAGAAATGACCTGTGTTTTCCTGTTTTTTTTATTCTGTCTCACTGTTAAAATACACCTACCATTAAAACTTTAGACTGATCATTTGTCAGTGGACAAACGTTCAAAATAAGCAGGGGATCAAATACTTTTTCCCCTCACAGTACCATCCAGGGTCAGGAGAGAGTCTTAACACTTTATTTACCACTACTATTTTAGAGGGACAATTGGAATCCTGGCTTGTGCACCCTGCAATGATAAAATAATAAAACCCAGCAATATAGCGATGAGAGACAGGACTCAATATAAGCATGTCTGAACTGAGAAAAGAAATCATTGGAAGGCACTGAATGAATAATGCATGTACTATGCCTTTTATTGGTGCACATTCCAAATTACTCTTTCACAAGAAAACGAACAGCAAGGGAATCATTGACATGTTCCCTCATAAGCGATTGTCATGCATACAACGTGTGGTATCAATAGAATAATGGAGGTGACTAGTTAGGGAAGGGTGCTGGTGAGCTGGAGTAGTGAACACACAAAACCGAAGAACACAGCCAAGAATATGTCTGGAACAAAGTTAATTAAAATAAAGCGTAGGATTAAAACACGAAATTCTGGATAGCTCCTTAAATGAAAACGTACCCTTTCCCTGGGCAGAGCTTTGGTGATCCCACGCTGTCCTTGGCGCGGGTAATGTCACGGACACGAAGAGCTGCCAGTGGATCTTTCTCCTTTCCTTTATCAGCTAGCGCTGTGGGGCTGAGGTTCACAATTAGGAAGAGACTGTTTACCAAACACCAGGCGCCCAGGAGCTGGAAGTTCTGGTAATGCTGGAGGAAAGAACAAAGAATGCAAATGACAGAGCTCTGCAGCAGAGGCAGTAAAATCTGTCAAATGGACTGTTAAACAATCCAAACTGTATGCCAGTTATATCTTTACTCCTATGTATTCACAGTATGATAAATATTGCTTTCTAACAAATTAAGCTGTGTACACACCTTGGCTCATAATTTTTTTCTTGACTACATTTACAAAATGTGTCCACTTTCCTAGTTTAATGGAGTGTCTTACCTCCCCGCCGGCTCGCCTGGAGGTGTTAATTGCTTGGCCAATCATTTCATAGATCTCAAGCTGAAAGAGAAGAGGACAGGTGTCAATCATCCTATTCAGGGCTGCTCACAGCCAGCCTCTAATTAAGGTCTCCTTAATACTCACGCATTTCTGCACTATCGTGGCTGCATCATTCTCGTAGTCTTCCTCTTTGCAGCTGGTGGAGCCTGTTCGCACCTGCTGGGTGCTCCCCACATGAAGGATAGCCATGCATGTGGCGACACTGACACCTTTATACAGAGAGAGATTGACATGTACCATAGCGCAGAAAGCTCAGTGACAAGATAGGGCTAGAATTGAATCCCTTCACTCAGGGTGCATCCACCCTAGTTTACGTTTCTCATCAATTAGCTTAAATAAAAGAAACCGTATTCAGTCCCTTAACTCCATTGTTCGGTAACTTTTTTTTTTCTCTTAAACACAAAGATCATGAAATAATTAACTATTTAACTCTGACATGCAAAATACATTTACGCAGTTTTTTCAAGACCACATATAAAATGAGATTGTGGTGGTCATATTATGCAAATAATATGGCAGAGAAGTGTTTAAAGTGCAGACAGAAAACATGCAAAGGTAAGAATCTGGACACATCTAAATCACAGTTTAAGCATTAAAAGAACACTGTACTCGCTAGAACAACTTAATCTAGATGAAGTTGTTATAGTGCATAAATTTTTTCCCTCTTCCTAAACTGCCCAAAAGTTCAATGGTTTATTAATTAGAAGGCTTGGAAGTATGGCTTAAAGCCACAACTACAAACTCTCCGGGTATGAGAGCCAGGACTGCGTTTCCTTGCTCACATACCATAACATATGGTGACGTCTTGCACGCGTCCGCAGTTTCATCAATGTGTTTCATAGAGAATCATTGCATGCAAGGATTCTCTATGAAAGTCGTAAGGGAATTGTGGCAAGCGCTTACGTTCCCCTATGAGGACTTTGGATTGGCCTGTTATCCTGAAGGAACGCCTCCAGGATGATGTAACGCTAGCAGGAAGACTGGATATAGCGGGAGTTTAGATTTTTTTTTTTTCATTTACACAGGGGGAGTCTGAAATAATACAGGACAGTGTTAGGATACATATCCCTAAAGCTACAGTGTTCATTTCAAGTATTCGTAACAAATTGACTAAACTGCTAAGCTGCTCATGCAAGTAAAGCAAGGCTATCTAAAAGGATTTGGGATGGTTACCTGCATATAAACAGCTAAGGGCCAGGAGAGTGATATCTTTAAGTCGTGGTGGTGTTAGAGGTTCCATCACTGGCAGGGAGAGAGTATCCAGAGCCATCGTCACATCAATGACCAGAGAATGGAACCTAGAACATATGAGAATTACTGGATCTTGAACACAAGCGCTCAGAGCATGTTTAGTCTACTGACAGGCTGCCTTATAACAGTTATGCTGCACTTAAGCTTCATTCTACTCCTATGGATAAAATCAAAGCGGTAAACTTTAAATGGCATCACAAAGTATTTTAGAAAAGCTGCAAACCTAGAACCATTAAAAAAAAAAAGCATACTGCCAGACCCTCCAGGTCGACACCTAATTATAAAACATTAAACTGGTGGATTTTTTCACTAAACCAGGAACTGAAGAGAACTGACATGCTGGAAGAACAGTCAAGTCGAGGAATTTTTCCACATGCCAGTTCTCCCATTATCTGGTTAGAATTAAATTATTTCATGTTGTACAGAGCAGGGTTAATACGTATAACCCTAAGACTCACCCATTTCGTACGGCTGTGGCATCACCTACAGTAGCCGGCATTATGAAGAAAGAATTAGCAGAAACGGCATCTTGAAACCGGTTAATGTATCGCAGGAAGTAGGGAAGATTTAAACAGACTTTGAGCAGCTTTTCTGATCCGCCTGTAATACAAAAACATAAAACAAAACTATAATTTCTGAACTTCCCCATCTCTATGATTCTTGACATTTATAAACACTAACATTTTAAAAAAATACGATCTCTGATGGGTTTCCTCATTTACAAGCCTCTACTTACCCAATTCTTGCAGGGTGGCTACATTCTGGGCTACAAATATGCTTCTGGTTTTGGAGGCAGTGGCCTGATCGGTCGTAGAATCGTCGCCTTCACTCTCCACCTAAAGACAAATACCTATAAGAAGGATGCTCAGATCTACCAGTCTAGGGTAGACACAACAAGACATTACTAACCTGTGTGTGGGAACTGACAGCAGAAGACGATGCCCCCCTGGGGTTGAAAACAGAGGTGAGTTGATTAAGGAAATTCATCTGCACCTCTTTCTGACGCAGTTCTGGGCTTAGTAAACTTGCAATATCTTTCTGATCCTCCACTGAAATAAACAAACGAAATATTCTTGATCAGATAAAATTTATAATCACTAAACAAAAAAAAAATAAAACTAAAAAAATTTAATTTCTTGTTGGATATTTAATCATCTCAAAGTTCTGGTCACCCACTCTAACGTTTACTCTGTTTTGCACCCTACAAAGGAACACACCTGCCCAACTACACAGTCTCACCTTCCTGTCTCAGCCAGAGATCTACATATCCTTGATACACACATACATTGTCCCCAGTGCTTGCCCAGCGACAGCCCAGCTACATGTAGTCACACCTTCCTGTCTCAGCCAGAGCATCTCCTTGATACACACATACATTGTCTCCCATGCCTGCCCAATTTGAGTCCTGGCACCTCACAGCTACAAGGACATCCTTGTGTAGCCATAGCCTTGCATCATCCAGCTACACAAATTCACTGTTGCCCAAATTTTCTAATCAGATGTGTTTCACACAGTGTCCCATCCCAAAGCATTTAGAGCTCTGCAACTCCCAGCTGAACAAATGTAAGGCTTTCCATTCCTCTCTTACCATCAGACAGGGTCTGGACAGTCTGCGGCAGTTTTGAGGATTTCATCATTGCTGTAAAAGTAATTATCTCAGTCCGATCCAGTCGGCTGCTCCCTGTGCATAGGCCCTTAATCAAGAGAATCAGGTGCTTCTAGAGGTAGACAACAAATGCAATAGATTCAGTCTAACAGAATATAAAGAAGCAAGCCATTCTGTCAATAAAGGGGTAAACAGCTATCTAAGTGCATACAATCAACGACAGCTTCTACATTACTATAGCATTCAGGAGTCATAAATTATATATACACATATACATATATATATATATATACATATACATACATACATACACACACACACACACACACAAAGAATACAAAGTAAACAACATTTAAAAGGAGCACTCAGCACCATAATCACTAATGCCTGCTAGTTGACATGCTCAGCCAATTGGTGCCATCCAAATACAGGCAAAAATTATAATTATCCAATGGTAAAGGAAACCTCCACGTTGATGATAAAGTAAGGAGCCAGAATGCAGGCACCCAGGAGACTGACTGTTTCACTCCTAAAACCATCCAACTGATACCTGCATAGGTTATGTTGCTCCCCTGACAGCCTTATTTTGGAGTACATGAATATTGTAGGAGCAATATAGAGTAAGCAGGGAGTCAATAGTTCTTTCAACATGTACAGCAGGCTATATTTACATTTTCTTGTGACGGGAACGTTTGCTAAATGCAGTAAACACGGAACTTGACAGGTAGAATATTTTTATTTATTTTTTGCAGATTTGATTTAAAAAAACAAAAAATAACGCTAGCATGCTTTTAATACTACAAAAAAACAATAAAGAAAAGAACAGATCTACAATGTGGTCAAAGGCAAATAGGGAATACACATGCAGGAATGGTGTCACTCCAAAGTAGTATTCCAAAGGAAAAATGTCCGTGGACACTCAGTTGTTCCAGTGAGTAGACTTTATTTCTTACAATGAGCCTTTCAAAGCAATTGCACAACTGAGTGTGCACAGACATTTTTTCTATTATTGGTAATGTGATGTCACTAACCTGTGAAACAGCACACGCCTCATCAGGACTCTCCAAACGCAGCAGAGAAAATTCAAGAAGGACTTTGCAGGCAGCAGCTACAGACTGCAGCTGGTTTCTGGGAACTGAGAAAGAATTGTTAGCGACGGGCTAGTAAAAGGCAGGGAAATCTGTATCCAGACACAAATGGTTACCTGCACCTCATGTAAAATGTACAATCTAAGTGACATAGTTAAAAGGTAAACAAACCACTGCTCTTGATTGAACTACAAAGCAAAACAATACTGGGCACTACGGATCTATACGGGTCTGTTTGCACCTTTAGAGTATTGCTGTTAAATCAGATTGTGTTGGCTTCACGAAGGATTTTATTCTTGATTTTTATAGATATAATATAGAATACAGCAGGAAAACTGCTCTGCTTCAGGCGTGGAAAGACAAAAACGAGTGCCACTTACTCTGGCTGCAAACTGTGGTGATGTAGTGAGTGGACAGTGCCACGAACGAGGAGTAAAATGGTTCATACTGTTTGTCATGGTTCAGAATTTCAGATTCACTAAAAAGACACAGTAAACAGATTGATTCATTAACATATTAGGAAAATAAAATGAAAATGCCTTGATTCTTATGTTAAATAAATGACAAGTCAATATTGAGTTTAGAAACATTTAAATAATTTCATTTATGTTCTACCACATTTCTTAGGTTTTCTGAACATCCTGTTGCGCAGGATCCTGTTCCAGAGGATAACGACGACGACGACTATAGTCGGGTTTCAGTGAAAATTCACATACTAAGCATATTATAAGGGTTCATTTTAACCAGTAATGGCCTCCAAGAAAGTAATCTACTATATGCAAGTAGCAAGAATGGGGGTATAATTTCTGCAAGAAATTATACCCCCATTCTTGCTTCCTGTTTCATAACACAATGATCTATTTCACACAAAACCCACAAATTACCTGTTTACCACAAACCCAAGTAATCTACTGTTATCATTAAATGGACACTATATTCCCCCAGAACACTTCTTCTTATTGAAGTGGTCTGGCTGCAGTGTCCCTGTCTCACTTAGTCCTGCAATTTAAATCACTGCCCCTTCCGAGATCACAGGGGCAGCACTCGGTCCAATCACAGACTTCTCATAGAAAGGCCTGTGATTGGATCAATTTACCAGCTCAGAGTGCATGTATGCACTCTGGACAGGGCAAGAGGAGGAGTGAGTAAGGATTTCTCCCACTTTTTAAATGACGGGTGGCAGTGCCCAAATGAAGAGCGGGTGGGAAGTTAGAATAGCTTCCCCTTGCAGGCAGAACTAAGATTTTCATGTCTCTTAGCAGCACGCTGACAATAGACTTATTCTATGCACACAACTGATATTGGCAGCCCGGAACAGAGTTTATTTACGTGCGCCGAGGGTGCTACTAGCCTCAGCAAACATTTTAAAATAACGCAGTATGTGCAATGTTTCAAGCTGAAACATTATGCATACATATCTTTACCACCAAGGCCACTTCAGATCACAGATGTGGTTATGTTGGTTGGAGTAACCCCTGCCTTACACTAATTTTTCACACTTCACAAATGAAGTGACAGGTCTTTTAAGAACATAAATCTATACACTGTGCTAGCAGATGTTTACATATTTCTAATTAACATTAAAGACCCTTCCACACTTAACCAGTCTTCATCATAACATTTATACTTAGAAAGAAGTGAATTGGAGAACCCTCCTACAGGTGGGGCTCCTGCTCCTTTTCCCCACTGTACGTGCGTTGAGTATTCCCTTGTCAAATGCTTTTTACTCTCTGCTATGGTAATATAGAAAGAGAATGAAAGACGACACTCCGTTCTGACACCGATATGCTGATAATGACGGAAGTACGTCAGTATTATAGAGTAGCTGTGCTCGCAAGGGAAGGTATTACCAAGCGCAGCTATTCTGTGTTTGACGAGCAGAGGAGAGTAGGTGTTACTCTGGAGTGGAGCCGAGTAGAATCTTTATTGTCAATGATACATCAGTTGCTTAATCTAACATAGAGCTTAAAGGGAACCTGGCATTAGTGTCACTTTAAAGGCTCAGTTTAAGTATCTTAACCACAACATGCCAGCGGGCACGGCCTACCAGTGCTGGGCAAACATGGACAAAATTGACATTACTTAGGCGAATGTAGAACTTTTTAAATCAGCAACGGCTGAGCAGGTAGCCAGCACGCTTGCACAATGGAGACCACTGGTCTTGTGCAAACTGCTCAAAAATTGTTTTATTAGAATTGGAAGGCAGCACCATAACTAAACCAGAAAAAAGTGCATAGGTATCTTTCCAATATTAATGTATATTAAAGTATGCACCTTGCTTAGTTATTAGATTGTTCATTTTTATTTGTGATTTTAATTTGTGGATTTTATTTTGTATATTAATATAAATAGTTTTATGTATGGTGACTAATTGGTCTTGAATTTCTTGCTTCCTATGTGATCATATGGGACTATGTTTTTCACTGAGGATTCTCTGTGACTATTCACCAATATGTGGAGACTGATCGGACGGTCAAACGTCTCTGACGTCAAAGACCAGAACTCCATATATGGATAGAGCAAATTGAAGAATCGTGAACATATGAGAGGAAATGAAAGGATTGGTTTCCACAGACTTCAATCCATGCACTACTTAGCACTTGAAATACTCCTGATGAAGTCTAAAGTAATTAGACGAAACACGTTGTGATTATTGTTTTATATGCTGCCATTTCTGCCTAAGATGCCTGTGAGGACTCCTATATCCTACATCATCAAAAACAGGACAGGTGACTACAGGATTGTACTGATGGGCTTTTAACCGATCTATACTTTGTAAGTGTAACCATTAAATCGTGTGTTTAAACATCATATTAGTGTTGCACTGTGTTCTTTTATATTCTCTTTACATTAATTATTGGAATCTACATATCATCGACGAGCCTGAATTTTCTGCTACTTTGTGAGTACAACCTTAAATTCAGGTGTTTTTTTTAGAAAACGTTCCTACCCTATGAGTTTCTTTTTCCATTTATGTTCTTAGGTATATCCTGTTTGCCAATATTAATGTGTTTTATGTATAACTGAGGTCAGCATCAAGTACGTTTTAGAACTTTTCAGCTTTTAAAACTTCACAATGCAATTCAACAAACAAACCAAAAAGGGAAGGGACTGTGGAATGTGAAGAATACTCCATACAGTGCATTCGTTGGACACCAAAAGCCATAAAATTATCATAATATAATGTTTTGCAAGCCAGATGACTGGCCCTCAGGGCTACAGGCCGTACAGAACACAATTTCAGTAAATGGGAAGTTCGAGACATTTCTGGTGAATTGTAAAAATCACAAACAGCCGCATCACACATAACAAGCGTCCTTCAAACTCTTCACTTTCATTCCCAGAGCAGGGAATAACAAAACCTACCGCAGAGTAAATTGCCTGAAGGTCTCTACACTCACTAACCATCAGATTACTTTGTCCCAATCAGTACAGCGAGAGCAGCTCAAACTCCCACAGAACCAGCAGAATTTTACAAAGTAAAAACAAAAGTTCTGCTCAAAACGTCTCTCACCAGGTCTCCTCCTAAAAGCTTCCTGTTTTAGTCCTTATTTTGTTTTACGAGCTAAAAGAAGTATATTACAAAAGCAGGGTTTGTTTAAATTAAATGAAAATTGTGTTAACTACATAATAGAAAGGAAAATGCTAGGGCAACGTTCCGCTATCCATTCTCCACAATTACCAGTTTAATGAACTAATCTCAAAATGTGGTAGCAGATAGAATAAAGTCTTCTTGGAACTTGCAATAAATCGTAAAATCCAGCATTCTGTGTAGGACAAGGTAACAATGAGCTCTAAGGATCCAGGTCCTCTCGCTGTGAATTGAAAATAAATGTGCAAGGACGGGTGGACTATTTTAGGAACATGACTAAGGGGCCTAGGCCTGGGATATTTTAACCATCACTTCTGATCATAATGTTTTACTTGATATATTTTCTTTGCATAGAACTGCCTGCATGTTGGGGTTAATTCTCCTGTAAATTGAATACTGATACTGGATGTGTAGGGCCAGAAACCTGCTGCCACAGGGACCACCAACAGGGAAGGACGAGTAGTTTGCACAGAGAGAGAATCCAAAATATCTGTTAAACAAATGTGTTACACTAATGCAAACTATGGCAGGTTAGTGCAATAAAGAACTCTTAGCCCTGTGTTGTGAGGGGACACTTCTGGGGTGACAGAGGCCCCAATAACATCACTTAGAGTACCAGGGATCCCGGTGACTGAGCTCCTAGTGCTTTAGGGCGCTCAGAGCCAGCTTTCCAGGGGCGCGGGTGACAGCTCTACCCGGGCGCCCTTGGACACCGACGACAGCTCACCTAGGATGTGACAGTGAGGGGGGGCCCCGGGATGTGACAGTGAGGGGGCGTTGATGTCAGGGCCCGGTGGCGTCAGGAGGGCCCAGTTGGTGTCAGGGGCCCGGTTGTGCAGTGAGGGGGCCCGGTTGGTGTCAGTGAGGGGCCGGTTGGGTATCAGTAAAGGGGGCCCAGGATGTGACAGTGGGGGGGCGTTGATGTCGAGGCGGTGGTGTCGAGGGGCTGGTTGGTGTGTCAGTGAGGAAGCCCAGGTTGGTGTGAAGTGAAGGGGCCGGTTGAATTATGTCAGGCTGAGGGGCAGTTGAGGTATCAGTGAAGGCCGGTGGGTATGATGAGGGGGCAGTTGGTGTGTGAGAGGGAGGCCCAGGTTGGTGTCGTGAGGGGGCCCGGTTGGTGTCAGTGAGGGGCCCCGGGATGTGACAGTGGGGAGGGGCGTTGATGTCAGGGGCCCAGGATGCTGTTTGAGTGGGGGGAGGGGCGTTGATGTCCGGGGGCCGGGATGTGACAGTGGGGAGAAGGGGCGGTGATGTCTGAGGGGCCCAGAGGATCATGACCCAGTGGGGGAGGGGCGTTGATGTCAGGGGGCCCCGGGATGTGACAGTGGGGGGAGGGGCGTTGATGTCGGGGGCCCGGGATGGCTGTGACAGTGGGGGGAGGGGCGTTGATGTCAGGGGGGCCGGGATGTGACAGTGGGGAGGGGGCGTTGATGTCAGGGGGGCCCGGTTGGTGACAGTGAGGGGGCCCCGGGATGTGTTTAAGTGAGAGTGTGTCAGTGTGTGTGGGAGGGGGTGCTCGGTGAGTGGGGGCCCCCGGGATGTGACAGGCCGCAGTGACACAGCAAGCTGCCCGGCTCCCCGCTCTCCCCCCCCCCCCCGGGGGTCTCACCTCTCTATGACGGAGCCCACCAGCTGCGGCAGCTCCTTCATGTCGAAGGCCGAATACGAGGCGGACAGGAGCGGCCTCACCGCCACCTCCCAGCCCGGCCCGGCGGGGCCCACAGGAGACGCCATCTTCCTCTCGGTGACTGAGCTGCACCGGAAGTGACTGTCTGCTTTACCACAGTCCGGAGCAACGTCACTGCGTCCCTGGCAGCGCTCGGCCGCCATGTTGGGCGGGGCGGAAGTTAGGGCGCCATATTGGTAGAGGCTCTCTGGGGATTAGAAACATCATTACCCCAAATATGGCAATAGGACCAAAGGGGACACTTTAATTGTAGGAGTATGAGGGGTCTGACCTACTGACAGGAATAAAGGAACATTTTACCATATTTATGGCGGTAGATGGTGTGTTTAACACTATAGGGTCAGGAGTACGTGTTTGTGTTCCTTTACAATGGGTTTCTTTCAAAATAAACAGAAGATGTGTGAACGTTAATTTACCAAATACCGTCTTTGCTCATATTTAATGCATTATTTCGAAATGCATTAGGAAATTAATTGGTAAACTCATCTCTGAGATTTTATTACAGAGACACAACTGCAAAAACAAGCCAATATCACTTTACCATGGAAAATAATTGCTGCACACGCTTTGATGTTGTCATTTTATTTGGAAACATTTTAGTTTCTAAATAATCCAAATTAAATAAAACAAAAACAAAACAAAAAAAACTGTAGTTTTGTGAACAATTGAAATTTTCAGTTGTTTTTTTAAAGAGCCAGTAAATTCATTAGAATTGAAAGTTAAATACAGGATGTGCCTAAAATGATAAATATATACCCCTTAAGGTGACATGTCATGATTCCCTTTTATTCCAGAAGTTTGGTCCTTAAGGGGTTAAACAGCTACCATTTTATTCAAAGCTAGGTGCTATAACATGTGAAGGATCCAGGCTGATGGGCTTTTTTTTTTTTTTTTTTTTAGAAGAAATCAATAGAAGAGGTTCGCATTGGCTCCATTAGTGCACATTCCATTTCCATACAAGCCTTTCTGTTTGGTATCAACAAGATCATCTGATTGACTGGGGAATGCGATGATACTCTCCTCCCTCTGAATCTGCCTGCGCCTATTCGCCATCTCCATAATGCTAAAAAAGAATTAGGGGGACAGTTAGCATGAAAATACCGAATGAAATGGCTGTTGCTTACCTTCACGTGAATCCCCTTGTTTGGATGATTTTTTCAACTGAACGGCAGCTCGTTCGGTTGTTTCCACACAAAGTTATGGAAGTCTAGAGGTCTCAGCGGTGTTAGTCGAGTGTCCGATTTGGGTTCCAGACACTCGACAACCAAACACCGCTGTTCGGGAGTTAAGATGGGTGCCGCCACGTGTTCGTATCCCGAATGGCGGCCACCCATAGAACAAAGTACCGATTGCCAATTAGGGGTTTGCAACATTGTTGCGAGCAGTAATGAGAGGCACACTTATCCCTGGGGAGGTCTGATTGTTTGGTAGTTTCACTTGTATAGTAAATTGAGTGATTTTACCGAACAATCACACGAATGCTGCATACAATGTGAGCACACAGAACAAGCAATACAGGAAAGCATACTAAAATACACGAATTTTGAGGGCAGCCTTAATGCAATCTGCTACAATCTTCTCACCACAAACTGTGACCAGGGGGTTTAATATGTAGCAGACGCCTGCAGATTAACTTAAAAAAAAAAAAAAAAAAGTCTAATAGATGCAATGGCAAGCTTACAAATGGTACAAAATCTGAAAGCACATCTCACCTAAACCATTTGTTTTTCACAAGCACCGGAATCCAGTCAACTACGATTCCAGTTCTGCTGCTCTGGCCTTAAATTTGAATTCCCAGCCAGTGCTCATGTTAATGAATAACCCTGTGTATGTTTTAGATCTAGCGCTTGAGTAAAACTTGAATATCTTTAAAGTACCATAATTAACAATGGAAAGAGCGTACCATTTCAGCTATACATTGTGCCAGTCTTATAACCATCACCTGTACAGCTCAAAGGAACACTTTATTTGGTGCCGTCCTGCTTGTTTTAAGCACATTTATCTACTATCCTACAGAATCCTGATGAGAGGATTTGCACGCTTTTATAGTTAGAGCAGACTTTATTCTGCTCTACCATTGTGAGTGATATTCTTTTATTATTTCCTGGTTACATTTGTGATACAGAGTTACACTATATTGTGTTCTTTTGTCCCTCTATCTTATGTTTTTATGTGGAGCGTTTTAAAGAGATACTCCTTCAAGTGTCAACAGAGTCTAAATCTAAAGGAGTAAGTTCTTTGTTGTTTGTATTTCACAAAGAGCACATATTCACAGGGTATTTACCACTGGATTATATTTATTTGCACTTTAATAATATACATATACTGTATTTGCACTTTATTCACTACAGTTGGACCATTATTGATTTACATATTGTTCATATTGTTATATTAGCACTTAAAGGCACAGCGCACTTTTGTTCTTTTTTTGTATTCTATTTGAGTGGTTTTAGAGCTATTTCACTTTTATTAGTGCTTGCTAGCCTTTGTGAGTGTTATTATTTTTTTACTGATTTTATAGCGCCATTTTTACTTGATAGTTTTATATTTTCTGTTTGCAACATTGTTGCAAGCGGTAATGAGAGGCACACTTACCCCTGGGGTGGTCTGATTGTTCAGTAGTTTCACTTGTTTAGTAAACGGAGGGATTTTACCGAACAATCAGTCGAATGCTGCATACAATGTGAACACATAGAACAAGCACTACACGAAAGCATACTAAAATACACAAATTTTGAGGACAGCCTTAATGCAATCCGCTACACTGCTCCCCCTTGCCCACAAGCCAGCATACACAGTCTAATCCTCCACGGATCGGCTTGGGGATGTCCGGGGTTGCTCACGGATTATTTTTCCAAGTCTGTTTGTCTAGACAACCAGTCGGCGTTTCCGTTCTGTTTCCCCGGGCAGTACTGGATGTTGAAGTCAAATGGCTGCAGCGCCAAACTCCAGCGCAGCAGCCTGGCATTGTCCCCTGCCACCCGGTTCAGCCATACCAACGGGTTGTGATCTGTGAGCAAGGAAAATGGCTGTCCATACAAATACGGCTGTAACTTCTTCAGGGCCCACAACACAGCCAGGCATTCCTTCTCGATGGTGGTGTAGCTTACTTCTCTGGGTAATAACTTGCGACTGATGTAAGCCACGGTATGTTTTCTTGGCTCAGTACTGCCCCCAATCCAAACATAGAAGCGTCTGTGTGGACAAGAAAACGTTTAGTTGGATTGGGAGCGGCCAAGACGGGCATTTACAAGGGCATTTTTCAAGTGTTGGAATGCCTGCTCACACTCAGGGGTCCAGGTTACTTGGCGGGAAAGATTCTTACGGGTAAGGTCAGTAAGCGGCTTGGCCAGGGCGCTATAATTGGGCAAAAATTTTCTATAGTACCCTGCCGTCCCTAGAAACGCTAACACCTGAGTCTTGGTCCTCGGGGTGGGCCATTGGCCTACGGCCTCTACTTTGGCAGGATCTGGCTTTTGCTTCCCCCAACCTACTCGGTGCCCAAGGTACTGGACCTCGGCCATCCCTATACTACATTTAGCAGGTTTCAACGTCAAGCCTGCCTCTCTAATTCTGTCTAGAACCGCTCCTATATGGGCCAAGTGCTCCTGCCAGGTATTGGTAAATATGGCAATATCATCTAGATATACGCAGGTATAGTCTTGGAACCCGTCTAGAAGTCGGTCCGCCATCCGCTTGAAGGTATCCAGAGCGTTTTTCATAACAAACGGCATAACCTTAACTTGGTACAGGCCGAATGGGTGACAAAGGCTGACTTAGGGATGGCGTCCGGGGCCAAGGGAATCTGCCAATACCCCTTACATAGGTCAATAGTAGTGAGGTTTTGGCCTCTGGCCATCCGGTCTAGCAGTTCGTCTATCCTAGGCATAGGATAGGTGTCGGACACTGTCTTCTCGTTTAACCTCCGGTAGTCTACGCAGAAGCGGGTCGTACCGTCCCGCCTAGGTACGAGGACTACTGGGGAGGCCCAGGGGCTGTCCGATGGCTCAGTCACCCCCAGTTGGAGCATCTCGTCGATCTCCTTGCGCATGTTCTCCCGCACCGCTTCAGGGATGCGGTAGGGAGTCTGGCGCATGGGTAGTTGCCCTAGGATTTCTACTCGGTGAGTGGCCAGAGGAGTGTACCCAGGCACATTGGAGAAGGTGTCTTGCTTCTCCCTTAGCAGCTGCTGCACCTCGGTACGCTCCTGTGGGCTCATTCGGTCTCCCAGCACAACCTCCCCTAAATCCCCTGACAGCCGACCGTCCCCCAAAAGGTCTGGGAGAGGGAGGCTGTCAAACTCGTCAGAGTTGGGTGCACAGATAGCGGTCACCTCCTCTGAATGTTCCTGGTAAGTCTTCAGCATGTTCACATGGAGCATGCGTCGCCCTCCCGTCCTTACACAGGGGCCAATTATATACATGGTGTCACATCTCTGTTCCACCACCCTATAAGGGCGGCCTGCACCTTGTCATGTCGGACATGTTTTAAAATTAAAACTTTCTGCCCGACCTGAAAGCTACGGTCCCTGGCACCCCGATCATACCAGGTGCGCTGGCGGGTCTGCACCGTCTGAAGATTTTCCCTTACCATCCTAGTCAATGCTTCTAGGCGGTTTCGAAATGCCAACACATATCGTATGATTGGGGTACCATCTGCGCTACAGTCTTCCTCCCAGTGCTCCCTAATAAGATCTAGTGGCCCTCTTACTCTCCTTCCAAATAACAATTCAGACCAGGAAAACGCGGTCGATTCCTGTTGTACCTCGCGATAAGCAAAGAGGAGGTGGGGCAGGAATCATTCCTAGTCCCGATGGGTCTCTGCGAAGGTTCGTAGCATCTGTTTCAATGTACCATTGAACCGTTCACAGAGCCCATTGGTCTGGGGATGGTAGTGGTCACTGATTATAGGCTTAATGTCACAGAATTTCCAGAGGTGCTGTGTGACCTCCGCGGTAAACCGAGTACCCTGATCCGAGATGATCTCCCTGGGTAACCCCATCCGGGAGAAAATCTGCATGAGGGCCTCGGCTACCGTTCCAGCGTGGATATTGGTCAGTGCCACCGCCTCTGGGTATCTAGTGGCATAGTCGACCACTGTTAAGATATATTTCTCACCAGAGGGACTAGGCTTCCAAAAGGGGCCTGTTAAATTTACTGCTATCCTACTGAATGGCTTTTCAATTATAGGAAACGGATGCAGTTTTACTTTCCGCCGATCCCCCCCTCTTTCCTACCCTCTGACACGTATCACAAGTATTGCAATACTTGCGGACTTCCTAGCTGATTTCCGGCCAAAAGAAACTCTGGGTCAGTCGGTACCGGATGCAACTGACCCCCAAATGCCCGGATAGCAGAATATCGTGCGCTATCCGGAGCATTTCGGCTTGGTACTTCTGGGGTACTACTAGTTGCCTTATAATTATCGGGTCTGACCCTGCTGCCTGTTTGTCAGACTCCCTGTACAATAGCTGTTTGTCCCATACAAACCTCTCACCCTCTGCCCCGGGTTGGTCAGAGGTGACCTTGTCTCTATATACTTGTAAGGTAGGGTCAGTGATCACCTCTGCCGAAAATTCGTTAGGGGGAGCAGCGGTTGGTGGGGGTGGTAGTTGTCGGGGTGTTGCTGTTGTGTTGGTGGGGTAGCTTGTCCCTCCTAGGGGTCTTACTGCGGTCTTGATGACTACAGGTTTTTGTTGTCTGCAAGCCTCCATCTAGTCATCTGCTTTCCTAGCTGCCTCAGTGAGGGATGTAGGGTTGCGGTCCCTTACCCATTCCTGGACATCTGTTGGTACCCCATCATAGAATTGTTCCAACAGCAGCATTTGTAATATGTCATCCATGGACCGTGCTTTGTTAGCCTGTACCCATCCAAGGGCCGCCCGATGTAGTCTACAAGCTCACTCTGCGTGCAAATCTTTCTCCGCTTTCTTTAGTTCCCTGAACCACCTTCGGTATGCCTCTGGTGTGATGGCATACCAGGCCAATATAATTTCCTTTACCTGACTGTAGTCACGGATTTCTTCGTCCGGTACAGTGCGGTAAGCTTCTGCTGCTCTCCTGTTTAGTCGCCCAGCTAGAATGGGGACCCAATCCTCTGAGCTGACTTTATGCAAGGCACACAGTCTTTCAAAATCCTGGAGGAAGGCATCTATGCCTTCCTCTGCCTCTACATACATTTTAAACGCTTGGTAGGGTATCTTTGGCTTACCCTCTTGTAACATGGTCACTGCTAAGCTGCGTTCTGGGGTTGACGTTATCCTTTGCCTCAGTACAAACTCCTGGACTTCTGTCATTGTCCTGGAGATGATCTCTGCCGGTGGATTTTCCCCATAAAAGGACAACCTAAACTGTAGCTGCCTTTGAAACTCCGCTTGCTCTTGTCCTTCTGCTGAATCACTACGTTCAGGAACTGAACCTCCATCTGTTTGGTATTCCGCCATGACTTCTGTGATGAGAACAACTTTAGTTTTATTGCTGGCTGGAATACCCCTTGCTTCCAGGAGATCTTTTAGCGTGGAGCGTTTTAGTGTAGAATAGTCAATCTCCATCCGTACTCCATTGGTACTTGTTCCCCTGTGAGCCAACCACTGTAGCGGAGTGCTAGTCTTTCACAGACTATCTCCGCTAGAAATCCAAATAATGCTTAGGAACAAGTAATAAAACCCAAGAGAATAATATCCACGATTAGTAAAGTAATCCAAAAGAATCCCACACGTTTCCCAATGACTGGACGACACACAGCATCAGGAGCAGAACTGAACTGAGGTTTAATTCCACATGTCTGCTTTTAAGCAATTCTCCCATGCAAGGGAGACACACACAGTAATTAATACAGTAACCAATAAAATACGTGTTACCTCCCATACATCTCCTCCCCTCAGCATGACACAATCCACTTAATCCATGTACAGTATTTCCCCAGTTCCTGGGATGTACCCCAAATACATTGGGTACACTCCTAAATAGGGGATCCCCTGATAGCTGTGATATGGGTGAGTAACACACTCAAAAATCACCCAGATAGGACCAGGGGTTCAGGAGTTATGGGAGAGTAAAGTTTTGATCAACCGCACAGGCAACAGTAGCCGAAAATAGTTCCATAAGTTTTGGCCTTGCGGTCGGTCTTGGTTCGTGGGTATAAACGGATGAAAATACAGAATAAAATGGCTGTTGCTTGCCTTCATGTGAATCCCCTTGTTTGGATGATTCTTTCTACCGAACGGCGGCTCATTCGGTTGTTTCCTCACGAAGTTATGGAAGTCTGGAGGTCTCAGCGATGTTTGCTTAGTCGAGTGTCCGATTTGGGTTCCAGACACTCGACGACCAAACACAGCTGTTCGGGAGTTAAGATGGCCGCCGCCACGTGTTCATATCCCGAATGGCGGCCACCCATAGAACAAAGTACGGATTGCCAATTAGGGGTTTGCAACATTGTTGCGAGCAGTAATGAGAGGCACACTTATCCCTGGGGAGGTCTGATTGTTTGGTAGTTTCACTTGTATAGTAAATTGAGTGATTTTACCGAACAATCACACGAATGCTGCATACAATGTGAGCACACAGAACAAGCAATACAGGAAAGCATACTAAAATACACGAATTTTGAGGGCAGCCTTAATGCAATCTGCTACAATCTTCTCACCACAAACTGTGACCAGGGGGTTTAATATGTAGCAGACGCCTGCAGATTAACTTAAAAAAAAAAAAAAAAAAGTCTAATAGATGCAATGGCAAGCTTACAAATGGTACAAAATCTGAAAGCACATCTCACCTAAACCATTTGTTTTTCACAAGCACCGGAATCCAGTCAACTACGATTCCAGTTCTGCTGCTCTGGCCTTAAATTTGAATTCCCAGCCAGTGCTCATGTTAATGAATAACCCTGTGTATGTTTTAGATCTAGCGCTTGAGTAAAACTTGAATATCTTTAAAGTACCATAATTAACAATGGAAAGAGCGTACCATTTCAGCTATACATTGTGCCAGTCTTATAACCATCACCTGTACAGCTCAAAGGAACACTCCTGGCACCATAACCACCACTGTGCTGTATTGATTATTGTGTAAGGAGTGCCCTGCTTCCCCCTCAATGTAAGCAGTCAAACCGTTTGTTAACAGTTTGCCTTTTTACCGTCCACCAAGCACCAATTATTGCCCCTAAGAAAGCCAGGTGCTTTCTGCTCTGAGCTAAGCATTGCAGTGCAGGGCTTAACTCATTGGCTGAGTGATATCAGCTGTATCCTAGCATGTGACCACACAACAGGACTTGTGGGATGGCTATAACAGCACCCGTTGATAGGCTGGGGCAGCCATGCCTCACCATTCCTTTCACTTCATGGAGTCTTGCAGCAAGGAAGCAAATGCCAGGTGAGTCAGAAATTTAATCTGTGAACGTGTGGATAACTCACTACAGTTATACCTATCCGGATGCCATCCTTACAATTTGTGGACAAGTTTATTTTAAACAGACTGTGCAGACTTAAAAAAGATAGCCATTTAAAAATCCACATTTTGTGGCTATATTTTTTTTAACTTTGCTTCTACCTACATTTTAGTGGCTCTTTACAAGTCATGATAGTTTTATAATTTTAAATTTAGATATTCTGGGTCCAGTGTGATTACAATGCTTATATTTAAACAAAAACATTGTATTAGAAATAAAATGGCCTATGCTAGTATTTTTTTTTTTGCCACATCAATTTGGGAAACTAATATTTTCAGCAGACATAAAATAAACAGATTTTTAAATCTACAGCCCCATGTAGAGCAGATTCCTCCCTTAATGAACACCAAATATGGCAATGCTATGTTTTGCATAATATATATACACATATATATATACAATCAGAGAGCACTGTAGTTTTAGGAATAAAACTTTGTGTCCCCCTTAACCCCTTGTTTTCTTACTATGTTTAAATCACCTTTAGAGGTTTAGTTATATGGAAGAAGGAAAAGATAAAGCTTAAGGGAAGTTTCATTTCAGTAGACAACTTAATTCACCCACAATCCAACAGTTTAAAATAATCACACAAAATGGGATAGTGCAGAGATCACAGACAGAGGAAAACAAAATGGTGGCACCCTGTTATTTAAATCAGGGAAGAAAACATAATAAATATATAAAAGATTGGCAAGAGGGGAATTTAACCATTAACATAGAAGGGAAATAAAAGGAAAAAAAAAAAATGACTGTGCAGATTTACGATCAGATGAGGAAATGACAATGTTGTCCAGAAAAAATAAAAAGGATTTGAACCATGGACAAATCGCTAAGGCGATAATTAACTGTATGACGGTAGCGCAGGTCAGACACTAGAATAAGGGGCAAGAAATATTAGCTGTGATATCAGTCCTTCTCCCGGTCATCAAATATCCCTGATGACCCTTTGAAGTTTCTCTGTTTCTGTGAATAATAAATTACTAATTCACTGCAGACGATCAGAACCTAGTGTCCATTTCCTTGCATAAAGATGCTTTGTACGAAGAGCTTGTTCTCCATCTAATTAATTGTGTTAGCGCCAGGCCCGGTTCAGCATTTTAACTTGAGAAAGTCTCTTTGTGATCATAGTGGCAAAAACCAGTCCAATCAGTACACTGCTGATCAAGATGTAATCGTAATCATCTTTTAGTACGTCAAACTGCTTGGAAGGATAAACTCTTGTCTGGTACATATCCAAGCCGTAAGCTACAACCTACGAAGAAAAAAAAAAAAAATGTTAAAATAATAATATACAAAAAGAAAGAATGAGGGGCAAAGAATCCCTGAAACACCGGGAACAAATCCCCTCAAAACTAGTACCCCCTCTAGAGCAATAGAAATCTATTTACCCACTAACCGTGTATAACACAAAGTGAAAAAACATTAAAAGTCCCATATATAATTTTTGTAATACACCAAACTGCTATAAACTAGGAATAGAGGGACATTAAGAATCAGCCTAAAGTGCACACAACTGAATAATGCACCTCGATACTAAGTTGCTAAAATTCCAGTAAAGTAGTAGTGAAAAAAGGCTACTTCAAATTAGCAACAGTCTATTGACGTCAGATTATGACTCATCCGATACAGACTCTAGTAGCCAACAAAATATATCCAACTCCCAAACACAACCTTCCACCTCCACGAGTAATTCTAACCCCAAGGGGATTCTTAAAAAAGGGGAGAATTTTTTAGCCCTACACCATCAGGAGGAATTTCCAAGCCAACGTACGAGATATCAGACTAACCCCAAGGGGAGGAAGAGGGGGAAGGGGAGGAGGGAGAAGGACACGATATTAAATGAGACTTTAGGTTTAACCCACTCTAAATCCCAGGTTGTTAATCTGTCCTCATGTATATTATCTCAGGACCAAATTAATGTTTTAGAAAGGGGTCTCTCTTTTGTTCCAACTACCTGCTTTGACAGATTTGAGTGGATCAAAGATTTGAATCTTTTTGTTCTAAAACTCGCTTTATTTAAATTCCATTATATACAAAATGAGAAAAAAGCGAGGGACTTAGGACTCACATCCAAAGATTATCAGTGTTTAACCACACTATTGTCCCTCTTGGAGGAGAATGATACAACGAATGTCCTAAATCGTACGGATTTGAAACCGAAAAGTAGATATACACCGAACTTTGCTGGTTTCCGGAATATTGAATTATTTTTGGAGGCAGCAAAGAACAAAATTGAAAAAATTAATGTCAAATCTTTTGATTACCACTCAAATAATAATCTAAATAAAAAGGAGAGGCTTGCTCTGGATTCACTTAAGGCAAATACTAGTATTATTATTAAGCCAGCCGATAAGGGGGGCAATGTAGTAATCCTTGATACAAGCAAATATATAGGGATGGTGGAACGTACCTTGAGTGATGAAAAAACATATAGGATCCTGAAATTTGACCCTACCAATGATTATTTGGGAAAATATAAAGAAATCTTGGATGAAGGCCGCAGTGGAGGGTTGCTATCGGGTGACGAGTATGAATTTGTTCTTAATCGTCAGCCCAAAATAGCAACCTTCTACTGCTTGCCGAAAATCCATAAAAATATTGAATTAATAATATTTCTATTGCTCTAGAGAGGGTACTAGTTTTGAGGGGATTTGTTCCCGGTGTTTCGGGGATTCTTTGCCCCTCATTCTTTCTTTTTGTATATTTGTCAATATAAAGGTTAGGCCCTTTTTAGTACCCCAGTAATCCATTTCTCTGTATCCTTTTTGCTGGAATTTTTCCAGCCAAAAGTGCAGTGTGTTTGTTAAAATAATAATATAGTTTTTACACTAAACCCAATACAGCCACAGATTTCTTACCAGACAAGTGGATTCCAGGCCAGAGGGAGCTGTGTAAATTCCACGCATTCGAGAAACAGTCTGGTTGTAATTTATAAAGCGCTCGGCGTGAATCTGAATATCAGGGGTATAGGGGATCAAATTCTCCTCCCTGTACAGTGAAACAAACACAGAACAATATATTGGAGGTATTAAAATTGAGAGAAGATGATCTGTGTTTAGGTGTAAGTCTTCCAATATTACAAACATTCTATACATTTTGTGTGGAGGAATGCAAACTGTTGCTGGACTATGATCTCACCTAGTGTATTCTGTCGGAACCTCAGGACGGCGTGGATCCAGTAACGCTTTGGGGAGAGACAGGATAGCACCAGACGGCAGCCCAACTACAGGAATAAAAACAAATTCAAAATTATGCCTAGAATGATTTCATTCACAAACCTACACTAAGAACCTCTCTGTAAACTCAACGGGTGGAAATATTATAAGCAGCACACAGATGGTTAAAATAAATAATCAGGAAAAAATTTGCATTAAAACAGCTGCCCCAATATGTGAACACATTTTATTTACACAGTTATCTTTTTTAGTTCCTATATAGAAAACGACGTTCAGACCTCATAACAGAGGAGATTTTTTTATAGGATCATGTAGTTACATAGCACTACCAATATGTTCTCACCCTTTCTAAAAGTAACAGCTTGCCCCAACCCATCGAATATCAGATTTTATGTCCTATGCTCAAAACTCCCACAGAATGTCATTATTAAAGGACCACTAAAGGCCCTCAGACTAATCCATCTAAATGAAGTGGTCTGGGTGCAGTGTCCCTGTCCTTTTAACCCTGTAATTTAAAACATTTACATTGCAGGGTTAAATCCAAGGCGCTTCCTCATCCAAAATGGAGTAAAAGTCTTTCTTGGAATTAATGTTGCTGCTAGCAGCATTTAATTGGAGAAGTGCAGCATTTGGACGAGCATGTGTACCTCCAAGCAATTGCTTTTGTATGAGAAGCAATGGATTGGAGGAAACAGTGAGGACATCAGCAGCTAAAACCCTTGAAGGCAGAGCAGGCGCCTGGAGCAGAGGAATCCAGGCGTTGGAAACTAGGTGAGTAATCTTTATTTAACTTATTAAAACATTATTTTTTTTCATTACTATTGGTTGCCTTTAACTGGAGCAGTTTCACGGAACCCCATGGTTTCTAGCAGCTTTAATACAGGATACAGATTTCATTTGTCTTATTGGTGTAACTGAAGGACCTGCATATTCTTCTGTTTGTACCGTATTTCCCATGATGCTCTATTCGTCTTAATTACAATACTCACTGAGAATATGGCGGCTGGTAATGCCACGTTCTGTGATAGTTGCCTGGAGTGCACGGATAGCAGAAGGAAAGATGTAGGATTGCTGCAGGACATGTGGAAGGTGAGGCCTGTCCAGGGAGCTGAAATTAGTGCTGTTATACTGTTCTGTTCCTTCAAACAGCTCCAAGACAGTCAGTTCATTCCTGCGAGACTTGCTGTTCCAGGACTGGTACTGTATGAAAAGACAGGATTGGGTTTTGGGAGGAGTGTAGACCAGACACAGGATAAATGAAGTAGAAGAGAGTTACAGGATTGGGTTTTGGGAGGCGTTTAGACTACACACAGGATAGATGACGTAGAAGAGAGTTACGGGATCTTACCACAACCCAGTTTTCAGAGTGCACAATCTGCACCGGGCCCCGAGCTTTTCTCTGTACAGACGAATGAATGATACGTCCTGTGACACTATCTATGAGATAGATTCCAATAAAGCAGCGCTCGGGGTGTGTGTCCGTGCTCTCTGTCACCACAGCCAGCAGGTTGGGATTCAGGTACTAAGATAGAAAAGGCAGAGACAAATAAACACATTCTATAAAAGAAATCTTAATCTTTTGAATATGGTGCTACCTGGCATACCAGAGCACACAAATATATAGTTCTATGTATTCTACTGAGTGCCAAAAGCATTGGACTAATCAACAGCCCCAATTATGGACTGTGTACAGGAGATTCTTCATAACCACATGAACAGTGAAGAAATGTTATACATAAAAACAAGGGAGGAAAAGGAAATGACAGTTCAGGTCTCCTTGAATTGTAAACATTCGGAATGGCCAGGAGTGATACACTGTCTCCTCCACACACTGCCTGCCAGCTTTCTGGAATACTTTCTATATAACCTGTGGCCCACATCCTTACCTTATAAAGGACGCTCCGGTCACCCATCACTCGGCCCTGGGAGTGGACATGCTCATTAGATCGCTTTCCCTTCACAACCGTTATTTTCTGAAGATCTGGGGGGAGAACCAGTTCCCAAATCTCCTCTGTGGAAAGATCCTAAAGGAAGACAAGCAGTGGGGACAAATTTACCGGGTTTAGAAGAGAGAGCGAGAAGGAAAGGAATATAAAGCTCCTTGGCTTATGGGTACCTTGTGCAGCCGAAGCCCTGTTAGTTTGCCTTTTTCAGAGTCTACCAAATAGAAGAAGACGGTGGGGGACAATTCCTGCAGCTGCTGCAGAACATACTTTGTGGCAGGGAAGGTGATGACCTGCAACGATTGAATGGGTTATTCTCAATACCATTAATATCACTCTGTAAAATGAGAACTAAATCAGGCTTATTGACAAAAGGGTGAATTACCAGTAATTCAAAGTGAATTTCAAGTCCGTTATTAATTCAGTTCAGCTACAGTTGCAAGAAAAAGTATGTGAACCCTTCGGAATGATATGGATTTCTGCACAAATTGGTCATAAAATGTGATCTGATCATCATCTAAGTGACAACAATAGACAATCACAGTCTGCTTTAACTAATAACATACAAAGAATGAAATGATGCCATGTTTTTATTGAACACACCATGTAAACATTCACAGTGCAGGTGGAAAAAGTATGTGAACCCTTGGATTTAATAACAGGTTGAACCTCCGTTGGCAGCAATAACTTTCCTGTAGTTGCAGATCAGACGTGCACAACGGTCAGGAGTAATTCTTGACCATTCCTCTTTATAGAACTGTTTCAGTTCAGCAATATTCTTGGGATGTCTGGTGTGAATCGCTTTCTTGAGGTCATGCCACAGCATCTCAATCGGGTTGAGGTCAGGACTCTGACTGGGCCACTTCAGAAGGCATATTTTCTTCTGTTTAAGCCATTCTGTTGTTGATTTACTTCTATGCTTTTGCAACACCAATCTTCTGTTGAGCTTCAGCTTGGTAGACAGATGGCCTTAAGTTCTCCTTCAAAATGTCTTGATAAACTTTGGAATTCATTTTTCCTTCGATGATAGCAATCCTTTATGGCCCTGACGCAGCAAAGCAGCCCCAATTCATGATGCCCCCACCACTTCACAGTTGGGATGAGGTTTTGATGTTGGTGTGCTGTGCCTTTTTTTCGCCACACATAGTGTTGTGTGTTTCTTCCAAACAACTCAACTTTGGTTTCATCTGTCCACAGAATATTTTGCCAGTACTGCTGTGGAACATCCAGGTGCTCTTGTGCAAACTGTAAACGTGCAGCAATGTTTTGTTTGGACAGCAGTGGCTTCCTCTGTGGGATCCTCCCATGAAATCCATTCTTGTTTAGTGTTTTACGTATTGTAGATTCGCTAACAGGGATGTTAGCATTTGCCAGTGACTTTTGTAAGTCTTTAGCTGACATTCTAGGATTCTTCTTCACATCATTGAGCAGTCTGCGCTGTGCTCTTGCACTCCTAGGGAGAGTAGCAGCAGTGCTGAATGTTCTCCATTTTGTCTTACCGTGGACTGTTGAACAGCCAGGCTTTTGGAGATACCTTTATAACCCTTTCCAGCTTAATGCAAGTCAACAATTCTTAATTGTAGGTCTTCTGAGAGCTCTTTTGTGCGAGGCATCATTCACATCAAGCAATGCTTCTTGTGAAAAGCAAACCCAGAACTGGCGTGTGTTTCTTATAGGGCAGCTGTAACCAACACCTCCAATCTCATCTCATTGATTGGACTCCAGTTGGCTGACATCTCACTCCAAATAGCTCTTGGTGATGTCATTAGTCTAGGGGTTCACATACTTTTTCCACCTGCACTGTGAATGTTTACATGGTGTGTTCAATAAAAACATGGCAACATTTCATTCTTTGTGTGTTATTAGTTTAAGCAGACTGTGATTGTCTATTGTTGTGACTTAGATGATGATCAGATCACATTTTATGACCAATTTGTGCAGAAATCCATATCCTTCCAAAGGGTTCACATACTTTTTCTTACAACTGTATATGGCCTTTGACTTTCTGACAATTAACACATTAACTAATTAAAACATTGGATGACAAATAGTGAGAAGCTTTATCTAGATTATCCATACAGATACACCCTACAAATTTATCGGGACGGCAAAGAATGCCAACACTGGACTGTATGGCCTTTCTTTGCGAAATTTGTACAGATAATGAGGAGGTAAAATTCTTCATTATTTCAGGGGCAGCAGAGAATGAATTGTAAAAATTGCAGCTGATATAGACAGAGCATTAGGGATGTCAATCAGTTTGTTCTGAGTTGATATTAATTTTGATCCTGATGTGTGTGTGTAGCACATGCACAATAAGAAAAACTGTGCATTGGACTGCACATGCAAGGTCTGTTGCTCGGCTGATGCTAAAACAGTGAACCAGGCAGTTATGTAGTTCACATTAAAATAAAGCATGGAAAATCACCGCTAATTGGCTAAGCATCGAGAAATGGAGCTGCTGAATATATTTGCTCATTAGAGTATATGTGAACCAGGCCCATGTACAGTTAAAGGGACACTATAGTCACCAGAACAACTACAGCTTATTTAATTTGTTCTGGTGAGTAGAATCATTACCTTCAGGCTTTTTGCTGTAAACACGGTCTTTTAAGAGAAAATGCAGTGTTTACATTACAGCCTAGTGATAACTTTACTGGCCACTCCTTAGATAGCGGTTAGAGATCCTTCCTGCGTCATGGCTGCCTAAAATGCATCCAAACATTCAGTGTCTCCTCTCTCTGCATGCAGACACTGAACTTTCCTCATAGAGATTCATCGATTCAATTAATCTCTATGAGGAGATGCTGATTGGCCAGGGCCGTGTTTGAATCATGCTGGCTCTGCCCCTGATCTGCCTCTTTGTCAGTCTCAGCCAATCCTATGGGGAAGCATTGTGGTTGATTCAAGCCACCACTTTTGATGAAGTAAGAGGTCAGAGGAAATTCACAGGCAGAGGCAGCAGCTTCAGACTTGAATACAAGTAATATTTTAATATCTTTAGGGAGGAAAGTGGGTCAAGGGGGCTAGATAGTGGTTTTAACACTATAGGGTCAGGAATACACGTTTGTGTTCCTGACCCTATACTGCTCATTTAATCAATGTAGATAGTGATTGAAGAGCACAATGTTCCTTTAAACAGACTCCCATGGAAGAGAGTTATCTTATAACGCCTCAGTCTTAGTGTCATGTAGACAGCAATATGATCTACTATCCCTGTGTAGGAAAGATTAATCTATCTATACATTGCATTAAAGAATATTGGGTGAACATTTGCCTAGACAATCTCCTTAGTATAATTTATATTATAATATAATTTGTGGCCTATATGCATCTCAAAAGTGTAAACTAGACATTGAATTCTTTCAAACTAGTGGACTAAGGGCCATTTTAGTCTGTCAGTCACAATCTTATAACAGTGTGCTGGGAAATCTAACAGTGAGAAGAATTGAATACATTAAAGTTTCTATATGCAACTCTCACTCAAAGGATACAAATTTACACAAGAACATGCATTCCACGTTTAACCAGGCTGGTTTTGAAAAACCCCAAATAAATCATTATAAAGCCTCCTCTAACTCTGAGCCTATCCAATTAGCAGTTATTACGACCTCTTTGTGTCTTCTCCCTCATGTGAAGGCCACTGAGCTCACCTTGTGCTGATCATCGAGGAGAAGTAGCACTTTGGCGTAATCATGATCCATAATGGGAAGGAGAAAGGACTGCATGATGGGGCGCTGCAGAGGGGGAGGAGTCAGCTGGCTTAGTTTCCCAAATATAGGGTTAAAAACGTATAGCGAGCTCACAGACGTCTCCTGAAAGAAACAAACAGAAGATTTATTCGGCATTTGTAGCGATTTCTAATCGATCTATGAATATTAAAGGTTACGTTTTGGACGGACCTGAACAGATGACACCTTAGAGATATGGCCCTACCTTGTCCTTCACTAGAAGTGTGCACTGAGGGGGATGTGGGAAATGCGCAGTTGTTCTCTGTATTAGCAGCTTGAATGAGGAGCCAGGAAGCACACCTTGCAGGTAAAATTTCCACAGGATGCTGCCAGAACTGCTCTCAATCCCAAAGAGCTACAAACAAACAAAACAGGATGTCAAGACCACACTAAGTTAGGTAATTTCCATCAGTCACACCATATCTAGCAGTCCCAGATCCCTCTGTCTCACTAGAATACCAACAACAAGGAGACCACTAGCCATCAGTTCAACGACAGCTTCTGGTGTCTCACCTTCCCAGAGGAAGTCACCATGACCATCATCTTCTGCAGATTGAAGTCATCCCTGGCCAAAGTATCAATGTTGATCTCGCTGCGGATTTGACTACGTGGCTTGCGGGCATCACAGAACATCTTCCACAGGTGAGCGCTCCAAGACTGCAGTAATATGAGCTGTGATGATAGACGCTTGAAAAACATTCCAAGCAATCCATCTAAAGATAAAGAGGATAATCAGCAGTCGCCCTCTGCTGACCAGATGAACTCACCGCAACTCAATTTTTCAGACTGCATCACCTATGTTATTCAATTTTATACATTCATGATAATAGCGCTTATAAAAACAAGCGCCCGTTTTCTTCAAGACTGGTTAAACAATAATAATTCCTCACACTACGACTACCCTCTATGCCAGATGAACATAGTCAAAGAAAATCATTGAGGAATAAATAAAATAAATACTTTACAACAAAATATTAAGAGAATTAAAAAACAAAACAAAAAAAAAAACACGACAAGCACAGCCAGAAAATACCCATTCAAATACAAACAGGAATATTCAAAGAAACCATTACATGTTTCCTTGTAAAGAGATAAACAAATCTACAAAAAAATAAAAAGTAATGGAAAACAGATGCAGGTACAGTTCCTCCAGGTTACCTTGTATAGCTGGGTCCAGGCAGCAGAAAAAAAAAGCAAGACAGAAGAAATTGAGGTATGAGTAAACATCCCAACCAATAACACCAATATGATGTGATCCTCGTACCCCCACATCTCTTCATACAGTTCTCATACCTGCTTTCTTTCCAAACTCGCCCTCTAGCTCTGCCTGAGCACCAGTTAGTGGTAAATCCACCATTTCCATGGTAATCACATCCGCCAGAGACTCCTCACGCAACCAGAGCAATTTACCTGCAAGAAAGCAAAGACTGTGACAAACACAAACAATGAAAGGAACAGAGCAGGGGTAATAAAAACACTCCCATAAACCTTCACTGGTCCAGAGACAGTATGTGGCTAGCAATGGTTCATGGTACTGGCAGTTTGCTGGAAGCTGGAGGTCTGGTATGTGAATTGTCAATAATGGAGTGTGTCAGGGATGGCATTCACCTGGCTGCTGAAGGAATAGGAGCTGGTTATCCTCAGTCTGGACTAAGGCTCGATAACCTACAGAGTCATCCTTCTTCAAAAAAAGCTGTAGGTACAACTGAAAAGAAAACGTAAAACAAACCAGTAAGTCTCCAACAAGGTGAGGAAATGGACGTCTTTGGCCCAGAGTAAAAAAGCAGCTGCTTTTTGCCATTTCACTTACACTGTCTGGTCGCACGCAATTCTGCTCCAATGTGAATGTCATGGTAGTCTCCAAGAGACGTCGCCCACTCTCTGCCAAGTACAGGTTGATGGTGTAAGTCTGCCCAGGACAATGCCAAGGCTCCTGAATGAATTAAAACAAAAGGGAAGTTAAGGAATATATGAGTCATGCAATGTATAAGATGGTGTTTTGCACTTGCTGTAATACGCTGCATGGCAATAAACTGTAATGTTAAATGGCAACTTGAAATTGTTATAGTGGCAGAGTATAGTCTTGGAACAAATATGCCTGTGTGAAAAACTGACAAAACAGGGCCTGAATGAGAAGTTTGCAGCTTGTACAAAGAGTAGTGCCTGCAAGGCCTGGCATAAATTTAAGAATGTGATGCAACACATCTTTACTGCTCCCCAACTTATGATTACAACTTACCCCATAACTACAGAGTATGTAGCAGTCCACACAGCACAATATTATTATTACTGACAATGGCAATAGTGTTGCAAGACACAGACACTGCTTTACCTGGACACAGCTCTGACCTGCTGGATTCTCAGTCTCAGGATGGGATTTCTGAAAACAGAGACAATTGGAATGAAGAAGAGAGATTTATAAAAGGTTTCGTGAACAGAAAAGTAACAAGTTGTAAATGTGGGGACACACGGTATGCTTTTACAACCTCACAACAATCTTCAGAGCAAGACAGGTTTCTAAATCTCCCTGTATTTGGTGTTAAGTAACACGTTAAATCCAGCCCTATCCTCATCCATTTCTGTCATATTGATGGCATATATATTGCTACTTATGTACCATTCAATTGCCCACAAAAAGAAAGCATGCAAAAAAAAACCTTACCAATCAATAAATAAAATTAATTGAAGATTGGCTTCCATGCAATTATTAGATTATGGATGTGGAGCCTCCTGAACATGCACATTGTGTGATTTCAGACCTTCAATATTATCATGTTATTTGGGAAAGATATGTCATACTTGAGGTTAAACGGTACTTCAAAGGGAAGGGAAAAGTGTGTTTTGTTTTGACCCAGAGGCAGCAAATGTAATACTGACCAGGACTGGTTGCAGTGCTAGCCTACTCTACATAAGATATGGGCTGTAGCGGATTGCATTGGGCTGTCCTCAGAATTATGTGTATTCGTATGTTTTCGGTTAAATTGTGCCATGTGTATGTAAAGTGTACGCAGCATTCGCCTGATTGTTCGGTAAAATCACTCCAGTTATTATGCGAGTGAAACTACCGAACAATCAGACCACCCCAGGAATAAGTGTGCCTCCAATTACCGTTCGCAACAATGTTGCAAACGGGTAATTGGCAATTTGTGTAGTGTGTTCTTTGTCCTCTGGGTGGCTGCCATTCGGGAGACGAACACGTGGCGGCGGCATCTTAAAACTCCTGAACAGCGGTGTTTTGACGTTGAGTGTCTGGAACTCAAATCGGACACTGTTAGACAAACACCGCTGAGACCTCCACACTGCTGCCAATTCGTGTAAGAACTACCGAATGGCTCCCCGTTCGGTAGAAAGAACCCCACGAACAAGGGGATTCACCCGAATCCTCCCCAGTCTTCATAACCCAAGCCATTCGTGTGTTTCATTCCCTTTTTCTGTGACCGACCGCAGGGCCAAAATGTATGGAACCCCTTTCGGCTGTTAACTCCAGCGCAGTCGGTCTTTTTATTACCTCCAGGAATTTCCCGAACCCCTGGTCCGATATGGGTGATTTTTGGATATGTGTCTCACCCAGATCAGGGCTTCCAGGGAATGTAATATTTAAAGGGGTACCACTATGTTTAGGGGTATACCCAGAAAACTAGGGGAACGGTGTTCTGCATAATGGGATTATGTGTCATACTAAAGGGAGGGGATGTGTGGGTGGCAACTCATGTATGATTGGTGTATTGTGTAATTACTGTAAATCCATCCCTTGCATGGGAGAATGCTTTAAAAGAAGGTTGTGTGATTAAAAGTTCAGTTCTGCTCCTGATGCTGTGTGTCGTCCAGTCATTGGGATTGATGTTGGGATATTATTGGATTGTCTTGCCTGCTGGAATTATTGCTTTATGGATTTTTAATACTTGTTCCTGAGCCTCACTGGAATCTTGAGTGGAGATAACCTGTGGAATATCAGCTCTCCGCTACATGGGCCATGAATACTTGGTATGGTGAACTAACCATATCAGTCTTGCACTGCATAACAGCTGCTACCGTCTTGTCTGCCGTGGAAGCAAATGTCACCAAAGAAATCTGTAAAAGGAAAGAAGAGTGTGTGATACTTTAGTGAAGAATATAACCCAAAATACAGCAAATACCAGCAGTCAGACAATATTACAGTAAAGATTCACTGCTAAAGCTAGTTAGGTCTAATAAAAAATCTTGCACATCTCGCAGATTATGCTGCTGCCCTTCCATACGAATACCCGCACCTGTGGAAAGTCCCGCAGTGGGCTGACTGTTCCATCTCGATACTGCATTAATAAGAATCGCCGGGGGCTGATCTGAATGAAGAATTGTGATAGTGCCATCCCCACGGGTCCACGAGGGGCGGTTATAACACTCAGCTGCTTGATGTCTTCCACCAGTTCCACACCCAAGGACTACAAAGAAACAGTGACGCCATTGAGCAAGAGCTGAACAATTCACACATATAACAGCACGATACACCACTGAAGCTTGATCACACCTCTGTAGAATGTTAGGACTAACCTGCAGTGGATACTTAATCATCTCCTCGCCAGACTGCAAGGGAAGAATGTGGAGTGAAACAGACACTGCATCTGCACAAATCAGTACACCATCTCCGACCACGCCACAGAAGCCCTGCAGGCTGGAAAGCCACGGTGTGGGCACCTGAATCTGTGAAAACAGAAATCCGTGAATGTTTAGTAATAACGACTCCCATTCCATCTCCAGGAGCTCTATCCGCATCAACTAACCCGGCTACTGATAGATCCATCCTCCACGCTGAAGGTCAGAACACTGATGTGTGAATGAGGGACGATCCCTACCACGTGGACCACGCCTTTATAGGAGGAGTGCAGCAGCTGGTATTGCACAGTATCACTAGTGAAAACATTAGTCAAGGCATTAATGGTGAAAGGGACAGTCAAATAAGTATACATCTGTATTTACTGCAGTAGTGGAGGCTGCGAGAATGTACTTTGTGTGTAGATTGTGTGCTTACAGCCATGCATTAATCAGCTTACAGTATAGAGGACAATAAGACCCCTGCGTGGCCAATCTAGCTTAATGTTAATAGAAATATACAGAAAGCAGGCAACAGGTATCTAACAAAGATTCCAAGGTCTCACCTGTCCGGGAGAGGCTCAGACCACTTTTGGTGTCCATTGGAAAGGAAGTAAAGTGCAATGTAAGAATTCTTCAATACTGCCACATAACGAGCTGTCTCCTGGGTACCAGCAAAACTCACCATCTGAAAACTAAGGGGTGCAGGCAAACCAATCACAATCTGTTAGAAAAACTTTCCATAGGATTTATATACAAATATTCCAATAGACTTTAATGGTGACTTCTGTAGATAAAATACTAATAGTCAGTAAATGTCAGACTTTATAGAGTCACAGTCAGTGAACTGGTTATGAAACATATCACTATGTGGCATTAGCCAAACTTATTAACAAGCACTGTGCACTGACTGAATTATCTTCACATCCAGTGTGTTTTCTAGTGCAATATCAACCCACGGGAAAAGAGTATAGTTTACTAGAATGCATCCCCCCCACCTCCACCAAAGAACAAGAAGAAAAACAAATTTTGTTTTTTACATTTTACACCCAAAGTACATTAAAATAAAAATCAATACATTTAGGCCACAACTTCTCAGACACAAGAGTGATGAACAATGCGTTTAACACCAAAATTGAAGGTTTCTTACGTTGCTGGCTCGAGCACAGTTTCCCAGTTCAGAGCTCCAATGTTTGATTCCCAGGAACGCAGCAAGCGCCCTCCAGAAATAGTAATTGCATCTGCAGACAAAACAAGGGAACTGAGACGAATGAACACAACATTTTAAGTTGTACTTTCACTGCAGCCAAAAGAAAGTACACTTACCCTGACCATACATAAGAAGGGCATCCACAGAACCCTCAGAGGTGTCCTTATCGACATGGCGCCACACTGCAAAAGATAGTATGGCATGAATATGATACAGATGGTGATCTAACTCAGGGCTTACAAGCCTGCTGCACTAACAAAGTTACCTTTGTGACTAATTCAGCCGTTTCGCCTTCCACGATCAATCTACAAGCTGGAATGTAGTTTTGATACTAGCTAAGGCAAACATTTTTTATGGCTAAAGTAAGTATCGCTCCGATTACAATATAAAAAAAGTATATGATCCACTTACAAATATCTCCTGTTCTGGAATTCAAGGCTGTAATGACATTCTTCTCTGTTACTGCAATCAGCTTTTTTGCTCCCTGTCCAGATTCCAACGATGAAAACTTCAGGCGACCCACATATTGCTGCCTCCTGGGCAACGAAAACACACAGATCATTCAAAACTACAAATGCCAATCTATTTTCTGCAAGCTTCATTGCACGGTAGCAATAGATATTCAGAGCTTTTCAAAATAGGAAAGACTCCATATACAAGGTGAAAAAATGATGCTGAAAGGTTATATTTTGAACTGATCGCATCTTAACTGTAGAATTATTCAAGACCTACGACTTTCATATATTAAATGAATTCCCCATGAAGAGTCTGAAAGGTGAATTATCTGTCAGTCATCTCAGCTGCTTTTGAAAGAAACCCCCCACTCCCCAAAATAAATAAAAAGATTAAGAATTCAGTAACATGATTTATGACAGCGTACTCTCTCACAATAAACCACTTACTACCCTCCACCTTCAATAGGCAAACCAGGGGCCCTGAAAGTCCTCTCTGTAGCTAATGACACGCATTGCCCACTGTTCAATTAGCCACCCGCCCTTCCTGCCCTCTCTCCCATGCCCCCCCCCTCAGGGGCCCTTCCTGCCCTCTCTCTCCCATGCCCCCCCCCCAGGGGCCCTTCCTGCCCTCTCTCTCCCATGCCCCGGGGCCCTTCCTGCCCTCTCTCTCCCATGCCCCAGGGGCCCTTCCTGCCACCTCTCTCTACCCCCCTCCCAGGGGCCCTTCCTGCCCTCTCTCCCCATGCCCCCTCAGGGCCTTCCTGCCACTCTCTCTCTCCCATGCCCCCCCCCAGGGGCCCTTCCTCTCCCTCTCTCCCATGCCCCCCCAGGGGCCCTTCCTCCCCTCTCTCTCCCATGCCCCCCACTCCCAGGGGCCCTTCCTGTCCTCTCTTTCCACTACTTTGGGGGCCCTTCACCCTCTCTCTCCCATGTGCCCCCCACTCCCGAGGGCCACCTTCCTGTCCTCTCTCTCCCCTTTTGGGGCCCTTCCTGCCCTCTCTCTCCATGCCCCCTCAGGGGCCCTTCCTGCCCTCTCTCTCCATGCCCCCCCCAGGGGCCCTTCCTGCCCTCTCTCTCCCATGCCCCTCCCAGGGGCCTTCCTGCCCTCTCTCCCATGCCCCCTCCAGGGGGCCTTCCTGCCTCTCTCCCACTTTTCCTCGGGGCCTTCCCTGCCCTCTCTCCCATTGCCCCCCCCCAGGGGCCTTCCTGCCTCTCTCTCCATGCCCCCAGGGGCCCTTCCTGCCCTCTCTCCCATGCCCCCAGGGGCCCTTCCTGCCCTCTCTCTCCCCATGCCCCCCAGGGGCCCTTCCTGCCCTCTCTCTCCATGCCCCCCCAGGGGCCTTCCTGCCCTCTCTCATGCCCCCCCAGGGGCCCTTCCCTGCCCTCTCTCTCCCATTACCCCCAGGGGCCCTTCTGTCCTCTCTCCCCTCCCAGGGGCCCTCTCTCTCTCCCCCCCTCCTGCCCTCCCATGCCCCCCCCCGGGTTATATTATTTGATAGGATTGTTATGGCTCCCACGCTGAGGCCGCTGCTGTAGTGACACAATGTTACCGATACCCTGGCGGGTCCCAGGCCCCAGCGCTGCCCGTCCATTGCTCACCAGTCAAACTTGCCCACTTGGTCCTCATACACGGCCGCGCACAACGCCAGGGACACCGACAGCAGCAAGAGAGAACGCAGGGCTGCCATGACACCTCCCAGGGAGCATAGAGACAGCGAGGCGGGGCTAGAGCGGCTCCCCTGGACCATAGAGACAGCGAGGCGGGGCTAGAGCGGCTCCCCTGGACCATAGAGACAGCGAGGCGGGGCTAGAGCGGCTCCCCTGGACCATAGAGACAGCGAGGCGGGGCTAGAGCGGCTCCTCGAGACCATAGAGACAGCGAGGCGGGGCTAGAGCAGCTCCCCTGGACCATAGAGACAGCGAGGCGGGGCCAGACTGTCCCGATAGGACCCAAGCTCCTGCAGGGTGTCCGTGGAGAATGCCTGTGTGTGAGATACTGCCGGAGCCGCTGGCCGCACACTCTCAGCTAACTCTCCGCTAATACTCCCGCCCGGCTGCGGAAACGGGTGACTGGGGGTTTCACCCAGCAGGCAGTGACTGGGCAGCTAAACCATCCCACAATGCCGTGCGCCGGGGTCCTTTCACACATGCTGTCTCTGAAGCCACGCGCTGTGTGAGTGAGAACCTAGAGAGTCCGGAACCGAGACCGAGCCGGGAACCGAACCATGCCGAAATCCAAGCGGGACAAGAAGGGTGAGAACCGGGGGGGGGCTGTGTATAGCGGGGTACGGTCAGGGGCTGTGTATATCGGGGTACGGTCAGGGCTGTGTATAGCGGGTACGGTCAGGGCTGTGTATATCGGGGTACGGTCAGGGGGCTTCGTGTATATCGGGTACGGTCAGCTGTGTATACGGTACGGCCAGCTGCATATCGGGGTACGGTCAGGGCTGTGTATAGCGGGTACGGTCAGGGGCTGCGTATATCGGGGTACGGTCAGGCTGCGTATAGCGGGTACGGTCAGGGGGCTGTGCTGTGTATATCGGGGTACGGTCAGGGCTGTGTATAGCGGGTAATACGGTCAGCGTGCATAGCGGGTACGGTCAGGGGGCTGTGTATATCGGGGTACGGCCAGGGGCTGTGTATACCTGGGTAACACGGGCCAGGGGCTGCGTGTATATCGGGTACGCCAGGGGCTGTGGTTATCGGGTACGGTCAGGGGGCTGCGTATATCGGGTACGGTCAGGGGGCTGTGTATAGCAGGGTACGGTCAGGGGCTGTGTATAATGGGTACCGTCAGGGGCTGTGTATATCGGGTACGGTCAAGTGGGGGCTGTGTATATCGGGGTAATGGCCATGGGGCTGTGTATATCGGTACGGGTCGGGCTGTGTATATCTGGGTACCGTCGGGGCTGTGTATATCGGCTGTGTATATCGGGTACGGTCGGGGCTGTGTATATCGGGGTACGGTCAGGGGGGGGTCGGGGCCTCTGCTGTTCTCTCCAATAAGTCACCCAGTGGCCTTTACTGTCCTGTGCGGGCAACAGCATGAGGAAGTTGCAGCCTTTCTTTTAATGTTCATATATATATAAAAAAAAAATTTTTTTTTTTTTATTAACTAATTTGGGACATTAAATTGGCAATAAATATGTTTAATCTCCTGTTTTTCCAGTTTCATTAACCAAAACAGCCAAAAAAGGTCTGCAGGCGAAACAATCCCTGATAGAAGAGGTAAGGATATAACGTGGTTTTGTGATTGATTTGGCAGAATGGGAATTCATTTTTGTCAGTTCTGTTCCGGGGCACATGGCTTGTTTGGAATGTCCTAGATCATTAAACCATTTCTATTCCTACGTATGACACCTCTTATACTTTCAGCTGCGGAAATGCGTGGATACGTACCAGTATCTCTTTGTGTTGTCTGTTGAAAACATGAGAAATAACAAACTGAAAGATGTGCGTAATGCCTGGAAACACAGCAGGTACCACTTTTTATTTCACGCTACAAAATCTTATGGTTTACTTTGTATAAGGTTTCTGGCTTAATATACCATACTGGGCACCATGCGGGAGGTCCTCGTCCCAATTTGTAGTAAAACCTGCACATAGAAGGTTTCACTTACCCTGAATCAAGTGTGGGGCAAAGCTCTCGGCGCTGCTTTCCGTGTCACCTCTAATGTCACTGGAGCTGTGTGCGCTGTCCATACACAGGTTTCTCATAGCGTTTGCACTCTGAGCAGGTAAATGGAGATGAGGTAGGGTTTAAAATAAAAAATAAAAAAAAAACGTAGGGAAGCTGGAGAGTTAGCTTCCACCTTGCAAGCATTCTTCACGTCTGTCAGCATGCAGTGTGTGCTGAGAACAGACGCAATTTATGCACAGAATTTACACTAGGAAACTCTGAACAGAGTCCTGGGCTGCCTAAGTTACGTGCTTAGGGTGCATCTAGCCCCAGGCAAATAATGAACAATATGTCTGAATGTGCAGCATTTCAATGAGAAACATGGCACAAACTGACTCCTAGCACCATGACTAGTTCAAATCACTGAGTTGGTCATAGTGGTTGGAATAACGCTTTATAATATCATCTTTCCGTCAGAAAGTACAATTGAGCCCCTGCAACACAGTGACTACCTGCCGAGTGCAGTCTCTATCTCCTTGTCTGGTTTGAACATCTGAATAGTTGTCAATGCATAGAGTTCCAGCGTAGTGATCTCTGGTGAAAATGTGTACCATGTTTCTTTCAGATTATTCTTTGGAAAGAACAAGGTGATGATGGTTGCCCTGGGAAAAGGACCATGTGATGAGTACAAAGATAATTTGCACAAGGTAAGTTTTTGTCAGTAGATGTGCTCTTGGCCACGTTCGTCCGACTCAGTATGCACCAACTAACTTTCCATTCTGTTCCTACAGCTCAGCAAGTGTCTGAAAGGAGAGGTTGGGGTCTTGTTCACCAATCGAACGGCGCAGGAAGTGAAAGAGTAAGTCCCATGCACCCCAGTCACTCAACTTAGGAATCTTATCTCTTAAGTGAGTGTGTTGTTTTTTTTTGTTTGTTTTTTTTTCAGAAAAAATCATTTTCTATTGTGTTTAGATATTTACTAAGAAGGTTTGAGAACTTTATCTTGGAATTCTGTAGCAGCAAATTTTCACAGCTAAGCAACAGACCCCAAATATAAACCCGCATTCAACAAATGCAGTTTGGTTTTTAAAGGAATGCTCTGCTCTGATATTTACTTTTTTATTTTTTTTTATTGCATAGACAATGCATTAAAATGAATGCAATTTAACAAGAAAACATACTTATACGTTTATTTATTTGCGCTTGTTCACATTAACTTTGACCTCTGCCATTAGGAGTCACTCTGGGCAATCAGGAGTGTTGTATTCAAGCCTATGATACCTGAACTGTCAGAAAAGTTCCCAGCATTGCAAGGGTTGAAGTATAGGGGGAGGAGCTCTGTACAGCCATAACTCTATGCAGAGCAGGGGTTTCTGGGAGTTGGTTTTCAGCTATAAAATTAACCCCTTAAGGACACATGACATGTCATGATTCCCTTTTATTCCAGAAGTTTGGTCCTTAAGGGGTTAAGGCAGTCACCTGATCTATATGTTGGCTCTTCATTGTACAGGAAATGGCATGAAGGAAATATTTTAAAAAGACCGAGATGGGACAAAGGAGGCATGGTGAAGATCTGTGCTGCAATAAAAAATAAAGTATAGATAATTTAGCTAAAAGCTGTGCTATATAAAATGTATTCCTGGGTTTGTGATATTGAATATATTTTGTCAGATACCTTTTTAACACCTGTACTTAGGCTCGCATTCACTTATAGGTTTTTGAGCATTATTAATGCACACAGCCTGTGCTGCTGCTAACTCTTACTTTGTCCTCTTTCCATAGATGGTTTGACCAGTTTAAGGAGACAGATTTCTCCCGCGCAGGGAATAAAGCCACACATGATGTGGTTCTCGATGTCGGACCTTTGGAACAGTTTCCACATTCTATGGAACCGCAGTTACGGCAACTAGGACTTCCCACGGCCCTGAAGAAAGGTAAGTTAGTTGCCAAACATCCCTATGCATTAATTCGTAGGAGAGTAGTCATTAAACCATGAGTTGTGTGTGTGTGGCTGAAAATGTTTTTTTTTATTCTGTACCGTATTGGCTTGGCAAAGACCAGATATAAATACAGATAAGAGATCTCTGAAATAAAGATGGTTGGAAATCCTATGTTAAAAGGTTGCTTTAAGCCACTTATTTTGCCTGAAGACTTCCTGTGGTTTAAATGAACTAATTTCAGGATTTTGTAATTCCGTTTTCTGATGGTTACAAGTTGTTTAGTAATAAACCCCACTTTGTTTTTGTGGAAATGTGGTGTGCTTAGTTTAGGTATTGGCATTCTACAGGACAAAGCTGAGAACTGAATCTCACAGAATGCATTGCTGTTCCGATAAAGTATAGGTATCAGTGCCGTATAAAGTATCATGAGTCGCCTTTCTGGTTTGGAGAATAATCCCTAAACTATCAATATAATGTGTCCATCCCCAGCCTTTTAACTTGTGGATCATATTTGTTCAAGTTCTATATGAAAATGTAGAGATTGCATACTGAGCTCCATATAATGTATTCTATGCTTTTTCCTCTTTCAGGAGTGATCACGCTGCTGTCTGATTACGAAGTGTGCAAAGAAGGAGATGTACTAACACCTGAACAAGCTCGGATTCTGGTGAGCTACTGATGTTCATACTGTCATTATTCTGTATTTCCACTGGAGCTGCAAAGAAGTATGGCAGACATGTTTAAACAATAATTATCTTATATATTTTTCTGTGGCAATTTTGTTTTGTGATGGCTACTAAATCTACGAAACCTCAACTTCTAAAATTGTTTCACATTGACATTTTATTTTAGTCCTTGTATTTTGTGTCCTGTAACTTTCAAAATAAGCTGAAAGCCTACACATATTATGTAGTCTATAAATCAAGACACATAAATGAATTTATTTTGAATTACTTTTCGTAAGGTGGACAAATTATGCACACGCTATTGCCAAAACTGTGGGGGGAAAGTTTGGGTTCCACTTTTTTTTTATATATATATTTAATGAAAATTTTAAATGTATGAGACATCAAATTAAAGCCCTTTTTTGTCCTCTTAAAAAAAGGTATATAATATGTGTTGGTGCAATAAATGACAGAGATGCAAATTGCATTGGAAAACAAACAGCAAAAAGTGCAAACAAACAGTGCTTCTGTGTCCTTAGGGGGTTAATGTACGGTCTACAGCTTAATGTAGTTGTTCTGGTGAATATAATCACTCCCTGTAAGCACTTTGTAATGTAAATACTGCCTTTTCAGACTCAAGGCAGTATTTACATTTTCCCCTTGGGGTACCTCCAAGTGACCACTCCTCCAATGACCACTGGAGGTTTTCCAAGGGTAGTGCTACACAGCATCTCCACGCTCTACATGGAGACACTGAATTTTTCTCATTGAGATGCATTGATTCTATACATTTCTATGAGGAGGTGCTCATTGGCCATGCGATTTCAGGCAATCCAGTGCTTTCCTATGGGAAAACATTGGATTGGCTGAAATCTTAAATTTATGTCAGCAAGAGAGGGTTCAGGGGTGGTGCCAGCACTGGCGTACCTGCGCAGCACTAGCAATAAGGTGTTTTTATTTAATTTGTAAGGGTGAGCCACCGTGGTGTGTGTGTGTGTGTTTTTTTTTTTTTTTTTTTTCTTCTCTCCCCTTCCCCACACACTAGGGTAAGGAATAAAATGTCCTTTTACAGAGCTACTCCTAGCACCATGACCACTTCAGTGATTTGAAGTAGTGTCTGTGCAGTGTTTTGCTTTGAAAAGCTGCACATACAATGTTAAACCCATCTGCTGCTGGAGGTGTAACTCCACCTACAGGAGAATCATTGGGGCGTCATTAGCCAAGCTGGAACCAGAGTTCCAGGACGGCTGTCAATTCTATGCAACTTGTCAGATATTATAGCAGTTTGCTAATCAATTCGGTCAGCTGACTCTCATCCAATGGATATCGACTGGATCTGTTTCTGCAGAAGCCAAGAGTATATATATTTTTTTTTTTTTTTTTAAAGGGACACACCAATCACCATAACCACTACTGTGCCGTGCCTCTCAGTTAATTGGCTGAGTTTGTCAGCTGACTGTCATTGAACTTGTCACCCGGGAGCTCTTGTTCGGACAAGATTATACCCCAATGACACTACTAGAGATGGTGCTTCACAGAGATGAAACTGCACAGAAATTCCAAGCACCATGACCACTTCAAATAACTGAAGTGTTCATAATGCTTGGAGTAATCCTTTATTCAATCAATGAGGGGATGGATGAAAGCTTTAGTTGCACCTACCTTCTAAGCAGAGATACCCTTTAAAGAACATTTGGTGAGTTCATTAGAGATTTAGGAAGAGGCTGTGTGAGTGGAGTATTTTATTTTATCTGAGACAGCTGGGGATCACTAGATTTTCCTGTCCCCCACATGTTGCCTGCTTCTTGCACTGTGGGCTAAGTGACAGGCCATTGTTACCAGTTCCTGATAAAGAGGATTGCACATGGTCAGTGGCTGAATACATTGAATGGAATTCTCAGTGGGTAAGGTCTGCAAAACTGAAGAAACATTCAGAAAAATGGTCTGAAATACTTTTTTTGTTGTCTATTTCAGAAACTGTTTGGCTATCAAATGGCAGAGTTTAAAGTTACCCTAAAAGCCAAGTGGATTGCGGAAACAGGAGAGTTCCAACGTTTTGTTGAAGAAAGGGATGATCAGAGTGGTGACGAGATGGAGGAGGAAAAAGAGGAAGAGAAAGAAGATTAAAGAGACTCTTACACATCAGAACTGGTGATAGAGCAGCTCCTGTTTTAACTGACACTCGTGTGATTCAGTTCCTGTTTGCACAACAGACACTGCATTCTGGGTTTGGGCCCTTAGTACAGTAGGAATCTGTATCCATTTTCTACCAGACACTGGGTGTGAAGGTATGGGATACTGAAAATGTAATTGTTTTCTTGGCTGCAGATCAAAGCGTTTTCCCTGCTGTTGACTACACTTTGTTCTAGATAACTTTTTTTCTTGTGTAAATACCTGCAAGTGGTACCAGGACCCCTTCCCCTATGATATATTAAGCAGAATAGTTGGCCGTGGGTCTCGCCCCTGCAGCTTGCATCTCCTCCGCCTTGTGTTGACCCAGCTGTATAATAACCTCTCCAGAGCAATGTTACTGTGTTTTAACAGATGACATTTGTAACAAAATATGTTTATAAAATCCAACTGATTTTAATCTCATGAGTCTCTTATTGAAATATTTTTCTTGATCCGTGTTCAATTGTTCCCTTTTAAATCCAGCTATTACAGTAAGGAGCTATAGTAAGTGCTAGATTTATCTTGTACATTTTCTAAAATGAGATTCTTTCTCTCCGTTGAGCCCTTTGTCTGCAAACAGGATTATTCACTGAAGGGAGAATTGTCACCACATCAAAGTAAATTTCAAATTTTAAGACCAAACTAACTGAGCTGGAAGCACAGCTTGTTTGAAGAAATGTCAATTCAGCTCTTTTGGTCTAAATGTAATTTTCAGTTCCTGTCAATTCTCACCGTCGTGAATAACCATGTAAATCTCTGCCCCAACTTATCCCAATTAAGTTAAATAATGAAACTTTTTATGAAATGCTTTATTCTGATTTCCAGCACACAGAATATAAATCACACACAAATTTCTATAGATTAACCATTTGCTGAATTACCAGCATGGCACCTACCCTGTCCTGCACTCCAGGAGGCTGGGAACAGTAGTATTTAGATTTACAATGCATTTCTGTCTGCTGACAATTCCAAATCACATGTGACTATGCAAAGCCATTGTTTTGGCTTTGTGCTCTCGCTAGGGTTGCTAGATTCACCATATTTTCCTGGCTGCACCACAATATATCCTCTAAAAGGCACATTGCTTATTGCAGGCCCTGGCAGAAATGTTTACTGCAGATAGGTAGATCAATTATACTGCCTTACAGGATTGTGAATTTATGTTTTTCAGTTAAATGAAAATAATAATCAAGGCAGTTTTTTTTTTTTTGGCCACTCTGAATATGTACTGCACAGCAGCACTTTTCCTGCATTGTCCTACAGCATATTGAAGAGACGTGGAGCCAGGAAAACATGGTGCAGTTGGCAGCTCCAGCCCTGCACTAGCGGAAATAGTTTGGACAGTTGTGAGCAACCAGGTTCCAGGCCTCATTGAACGCGGTGACAACAGCTGGGAGCAGCGGACCTTCCTCTGCGCAAGCCAGGTTCTGGAGCAGCTGCTCTGTGCTGGACATTCCCAAAATTACCGCATCTCCACGGCTTCCCTGCCAGAGCAAGGAGAATGTTATCACAAACAAAACTGCATTTTCATAGGACTGGTGGGGCAGCAGCAAGTTTTAATATGTAACCCCTACAATTACATGAATTTAAATCCTTCACTATATATTTAATGATTTCCCTTAATAGCTTGTAAACTATTTTGTTTGTGAGACGTCGGTGTGTTAGACTGTTTATGGCCCAAGTGAGCATTGCACAAGGATGTGTTGCATATTTCTGACAAAGCTTGATACATGACCTTTGAATATGGCTGATCAGTTGTAGTCACACGCAGCCAATAAGATATTGGGTGCCAAGCATACCTGTAGCTGAGAGTGATGGTAAATCCAACGAAGTGCAGCCGATGTCATGCTTGGACAGTTCGCCCCATATGCCTCCACCAGTGCTTGCTGGACCATATCAATGGCCTGAAAATGATGCTTCTTCCAGTACCTGTTAGATATGATAGCATATCAGTATCAAGTCTCCAATACTATAGATCTCTTTAAATCCAAAATACACAAATCTTACCTTCCCCGATATACTTCAGCCCAGCTGTTTCCAAAAAATCTTGAAGGGGTCTGCTCATTATCTTTGTCCTCATATTTGTATTTTCCTGTGAGGAGTCCGCCTGTGCAGATGGGATGCAAAGATTTCATATTATTGCACACACCCCTTCTTATGGAACCCTGGTGTTGTACGGGCAGGGCCAGACTGGGGAAAAAATTCAGCCCAGGCATTTTTTATGCACAGCGGCCCACTGAAAAAGGGGTGGGGCTAGATAGGGTGTGTTATGTCATCCTCAATGACAAGCACGCCCCATCTCAAAGAGCATGTGGGTTCAATGCTCTGACAGGGCATGAGAAAAGGGGCCGGTTTTTTTTCTGAACAGTGCAAGCAAATTTAATAACATGCTTGCGTTGTTTGCTTGAAACTTGTCTCAGGGGTTTCCATAATTGGGATACTCACTGTATCCCATTTATGGAGACACAATGTGTTTGCTTACATGGAATCTAGTGTGTGCATAAGGGATAGAGTGTGTGTAGGGGATCTAATGTGTGTTTGGAAGACCCAGAGTGTGTATAGGAGATCTAGTGTGTGTGTATATATCTGTAGAAGATCCAGAGTTGGGTAAGGAATCTAATGTTTGTCTGGAATTTAATGTGTTTAGGTGCAGTGTGTGTGTATGTATGTGTGTGTGTGTATGTATATATATGTGTATATATGTGTGTGTGTGTATGTATGTATATATATATATGTAATATATATAAATTATACACACATACGTTGTATAGTGTGTTTGTGTGTGTTAGGGTGTTGTGTAAGGGTGGTGTGTGTTTGGGGGGAGGCAGGTAATTGCCAATATTGATGTATTTATTTTTTATAATATAAAAAAAAAAACAAACACATTATACCCACCTCCCTTCTTACCTGTAGCTGGGAAGGGGGGGGAGGGAAAGAGTCGTGCTGCTGCCATCCATCCCTGGTGGTCCTCGTGGTAAGTGAACTCTAGCGAGCCAACGGCCCGGATCTTGCGAGAGAAACCTGGCGGAGCTGCAAATTAGAGTTTCGCTGGATCCTCCTCTCCTGGCTGGCTGTCTTCCCCGCCGGCGGCCCCGTTTGACTGCATGTGGGCCGGTGCGGGAGATCTCTGATCTCCCCACCGGCCCTTCATGGAACACAACGGGGCTGGCACTGCATGGGCCGGCCTCGGCCCGTGGCCCACCGGGCGTTTGCCCGATGGCCAGTCCGGGACTGTGTACAGGTGCTTTAAAACAATCTACACACAAACTAAATTTGCTTAAAGGACCACTATAGTGCCCTGAGGGTGCCCCCACCCTCAGGGACCCCCTCCCGCCCGGCTCTGGAAAGGGGTTTAAACTTGCATTTTTCCAGCGCTGGGCGGAGAGCTCTCCTCCTCCGATCCTCCTTCTCTCCTCCCCGTCGGCTGAATGCGCACGCGCTGCAAGAGCTGCGCGCGCATTCAGCCGGTCACATAGGAAAATCAGTGAGAAGCACACAAGCGCCTCTAGTGGCTGTCAATGAGACAGCCTGTAGAGGATTAGGGGGAAGGCTTAACCCATTCATAAACATAGTTTCTCTGAAACTGCTATGTTTTTGAAAAAATGGGTTAACCCTAGATGGACCTGGCACCCAGACCACTTCATTAAGCTGAAGTGGTCTGGGTGCGTAGAGTGGTCCTTTAATCTGGTACTCCCAACATTTTCCCAAATTCTGAATGACAGAATATGAAGGGCTACTTACTAAAACATATTTTTCTTATGATCACTGTATATAGTTTTAGAACTTTTAGCTGAAATGCAATTCATTATTCGTGGAATTGCTACGTACCAAGTGTCTTGTATTTAAGAACACGCTGACTGCAATGCCCAATGCTCATAGATAAGAATATGCTAGCTGTTACATTATGCTTTCGATCACCAGTTATTAATTATGTCGACACTGTTCTGTTTTTGCTCTCCCATTAAACTGTAAAAATCAACTTACACTGAACCTGTGTCTGATTTCTTGAGTGCTCCATATTCCCTAAGCTGGAAACCTTGAAGTATATTATTCAGGTATTTTCCCTGAGAAGAAATCGTCAATCTCTGTTTAAAGCAGAGTTGGAGAATTTTTCCAGATCAGCTTTTTTTACCTCTGCGTTTTGTATTTGGAAATCATTTGTAACAATATGGACTTTAATGATTAACCCTGAAAGTGGAATTTAGGCCAAAGGACCTGAATTGGAAAGCTTGGAGACTTTCTCCCCAATTTGGCATTAAATTTGAAATACCCAGCAATTGAGACGTGATGAAGAACCCTGTCTAGATATCGTTATCCACACAGCCATGCTCACCAGCAAGGGGGTTGTAGGCATAGAACCTTATTCCCAGCTGTCGCAGGCACGGCAGTAGCTCAGTCTCCACTTGCCTCGTTGTCGCATTGTACATTCCCTGTACCAAAATAAGTTAATCATACAACAGCAAAGGGATTCTGAGAATAACACTACAACTGTCCCATCATCCTCAGGCAGCCCTAACCCAGCTTGATAGGTTTACCTGGTACACAGTGGGGAGCACCCAATTCCTGTGTTTACATATAGAATGGATTTCCATCACTTCCCACGATGCATAGTTGGACAGACCGAGCTCCTTAAACTTTCCCTGAAATATAGCAAAATGCAGGGTTAGATCCAGAAATCCACATCAGCCATCCTGCACAGCACAGAGAATCACATGGCATCAAATACTGGGAAATCCCTTAGATCACGATGGAATTGGGGCATTATTCGATTGTGAGTACAACACTAATATTCCCAAAATTGGTACAATAAAAATGCAGTCTTACATTAATAATGGCTATACATGCATCACCTGGACTGACATGTTCATTATCACTGTGTCTAAAGATCAGTGATTGCTTTATAGAAATATTACAATATAAGGGACAACGCTGAGCAATGCTCCCCACCCCATACAATAATATAAAACACGAGGCATTTACTCTGTGTATTTCTAATACAGTTCTACACACACACATTCTACAGCAAGTTCACTTCATTATAACGTGCTCACATTTACCCCTTTTATTAATGTATGTCTATCAATCTAATAAAACTAAATTTAACATTAAAGGAACACTATAGTCACCTAAATTACTTTAGCTAAATAAAGCAGTTTTAGTGTATAGATCATTCCTTTGCAATTTCACTGCTCAATTCACTGTCATTTAGGAGTTAAATCACTTTGTTTCTGTTTATGCAGCCTTAGCCACACCTCCCCTGGCTATGATTGACAGAGCCTGCATGAAAAAAAAACTGGTTTCACTTTCAAACAGATGTAATTTACCTTAAATAATTGTATCTCAATCTCTAAATTGAACTTTAATCACATACAGGAGGCTCTTGCAGGGTCTAGCAAGCTATTAACATAGCAGGGGATAAGAAAATCTTAATTAAACAGAACTTGCAATAAAGAAAGCCTAAATAGGGCTCTCTTTACAGGAAGTGTTTATGGAAGGCTGTGCAAGTCACATGCAGGGAGGTGTGACTAGGGTTCATAAACAAAGGGATTTAACTCCTAATGGCAGAGGATTGAGCAGTGAGGCTGCAGGGGCATGTTCTATACACCAAAACTGCATCATTAAGCTAAAGTTGTTTTGGTGACTATAGTGTCCCTTTAGTAGGAACTCCTTGTTGTTTGCTCTCAGGGGGATTTTAGTGAGTTTTCTATAGATTGATTTTTTTTTTTTTAAATACATTATCTATCATTAAATAAAAGGTTGGATGAACTCCAGTCTAGAGTGTGGTTTTCCTGGCAGTGTTGGGTACAGCACCTCTTTGTACAGCTCTTGGCAAGCAGCTAGCGTTTCCTCTACTGGTGTCTGGTGATCCGGCATGTGTAGGTAGAAGAGATTGACGCTTGAAGTCTTCAGCCGCTGGAGTGACGTCTCGAGCTGATGTCGAACACTTTCTGGTCTCAGGCTCTTTCCTTCCATAGGGTTTGCCTTAGTGGCTAGCTTCACTGCCAGAACAGGAAAGAATTCAGGGATGTTGTCTCAACAAGGCCTCCCACCAGCCCAGGGGGTGGAGCAGGGAGGGGGGCTGGGTACCAGGGGGTGGAGCAGGGAGGGGGCTTGGTACCGGTGTGCGTGAGCAAAGGAGGGGGCTGGGTACCAGGGGGCTGAGCAGGAGTAGCGTATGGAGGGGGCTGGGCACGAGAGCGATTGGGAGGGAGCCAACAGAGCCGGATCAACGGGGAGGGGGGCCAGCGCCCAGGGGCGGAACGGAGGGGGGCCGGGCACGAAAGAGGGCTGGAGCGCCGGGAGTGGGGTTCTGGGGTGGAGCCGGAGGGGGGCACGAGGGGGATGGCTCCTGGAGGGGGCCGGTCATCGCGGGGCCAGCCGGAGGGGCTGGGCATCAAATGGCACCGGGCTGGGGGGCGGGCTGGCATCAGGGGCTTAGCCGGAGGGGGGTCGGGGCATCGGGGCGGAGGGGAGGGGGGGCTGGGCACCAGAGGGCGGAGGGGGCTGGGTATCAGCGACGGGGAGAGTGGCTGGTATTGGGGCGAGCGGAGGCCGGGGCACGGGGCTGGAGCCGGGGCTGGGTAAGGAGGGGGCTTTGGTTTCTGGAGGGGGGCCGGGTAAGGAGGGGCCGAGTTTTATAGAATCGGGCACTGTGCTTTATGGGCCAGTACAAAATGGTCGGGAGGGGGCCGCGCAAAGGGCTGGAGCGGGAGGGGGCTGCATCAGGGGGGCTGAGCCGGGAGGGGTAATCTGGGCACGTGCAGGTGAGGGGCCGCTGGGGCTTAGGCCGGGTATGGGGGCGGAGCCGGGAGGGGGGCGAGGGGCTTGTTTTGAGGCCGGGCGCGAAATGGAGCAGGGAGAGGGGGCTGGGCCGGCACCGGGGCTGAGCAGGAGGCCGGGGTAAGGCATGGAGCCGAGGGGGCTGGGCAAAGGGCTGGAGCCGGGAGGGGGCCAAGTACCCATGGGGCTGAGGGGGCTGGGCATCAGGGGCCTGAGGGGGGGCTGGGTGCTGGGGCGGAGCCGGGAGGGGCTGGGCGCGGGGGCTGGGAGGGGCCGCCGGGGCTTTGCCGTGGAGGGGGCCAAGAGGCTTGAGCGGAGGGGGGCTGGGTATGAGGGGGGGGCTGGGTATGAGGGGGCGGAGCGGGGAGGGGGCTGGGTATCGGGGGCGGAGCAGGGAGGGGGGCTGGGTATGAGGGGGCGGAGCGGGGAGGGGGCTGGGTATCGGGGGCGGAGCAGGGAGGGGGGCTGGGTACGATGGGGCGGAGCCATGAAGTGGTTATGGTGCACACTGTTTATGACGTCATTAACCCGGTCAGTGCCGGCCTGCGCTCAGACACTCTGTAAATCTCGCCCTTTAGTGAATAGCTAAGCGGGGTGTACAGCGCTGCGGACTATGTTGGCGCTCTATGAATGCTGGAGCTAAGCCCCGCCCCCCGCTCAGTGATTGGCCGCTCCCCCCGGTGGGCGTGGTTACCTCGCTGGCCCAGGCCCAGGCTCCCCAGGACCCGCTCGGTCTCGCCGTCGCCATACAGGAAGGCGGAGTCCAGCTCGTCATGGCCGCGCTGTGTGAACTCCCTCACCGAGTCCCCCGCGGCCCGCGCGTCCATCCGCCGCCCGAACTCCATGGTCCCCAGCACCGAGCGGGGGGGGCGGGCTCCCGGCGGGGGCGGGGCGGTGGGCGGGGCGCGAGACATGAGCGCGCGGAGCACAGGCAGCGAGTCAGGGGCCGCGCGGGTCACTGTCAGCATAGCCGGACACAGTGCGCAGGCGCAGAGCGTCACGTGACCGGGGGGCAAAGTCCGCGAGACACGCCCTTAAACATACACCGCCGGGACACGCCCCCTCAGTAAACATACACCGCCGGGACACGCCCCCTTATTAAACATTCCCCACCGGGACACGCCCCCTCCCTAAACATACACCGCCGGGACACGCCCCCTCAGTGAACATACACCGCCAGGACACGCCCCCTCCCTAAACAGTCACCACCGGGACACGCCCCCTCCCTAAACATACACCGCCAGGACACGCCCCCTCAGTAAACATACACCGCCGGGACACGCCCCCTCATTAACCCTTTAAGGACTGAGCCAAATGTACAAAACGTAAACAAAGCCTGGAATTCTGGGTGGCTGTGTCACCGCTGTCACACTGTGCGCACCCACACGTATTATATATCATCGTATTCAGGGGAAACGCGGCTTTCATTTAATATCAAATATTTAACTGTGACATATAACTTAATATGAAAAATATGGGAGGAAATAAAAAGTAAAATAAAATGTCATGTTCCCTGTGACATTCTAAGTGTATTCTGTTACCAATATATCTATTAATGTCACAATACAGCGAGAATGAAATTACATGTGGATATAGCATTTACTGATTTTATTATTGTAATTATACGTATATATATAATATGTATCTCCTGTATATGTAACTTCATTCTAAGTGTATTTTAATATTAATATATATGTACTTATATTAATATTAAAATACACTACGTATGACGTTACATATAAATACGATGTATATATATTATATATGTATATTTAATTTATTTTAAACATGTTTAGTAATTTTTATTTACACCTCCCACCAGCAAGGGGACTGCCTGATAGCGCAGACAGTCCCCACTCCAGGCAGATCCACAGCCAGCTATAGGGGGCCATGTGACTGCTCTTTGACCATTTTAACAGCTGTGGCGAAAGTGACATCGCCACTGGGTTTTGGAGAAGCCTGTTTGCCAGCCTTCTGCCCTGTGACTATGGCCTTTCGGTGAACTGGGTGTTAAATGTACTGTTTCTGCCTCCTGGACTTCTACAGGAACAGATTCTAACTTTCGAAGTGGCACTTCGACTACAGTTGAAGTGTCGAAGTGGGCGACATTCGAACATGTGTTTTGTCATCAAGTTCATGGAACTCAAATCGGACACGCGATGGCACGAACATCGCTGAACAGTTACCTTCCAGGGAACTTCAACTATTTGAATGGGAGTCGAAAGGCGTTCAGTGAGTCGAAGCCCACAAACAAAGGACACACATTGACTATGGTCATTCACCATTCCATTCGATAATTTGAATGGTACTTCGACTGTTTAAATATAGACCGGCCGCACAGCCTCATTCTCTGGAACTGTTTTGGGCATGAAACCATACGTGCGGTCGGTCAAAAAAAGACTTCCAGGAATTTCCTGAACCCCTGCTCTGATCTGGCTGATTTTTGGATATGTTGTTCACCCAGATCAGGGCTATCAGGGGATGTTGAGATATGTTGTGTTTTGGGGTACTTATTGGACTTTATAAAAATGTATTAGGATCAGGCTGTTAGTGGTCGCGAGGGTGGGAGAGACAGGTGTGGAGCTAAGCGCCCACTAAAGGGGACAAGACAATCCAGGTACCAGATCACATCAGGAGAAGCGTAAACAGATGTGTGTTTTTATTGTTATACACTTAGACACATTACTGGGAGTATTATAGCTGTGAAGCTCTGTTATACACTCAGACACATTACTGGATGTATTATTGATGTGGAGCTCTGTTATACACTCAGACACATTACTGGATGTATTATTGATGTGGAGCTCTGTTATACACTCAGACACATTACTGGGAGTATTATAGCTGTGAAGCTCTGTTATACACTCAGACACATTACTGAGAGTATTATTGCTGTGGAGCTCTGTTATACACTCAGACACATTACTAGGAGTATTATTGCTGTGGAGCTCTGTTATACACTCAGACACATTACTGGGAGTATTATTGTTGTGGAGCTCTGTTATACGCTCAGACACATTACTGGGAATATTATTGTTGTGGAGCTCTGTTATATGCTCAGACACATTACTGGGAGTATTATTGCTGCGGAGCTCTGTTATAAGCTCAGACACATTACTAGGAGTATTATTGCTGTGGAGCTCTGCTATACGCTCAGACACATTACTGGGAGTATTATTGCTGCGGAGCTCTGTTATACACTCCGACACATTACTGGGGTATTATTGCTGCGGAGCTCTGTTATACACAGAGACACATTAATGGGGTATTATTGCTGCAGAGCTCTGTTGTACACAGAGACACATTACTGGGAGTATTATTGCTGTAGGGCTCTGTTATACACTCAGACACATTACTGGGAGTATTATTGTTGTGGAGCTCTGTTATACGCTCAGACACATTACTGGGAGTATTATTGCTGTGGAGCTCTGTTATACACTCAGACACATTACTGGGAGTATTATTGCTGTGGGCTCTGTTATACACTCAGACACATTACTGGGGAGTATTATTGCTGAGCCTGTTATACACAGAGACACATTACTGGGAGTATATTGCTGAGCCTTGTTACACACAGACACATTACTGGGAGTATTATCGCTGTGGAGCTCTGTTATACACTCAGACACGTTACTGGGAGTATTATTGCTGTGGGGCTCTGTTATACACAGAGACACATTACTGGGAGTATTATTGCTGTGGAGCTCTGTTATACACTCAGACACATTACTGGGAGTATTATTGCTGTGGAGCTCTGTTATACACTCAGACACATCATTGGGAGTATTATTGCTGTGGAGCCCTGTTATACACTCAGACATATTAATGGGTGTATTATTGCTGTGGAGCTCTATATTCAGACACATTACTGAGTATATATTTTGCTGGGAGCTCTGTTATACACTCAGATACATTCATTGGAGTATTATTGAAGTCGTGGAGCTCTGTTATACATTCAGACACACATTGGGAGTAGCTATTGCTGTGGTTTCCTGTTATACACTCAGACACATTACTGTGAGTATTATTGCTGTAGGAGCTCTGTTATACATTCAGACACACATTGGGAGAGATATTATTGCTGTGGAGCTCTGTTATACACTCAGACACATTACTGGGAGTATTATTGCTGTGGAGCTCTGTTATGCACTCAGACACATTACTGGGAGTATTATTGCTGTGGAGCTCTGTTATACGCTCAGACACATTACTGGGAGTATTATTGCTGTGGAGCTCTGTTATACACTCAGACAGACACACCAACAATATGGAGCCCCTAGAAAGGAGGGACAGATTAATTTATGCCTAAAATAGGGACTGTCCCTCCTACCTAGGGACACTTGGGAGGTATGTAAATAGAGGGCTGGTATGAATAGCAATGATGATTTATCAATATAATTATAAATGGTGATTAAACAGGCAGTTCCTGTCTCTGTTCCTGTTTGGAGACCATTAGACAGGAATCTGCTGTCTCAGCAGGACTAGGAGCAGTGACGTAAGCAGGCGGTCACATGACGTGCAGGCAGTCACATGACCGAGTCACGTGCGGTGTAGTCTCAGTGCTGAATGCTGTTAGTGGGGTTTGCAGTGTGAGTGCACTCAGGGGAGTGATGCTCACTCTGTGTCTATATAGACTCACACAGAGCAGGATCTGATGGTAAATAATAATATTAATAATAATCAGCTGGGCTGGCTGGGAGATCCTGTGCTGAGGACTGACCCTGGGCTGGCTGGGAGATCCTGGGCTGAGGACTGACCCTGGGCTGGCTGGGAGATCCTGGGCTGAGGACTGACCCTGGGCTGGCTGGGAGATCCTGGGCTGAGCACTGACCCTGGGCTGGCTGGGAGATCCTGGGCTGAGGACTGACCCTGGGCTGGCTGGGAGATCCTGGGCTGAGGACTGACCCTGGGCTGGCTGGGAGATCCTGGGCTGAGTACTGACCCTGGGCTGGCTGGCTGGGAGGATCCTGTGGCTGAGGACTGACCCTGGGCTGGCTGGGAGATCCTGGGCTGAGGACTGACCCTGGGCTGGCTGGGAGATCCTGGGCTGAGCACTGACCCTGGGCTGGCTGGGAGATCCTGGGCTGAGGACTGACCCTGGGCTGGCTGGGAGATCCTGGGCTGAGGACTGACCCTGGGCTGGCTGGGAGATCCTGGGCTGAGGACTGACCCTGGGCTGGCTGGGAGATCCTGGGCTGAGGACTGACCCTGGGCTGGCTGGGAGATCCCTGGAGAGGTAGGTGGCTCAGTGACAGTTGGTGAGGCTGCTCACTGTGTCTCTATATTGAGACTCTGTATATGGGACCATTAATATCTGGGCAGATACTGTGTTATAGGAGAACCTGCCACCAGCACTATTCTTTAATATAATGATCCTTTCCATGAGACAGCCATTTATATCACCTTCGGTCCGACAGTGTTTGATGGTGACAGTTATTGGATCTATTCTGCGCTGCCTGACCCCCTCTCTGCGCTTCCTGATCCCCCTCTCGCTGCCTTCCACCCCTCTCTGCGCTGCCTGACCCCCCTCTCTGCGCTGCCTGACCCCCCTCTCTGCACTGCCTGACCCCCTCTCTCTGCACTGCCTGACCCCCCTCTCTGCACTGCCTGACCCCCTCTCTGCACTGCCTGACCCCTCTCCCCTCTCTGCACTGCCTGACCTGCCCACCCCTCTCTGCACTGCCTGACCCCTCTCTGCACTGCCTGACCCCTCTCTGCACTGCCTGACCCCTCTCTGCACTGCCTGACCCAAGGTATATGTTTGTGTCTGAAGGATCCGGTCAGATACTAAGGTAGGGATAAGGTTTTCTCTTCTCTCTTTCCTTTAATAAAGAATCTATATCTTTTCAAAACTTGATGAAAGGATTTTTACATTAAGAAATAATGTTGAGGTGACTGTTCTTAAAAACCTTAACCCTGTTTTACTCCTTACTTGCTCTTTTTATATTACTCAGTTTCCCCTTTCCTTTATATTCCCCCTCCTCCTTATTTCTTTCTGTCTTTTTTTCTCGATTTGGCCAGTCTCTCTCCTCCACCTGAATTCCTTTTTATCATATGTAAATATGAGCTATGTACATTGCATACACCTATTCACTTATTATTTTTTCTTTTTATTACTTAAAACCAAAGTCTGTGTAGAATCAATCCAGGGACCCCTCACAGATCACTATTCCCACAAAGTTCTGTAATGCAGTGACAAAAAAAGGGCTGCGCAGTCCATCCTGCTATAGATCGGGATTCGTAGTTTCTTCCTACTTTAAAATATCACCATGGAATGCAATGAATCGCGCCTCAAACTGACTGAATTAATAAAAGGAAATATTCATCGTACTAGAAATATAATACACAGGATAATGCGGATTTCCTATATAGTGAAACAAGTAGTGTTGAAATGGTTCTCATTATTAATGATAGGCGTTGCCACAGTATTTATGCAGCATCACAGCATATTATTGGGGTGATGTTTAGTAATCAACATATTTGTCTATTTACATATTGCTGTGATTAACCCGGGAATGTGCATAGATTACAGGCTTGCAGGATTCATAATACAATGGTTGAGTCCAGGGCTCCATTTTTTTTTAACAGTGACCACATGGCTGGTGTCTGTGGCCATCAGGCAGCTGCAAGCTTTTAGAAAATATAAATAGCCTTATACGCAGAAGACCATTTCTTCATGTGTTCTCTGCTCTCACCTACCCAAGGCCTAGTCCCCAGAAAGCACAGAATGAGTGCTTCGTTAAATGCGCTGAACAAACAGGACTTATTTTGGGATTTATGCATCACTCCATATAGGCAGCCCTGAATGGGGCTGACTAACACAATAGCCAGACTGATGTGCTGCCTTGTCCTTGCAAGGACAGATGCTCATATGTGTCATCATCAGAGACGGTCCTGTGTACTGGCCACCTTTGTTACAATTTTAACAGCTTTCACATTAAGAAATTGAGGCAAATGCGAACAGTGACATAGAAGGGGGTAGTAAATACCTGGAATAGTTTTCCAGTGGGAGCAGTGACAGTGGTATAGAAAGGGTAGTAGATACCTGGAATAGCCTTCCAGTGGGAGCAGTAACGGTGATATAGAAAGGGTAGTAAATACCTGGAATAGCCTTCCAGTGGGAGCAGTAACAGTGATATAGAAAGGATAGAAGATACTTGGAATAGCCTTCCAGTGGGAGCAGTAACAGCGATATAGAAAGGGTAGTAGATACCTGGAATAGCCTTTCAGTGGGAGGTGTAAAGGCTAGCAGTGATACAGAGAGAGTAGTAGGTACCTGGAATAGACTTCCAGTGGAAGCAGTAAAGTATTTGAAGAATATGGGAGATTGTTTAAACAGACATTTTTGCCACCACAGTTGATATCAGTGTGAACCTAGGATGGCTGTTCACTGTTATTTAGTAGTGATTAGAGGATGTTGGATCTTGGTAGAGTTTGCTATAACCATAGTTTTTTTTTCTCCCTAATGTGATGTTTGTAGGACTCTGACAATATGGCCGAGCAGCGCACCCACTGGAATTCGGACCCACCATCAAATTTCTCTGACTGTCCCAATGGTTCCAGATGGATCATGACTGTGTTGAGTGAGTGCGCAGTCGATGGACGAGATGTGTCCAGTGTGTATCTGGGGTTAATCTCCATCCTGTGCTTTTTCTTTGCATCCTTTCCGTAAGTGTGTTTTTTAATTTTTTTTGGCAATCCCATAAAACAGTGTATTGCAGATCATTAGAAGAGGTATTCCCTGTGTATTGCAGATAATTAGAAGAGGTCTTTCCTGTGTATTGCAGATCATTAGAAGAGGTCTTTGCTGTGTATTGCAGATCATTAGAAGAGGTCTTCCCTGTGTATTGCAGATCATTAGAAGAGGTCTTCCCTGTGTATTGCAGATCATTAGAAGAGGTCTTCCCTGTGTATTGCAGATCATTAGAAGAGGTCTTCGCTGTGTATTGCAGATCATTAGAAGAGGTCTTCGCTGTGTATTGCAGATCATTAGAAGAGGTCTTCCCTGTGTATTGCAGATCATTAGAAGAGGTCTTCCCTGTGTATTGCAGATCATTAGAAGAGGTCTTCGCTGTGTATTGCAGATCATTAGAAGAGGTCTTCCCTGTGTATTGCAGAGTTTTATGTTTTGTTCGAGTTGCGCAATTAGTTGTAGCTTTTGTATTCACAGAGTCTGACCTTAATTACTGCTGACGTGGTTAGTTATTGTAAAGTATTCCCGAATGCTGGG